ATGGGTTCTCGACAAATCACAGAAAAATCCTTAGCAATGCTAAGGTCGCTACCTAGGATATCTCTAGGAAATCTTCGAGATAATCCAGGATACAAAAAGAATGTAATTATATTGTATATACATTTTTAAGGTTACTTTTAGTTTGTTATATTTATACTTAAAATTATTTCAGCCTAAACGAGGTCGTGGTCAACATGGAGGAGATAAACATGGTGCTGGAAATAAAGGATCTGGCCAAAGAATGAACTACATGAGGTTGGGTTATGAAACCGGGAATAATCCATTTTATTTGCGAATGCCACAGGAACACTATTATAGAGGACATCAGTAAGATACTTATAATTGTTTTGTTTAATTTTGTTAGTTTATTACCACAACTTTCAATGATTAACTAATCAGCAGTAAGTACCACCTTGAATCTATTGTTTCTTTCAGTTTTCGCCGACAGTATCCACCATTGTCATTACAGGAAGTCCAACTTTTAATTGATAAAAATCGTTTGGATATTTCAAAGCCTATTGATATTGCATCCATAGTTAAATCAGGTTTATATAATTTTTTTCCTGATCAAAAGCATTTTGGTGTAAATTTAACTGATGAAGGAGTTGACAATTTTGCTGCAAAAATTAATATTGAAGTCCAATGGGCGAGTGAACAAGTTATTGCTGCTATCGAAAGAAATGGTGGTGTTATAACAACTGCTTACTATGATCCACACAGCCTCTTTCTACTAAAGGATCCAAAGCAATTTTTTGAAAATGGACAGTCAATACCTAGGAGAATGATTCCCCCACCAGATGCAATAGAGTATTATACAAGTGCAAAAAACAGAGGATATTTGGCTGACCCTCAAGCCATATCACAAGACAGACTGAGGTTAGCCCAAAAATATGGATATGAATTACCAAAGTTGGAAAATGATCCTAGTTATGAAATGTTGTGTGAAAGGAAAGACCCAAGACAAATATTCTATGGCTTAGATCCAGGCTGGGTAATCAACCTGAAAGACCAATGCATCCTTAAACCTAAAGATGAAGAATTGCTCAGATTTTTTGCTTCATAATTTTAACATTGTCCTGTTAATCATTGAAGATGGTCCTTGTATTTTACGAAAATTAATTTACTTAATGAGAAGACATTATAATAGGATAGAATTCATAAAAATATATGATTTTAAAAGTATTTTCTTTTGTCTTATATTATTTATTTAATTTTCGATTTCAAAAAGTAAATAAGAATCAATACTAGTTTTCTCATTGTATACTGCACAAGCAATGCCCTCAAATGTTCATGTTAAAACCTTGATCACTATTGCAACAACTACCAATGCCAGTGATCATATAATTGTTATAATGGATGCAAAGGTGAGCTCTATCAAACAACACAATTTTAATCACGGTGATTTGCACCTCATTGGTGATGTGGGTTCCATGCGTTTTATTACATGTTTTAACCAAGTTTCTAAGTATACTACACAAGTGACAAGAAAACATAGTAATTAAGTGTAAATATTGTACTCTTATTATGAAGCAACTGTAATCTAGATAGGTTTGATTGTGGCAAAGTGTATTGATATGAGACAATAATAATGAATCCTTAGTACAATGCAATTTTCAGTCCTAAAAAGCCTAAATTTAGATAAAATCTATGGTTTGTTATTACAAAAATAAATTCCAAACTGTTTTTGAGAACAACTTAAAATTTCAAAAAAGTTAACTTTGCTAAATAAGAAACATGAAATAATAATAGTAACACAATATTCAAAACAAAACTTTATTTTACCAGTACCAGTTAGTATACAAATTAATAGTATTAGTTTCATCCCATTAGCTTAATTTCATATGCAAAATTCAGACACAAATATAAACTATATCAATAGTTAATATCTGTAGTGTTCTGGTTTATAAGGCCCCTCTATTGGAACTCCAATATATTTGGCCTGCTTTGGTGTCAATTTAGTCAGCTTTACACCAAGATGGTCCAAGTGCAGAGCTGCTACTTCCTCGTCTAACTTTTTAGGAAGTGTGTGAACCCCAACTGGATATAAGTTATGTTTGGTCCATAATTCAATTTGACCCAAGACTTGGTTGGTAAATGAATTAGACATGACAAAAGAGGAATGACCAGTTGCACAACCCAAGTTTACAAGCCTTCCTGCTGCTAATATTATCAAATGGTTTCCATTATCTAACTCATAGCGATCAACATGTGGCTTAAGATTGACTTTCTTAGCATTTTTTTCTAACCAAGCAACATCAATTTCACAGTCAAAGTGACCAATGTTGCATAGGATTGCATCATCCTTCATTTTAAAGAAATGATCCTTAGTTATAATATCAATGTTTCCAGTGGTAGTGACAAATATTTGTCCAACTTCAGCTGCTTCATCCATAGTTATTACTTGAAAGCCTTCCATGGCAGCTTGAAGGGCATTTATTGGGTCTATTTCAGTAACAATGACCCTCCCTCCAAATCCACGGAAAGCCTGAGCACATCCCTTCCCAACATCTCCATATCCACCTACTACACATACTTTTCCAGCAATCATCATGTCGGTGGCCCTCTTTATTCCATCAAGCAAAGATTCCCTGCATCCATACAAGTTATCAAACTTGCTCTTTGTGACAGAGTCGTTAACATTAATAGCAGGAAGTTTAAGTACTCCTTCACGGAACATTTTATACAGGTTATGGACACCAGTAGTTGTTTCTTCACTAATTCCCTTGATGCCTTCTACGAGATGGGGGTATTTTGAGTGTACTAGTTTTGTCAGATCGCCACCATCGTCCAAAATCATGTTGAGAGGCTGCAAATAAAAAAATTATGGAATAAATTTATTCATGTTTCTAATAGTGTAAGCCCTAATTACTTATACAATAAGTGATTTAACTAAATTTCTGTCACAATAAGTGATTTAACGAAATTTCTGTCACAATAGTTTTTGAACTTATTGACACGAAAATTAAAATAAATTTAGCATATAATTGTAACTATATAAATCACAACTAGTTTTAAACTTTTTACATACACATACATAAAACTCCAATTAAAAGAATTTTAAGACATATAAAGAGAAAAGGTAATGATGTACCCGAATCTGATGATACTGATTATGCAGGAGTCTTGGGGACCTTCATTGGAACACCTCCAAGTGATTTTAGCTGCCGGAAATGCGTCAAAGTAATTTAAAAAATTTTTTAAAGTTTTGTGAAATGTATTGAAATTTGTAAACAATCCACCATTATCTACTTTTCTATTGGTTATAAGTGATGTGACATTTTCGGTAAATTAATCGGATCGATTATTTTCTCATTCTCATCATCTCTTAATTCTTATAACCAATAGAAAAGTAGATAATGGTGGATTGTTTACAAATTTCAATACATTTCACAAAACTTTAAAAAAAAATTTAAAATACTTTGACGCATTTCCGGCAGCTAAAATCACTTGGAGGTGTTCCAATGAAGGTCCCCCAAGACTCCTGCATAATCAGTATCATCAGATTCGGGTGCATCGTTATCGCACCCAACCCTTTATCTGGTATAATCATGAAGTAATGACTTATTTATGTTAATAATAAATAAGTCCTTTTAACCATCTAAAGCTATGGACAAAAACACAATAATATTTTAACGAATATTGTCAAAATTGTTTTTTTTTTCGCTTCATAAAATGTTTGTTCTCTGAACATACGAGGTTATCATTCTACAGCAACAATAAGTAAAACTTAAAGTAGCTTGAATTCTACCTTTCCATCAGGGAAAATGAGAGTCTGTTCAATGCACCACATGTATTCCTCTTGAGTTTCCCCCTTCCAGGCATAAATTGGTAAGCCTCGTGCAACCAGGGCAGCTGCAGCTTCATCTTGTGTACTGAATACATTACTGCTCGACCATTGTATCTGAAAAAGGGTTTAGTCTGCATGATGATGGTTGAAAAAACAAGACTGCTATGGTTCATTTATGGAAACCACAGCAGTTTTATAATGTAACATATTATGATGTTATTATATTATTTTAAAATAAATCATGTATATCTGTTGAGCAAAGGATGCAAATTATAGTATGGTATTTATAGTAACTAGATTTTAGAGTTAATATTCAATGGGGTAAATAAGCAAATTTCATACTCAAATGCATGAAATAAGCTTATTTATGATAACAATAACATTGAGGCCAAATTTATAGGTATTTTCAAATTCTTTCATTTATTTTACTACTACTATGATGTAATTAAATCTTCAATAATGTAATATATTTAATGTACTCCATTTGATTAAAAAGCTGTGAGTGAGTAGGTGTAAAAAACTAATAAACTTTTTACATTATTAGAGTTTTAAAAAAAAACAATAACCATTACTGTAGAATGTTGTCATAAAACAATCTAGTTTATCTGTCTTCAATTCTGAATTTAATGACTACTTATTGTTAATTACTTGTAGCTAAAAAATCCTTGAACATTGTTTATAACACTTCATAATAATTTAATAATATCACTTTAGAGTTTATAATAAAATTTAGAATTTATTAGATGGGGTTGGAGTGTAATCTTGAAAAAGTCAATATTAAACTGTACGTCCTATTATATTGAAATTCAGAGATAGACAAACATTTGACACTGAAAAAAATAATTATGCATTTTTTTACTTAGGGATAAATGGAAAGAATCTATATCTTTGAAATTATCATTTTCAAAGATTAAAGCAAGATTTTGGAATGATGTTTCAGGTTTAAAATTTGTTTAAGTCATGTATAATTTTATAACCTTGCTATATATACATAATTAAAACTAAGAGAGTAATCAAAATCTAATATCTGATAGTTTAAAAAAAAAAAAAGACTATCTTTTTACACTTTCAAAAAAGTTCACTTTTATGCCTACAGCAACAGCTTATAATAATGTTAAGGTATGAAATACAAAATAATTATTAATGCATTAAATGATGAAATGTTATGTATTTAAATTTTTTTTGTACTGATAGTGAAATAATACTTACTTCTGCACCCAATTCAACAAGAGTTTCTATCAACACTGCTGTTTGCACTGTCATGTGAAGACTACCAGCTATTCTGGCACCCTTTAAAATTTTTCCAGGTGCATATTTACGACGACACGCCATAAGTCCTGGCATTTCTTTTTCAGCCATCATGATTTCATTGCGGCCCAACTCTGCCAGCTTTTCATCAGCTGAAATAATTATACACATTTGTCTCTCATAATCTTAAAAAGGGTATCCGCTACATATAAATTTTTTGTTCAATTTAAATGGATAAGTTGAAAAAAAAATGTCTTTATATTGATAATAATTTTAGGTTAACTAGTGCCTAAAACATAGTAAAGGCTAGAATTAAGTTGACAATTATTGTATTTCCCATAAGACAACTCACCAATTTTGTATTGTGGTTTCATTTTACCTAGAAAAGAAAACAATATTATATTAACCTTAATTCTTTAGCAGAATATAGTATGTTATGTTATAATATTTACTAGATAAACTGGTACTTAAGATGTAAAGTAAAAATCAACGTATTTAGTATTAGACTTTACGAATTACAAAAAAATACCTAAATTAAGTAATTCTTGTGTACTATAAGCGCTAACCGGCGAGGCGTGCACACCGTGCGCAGTAGTTTAAACATGTAATTATTGCTGCGATAAGCGATTAATATTTAATGTATATGCATGACGTTTCACTTACGTTTACTTAACTAATTATTATTGAAATATTTCACAATTAAGTACACAATTTGTAATTAATTAACTGCTAAGCATATGGTCTAAAGTCTAGACTCTAGACACTAGACAGTACAGAGTACAGACAGATCACAGAGCTAGTTAAGAGTTATAAAACGCAGATGAAAAATTGTTTAGATGAAATTTTATAAAATAACACAGATTACTTATTTCTGGTATAGAATTTTAAAGCTATGGTCTAGTGAATAGTAATAAGTAATAACTTATAAGCACAAGTGAGGGGCCTCATAGCCTAGCGGTCTTATTAAGTGGCAGCTAGGTGAGGGGTACCGGGTTCGATTCCCGGTTCGAGGGCAAGTTTTAATTTAATTTAAATTTGTTCTCGGCCTTTGGGAGGGTTGTGCGGTACCGGGCGAGTGCTCATACCGTACATGGAGAACATGGTCGAATTTCTAAAGACAAGCACAAATTATAAAAAATTTCCTATACTTGACGCTGGCTAATGCACAAATCGTGTCAGAGCCATTAAAAAAAAAAGCGCTATTGATTAAATACTGTTGAAGTTAATTGACGGACATCGATATTTATTATTGTTTTTATTACATCATAAGAACTAGAATGACTTGAAACTCTTTGAATAATCGATTTCCCCTCATAAAACACAATGGCTATACAGATGTGCATAAACATGCGAGATACACGCATTTTTTGTTTTTAAAATTTTGGCATGTCTATAGGCATGACAAATTACTACACAAAGGTGAATATGATATAATATTATGTATTATGAGTTTTGATTCAAAGATACTTTATTTCTTAAAGAATTACGTTCACTTAGTGAGATAATTTAAATTTAATGTAGATTAGGTTCGTACTTCGTCTTATCAAATTATTAGAAAGTAAGCTATATAAAATAAAAACATTTCGTACTATGTACAATATTTTTTACAAATGCGCAGGTAGATCGTATAGATGTTACAACAGCCATTGAGATTCATGCTAGAAGTGACTTTTTTGATATTTTGTAAATATGTATTCTATTAATTTATATTAAACTTTTACGATTTTTATAGACCTATATATATTTTTTTGTTATTTTATAGATATGTTGTGAATCATATGCCCTTTTAAAAGCTGTTTTAAATTAGTAAAAAGGTTTTATTTCTTTTATACTGGATTGCAATTTAATAAATATTTGTGCGTCTTGATACATTATATTAAGTTTCCCGTAATTAAACCTTGGTTGTACCTTAAGTGATCAACATTTCTTAGCTAATATTTTGTATCTGATTTTTTTGTAAATGCTACATTTATTTGAATGATTTATTAATAATTTCGTTGATTAAAATTAAGGTATTGTTAACATATGTCTGGTTTATGCTTATACATTTAGTATCTATCTCTCTATAGTTTTTCAGTTGCGGTCAAATAATCTTAGTAGAAAAGTGTCTTTAATAATTTATTTTGAATTATTTGTATTTTATAACGAATGATAGGCGCTGCAGAGCCCCATAGTTTCATCAAGTAGTGAGTCGGCCCGTGGCTAATGCTTTTGACTCATCAAAGCCCCCAAGGCCTATCAGTAAAAATCGTCACGTTGTACTCAGTTTAATTGTAATAAACTTCGAGATTTTCAGCGTACTCAATTACACGTTGTATATATGTCCCACTAATGGCAATAGGCCTCCTCTCATAGGCGAGAGGGAATATAGTCCCCACGCTAGCCCAAAACGAATTGGAGAGTTCACATTCATCCATAGAACATAATATCTGTTGGGCGGGGCCCTCTTGGGTCGGGGGCCCGTGGCATTTTGCCAGCCCTGCCACTCTATTGTTACGCCACTGTGAGTCGGACTAACTTTGGGAAGCAAGCACACTGCCACGCAGTTCTCCGAATATCGAAGATAGTTTGGACTTAAAATGTCACTGTGCGGTTTCCACGTTAAACGACTATCCAATACAACACCAAACTACTGTTTTCTATATTATTTAATGATGTTACTTTTATTAATGGTAAGAGGTACAAATTCACATATTTTCTTAATTTGGGCCGCAGAAATATATATAGTAAGTAAATTAATTTTATATAAATCTTTTATCTTTGAAGTTGAATCTATTCACCATAGTAAAACATACTTGTGTCGTCTGCATAAATATATATAGCACTCATAATTATTCTATTTCGATGCAAATCATTGATAGAGTTTTTCAACATCTGTCAACTTGCTTAAAAGTTTTGATATAATTTTTAACCTCAGTTTTGTTTTACGAATATGCTTTAATTTGGTCGATACGTGATCTATTGTCCTTTGATGATCTGCGAGTGCAGTAGATTTGAATCTGTGATTAGAATAGCATATCCATTTTCTCATAGTCTCTGAGAAACATACTGTGGCATCGTCTTTTCTGAGCAATAACAATTGAAATAAAAATGCAAGGCATTATTAAAACTCTTATAATTTAGGGTCTCACAAAAAATATTAATCTTAAGCATTGAATTTAGCTGGTATCTCTAATTGAGAAGGAGCAATTATATCATGAACACAAACACTATTCTTTATTCTTAGTAATTGAGTCAAAACTATCTAGCTTTCTATACGAAACTATATGAACGAATATTAATCAGAAGTTATGTTGCTATTTATATTTCGGAATGCGAATAAAAATGTTTGTTTTTTTTGTCATATCTTTTCTAACATCAATGTCATATCTTCTCTAACTTATTTCGTTGCGTCACTAAAACTTTATATTTAACAGACCTTTTAAATTAAGACAAAATAGTTATTCTTTTTTCACGCAGCATGCTTGCAGCAGCAATTTATTAGCTGAGGTTGTAAAACTTTACATAATTGTTGGAAAACTTAGTGTATTTTTATACTTTAAACTATTTAAAATTTGAATGATTAAGGAATTCAATTCCTACACTATTATTACTATTAATTTTATAGTATATTTTGAAAAAAAAAATACACGAGGCAGAGCGATGAAAATAAATATATACATACGATTATTAAACTGATTTTTTCTACAAAGTACAGTTTACAATTACCAGTATCTAAGTAACCATTATCTTTTAGATAATTATGTTTATTTAATTACTCCCTCCCTATGTCTAGGTATACCTTCTATTTTGTGAGCAAAAATATTATATATGTTAGTAAAATTAAAAACCTTATTGTTCCCGTGCTTAATTGAGTCAAAGTGATTTAATGGCTTGTAATATAATATCGAAAATGTATACTTACAAGCAATTTGTCCTCCGCACGTTTATTCAGATTCGCCGACAACAGTCGAATAATTTTATCGTAAATTACTTGAACTTTAACTTCTCGTTATTCTTAACAATAACAATCGATATCAATCTTGAAACCGATTTTTTTCGCATGAGTTATTTATATTTACGCATTTTTGCGCCAAGATAAAATAACAATATACTAACAACATAAAATAATAATAATTTACTATCAAACATTTATTTTATTGAATACCTACCACTATATGATAATGGGTACTAATATGCGACAATAATACAACTAAGAACTTTTAAATCGTTTTAATTAGAGTAGAACATATGAGACAATAGTTGCAAACAAAAATAGAACAAAAGATGTAAGTAACAAAATAATTTCAATATTTAATTCGCGTAAGAAAAGTGGGTGGCATTAAAAGACTCGATGCCTATGATTCTAATTAAGAACCTTTCAGGGCATGGCACTAGTCCTCATACATACTCCTATCATCCACAATAAGTACACAATGACACTGAACCTTTAAACAAATTCCGATCAAAATATGTACATCTCTTACAATTTTAACTCACACGTAGAACACCGGAACAAGATGACAATTTCACATTTTGGAGATAAATAGAAACCGTTGAGGACCGGTGCTCATTACTTCAGTGACACACATCACTTCTTTTTGATATTCTTGCATAAATCACGCAGTCATTATTCCTATCAGTGATGCTCACAGACTAGCAGGCACACTTATAAACAGACTCATACCTTAATTGATTTAAAGGAAATATTATGCGCGTAATGTTTTACATTGACGCCATTAATTTTATGGTTAATCTTGAAAAAAATTTACACTCAAGGCACAGCGATGAAACTATAAAAGTGCACTCGTTTGCTGGCAGTAGATAGGGGCGGGTGTCTCATAAAAACGTAGGTACAAAACGCCATAATAATATTAAAAGTTTTAGATTTTTCTATTGTACAATGCTGTTATTGCCAGCCATTTCACAGTTCAGATCACTCGGTAAAAATAGTCAACAGAAGAAAACGCACCTCTTTGAGAGTATAATCTGGAGAAATCAAAATGAGCATAAAGTCACAACATTATGTACACAAAAGTATGAGATCCAAAGGCAATAACACTTTTTATTCGTCACAAAAATGTATCGAAAACTACAGGATATTGAATAAAGAAAATAAACAAAAATTTTAGTATTATGTTATATATATATATATCAATTATGTGTCTGGTAAAGTCAGTCGTAAATAGTATCACCGGCATTTTTGTGAACACAAATGTGTTTTATCTACATAATATTTATAATTGATTACGTTATCTTATTATTACCTAAGTAGTCATATACGATCGTAGTTGCATCATTTTTGAATTATAAGTACATAAGTAAAAAAAAATTATGATCCTTTGTAAATAAATAAATAACCGCCATTAATTATTAAAAGTAAAAGAAAATCAAAACTAGAAAAATCTTTAATCGAACATTTGAAATGGTTTTAAAACCACGGTAGCAACAATATTTATTAAAACAACAAACAACAAGTTTTGATTTACGCTTCAATGACTTCATAAGGCCTGTCGTAAATAATTCTATAATTGCCCATAATTTTTGTGACGAATAAATAATAGTTAGCACCAATATGGCGTCCTTAGACCTCAGCCGACGAAATAACAAAGACCATTACGCGTATATGTTTACAAAATATCTTTATTCATTTACATACATCACCATTCACCCAGCCGTTCAAATATCCTTCCGTAAACCTTACAAATAATAATTTACAAAATTCAAAATCCCTTGCACATGTGCATGCCTATAATAACATACGTCTCCTTTCATTCAATCTCACTTTCGTGTCGTAAGTAAAGATACCACAGCCACTGTCCGTATCTATAATACCGAATAGGAAATGCTTCTAATTATGTAGATTAACATGGAAAGGTGTAATTACATTAAGAGTTGCGTTGAGTTCATTAGCCTTACATTATTTAAAAATAATTTTTCATTAATAAAATTATTCGTGTCACTGAAAAAAGTTAGTCACTATATAAAAAAATAGCACGATAACGTAAACAGGCTAATGCACCCACCGGCTAATGAAATGACTTGATATGACCTCCCAATTAATATATTTTAAACCTGGGGTAGCTTGTTTGTAACTCGGTTACACCACTATTGCTCCACGATGATTCAAATCTGAAACAAAACAACAAGGTCAAGCGATTAGCCCTGCCGTTTATCAGCAATGTCATTTAATCATAAGGTGATAAGGAAAAACAATCTCAGTGTTGCGTTCAAATACGTCGGAGATTAATTTGTAGCTTTTAATGCGATTCAAGGATATTAACTTTTTACTACAGATAAATCACAAAAAAATATTAAGTGATTAAATAAAACCAGTTTTATGAAACTCGACTATTAAAACCCACATTCACCAAATGCGAAACCAGAGGGTTGAAGTTGCACGCGTGACCTGAAGGTTTGCCAAACCTTAGGTTCGAACAGAAAATTTCGTGTCATTTTTGAGCATCAATCAATTTCCATGGACTATCATAGTTTGTTTTGATTGACGTATGCCATCGTTAAATCGTAATCAAATATCGGAGAATCAAAGAAAGGAAAAATTTCTGAAAGTTATTTTATGGAATGTAAAATATCACGTTCCTATTACTATAATTATATCCCTTGTGTAATTTTAATTGTTATGATATTTATACCACTTTTATTTAATAGAAGAAAAATTTACAAGTTCAGATATTTTTTATGAAATCAAAATTAATTAAATCAAATTTTACACATAGAAATAATAATTTCCATTCCATTCCATCAGTTCCATTAAAACGGCAGAAACTTTTGTTCTTGGCCTTTGCTAAAACAGCATATTATATAGAACACTAAGAAAAGTAAGAATGATACTTGAAATTATTTTAAATTAAGTTGTACAGTAATTATATAGATTTATACTAATATTCTATAAAAACTTAAATATTGTAAAACTGTAGGGGGTAATCTTTTTATCTAAACATTATCACGAAAATCGCCTATGGATTGATTAACCCGAAAAGGCTTTAGTAGTTGTCGGATTTGCAGTCAGAGAAAAATCGATAAAAAAAGAACTTTTTAATTTCTTGTGAAATGATTCATGAGGTCTCTTTTAACCGACATAAAAAATATAATGTAGTCTATATACCTACTTAAAAAAACAGGCTCTTACCAGCTAGCAAGAGGCTGCTTCAACTTGCGGATCTCCTTGGTAGCCCAATTAGCCAGAGTCTTAGTGCGGGGCGTGCGGGACTTGCGCGCCGATTGAAGGAGCTCCACTAGGGGTTTGGTCTCAAGCAACGGGAGCACCCTTTGTCCAAAAACAGTGCAAAGGTCCCCGGTAAGACCGGCGATAACAGACATGTGGCCGTCTGTACGCTCGGGATCTGAGGCGACTTGTACCATAAAGTTAATTATCGCTTGGACATGCGGTTCCATTAGGGCCACGTCTGGTTGCACCTGTTCAAAAAATATATTTGTTTAATCTAACTTTCTCTTAAATAACTTTTCAAGTGCACTTCAGCAATCGGGATCGGAGAGATTCGATCGACGTGTACAGATTTAGTTTTATTTCTCAGTAGGATGTATTTTTTAAAGCTATACTGGGCCAGGGATCTTCCCAATCAGCATCGGTACCCTGTAACTTCCCATAACCATAGTTATTACAAAACATTGTTTATATCGATATAGTTCCCTTGGTATCGCGCGGAAAGAAAACTTTAAAGTAATCGTACGTATCGGGATCACAATCACTCACGCTATTGGGAGTTACAGAGTGTCGGAGCTATGAATGTTGTTGAGGTCTTTTTATCATATCTTTAATAAAGTATAAGTCAATAATAAAAATACGATAAATTCTAATCTATACCATTAATACGATCAAAACCAGTCAAAGACTCTCGTATTGACGGTTACGAATACTTTAAACTGTCGTAAAGGTTCGTACTAAGTTCTCTGAAATTTTGTCGGTTAAAATTGTTATGTTAATCTAACTTATATATGTATATGCATTATGCAAACTATTACAGATAAAAGAGTTCAGAAACCGTATTATACCTGAATTTTTTTGCATACAATTACGAACGAACTTTTAAAGGTCATACATGTAGATTAATGTTTAAATTACATGTTTTTCTATGGACGAATGGTTTTCAATTGCAACCTCGAATTGAATCAAAACTTGTTATGTTCGTATATAAAGAAAACTCCCGTCGCGGTTATGCGCTAATATAATTCTTATATAAATTATATACTTTTTAAATATTAAATGATGATCAAGATGGTAACTGTCTAAACTATAATAACGTAACAGTAATATATATAACAAAAAGGGTCATTTAGCACTCCAACCACAATCTCACGACGGTTCTCTTATAATTCTAACCTACAAAATGCGGTTTAAGACTGCTCCCATACTATTAGATATCGTTAAATAACCACTTTCAACAAAATAAGCTTCCATAAATGTAACCTAAGGTTTAACCTAGTAGTCGTCGAAAACATGTTTCTTTCATCGGATGGAGTCGATGTTTAAATGGGTGTTTAACGTTTTAGACGCAATATAATGGTTATAATGTTATGTATATAACTAAATTATATAAATCTTTTCGATCACAAAACTTTCATTGTTTACCACATTTTAAATTTGAATAACAATTCTTTCTGAATATATATACAATAAGTAAAGTTAAGAGTTAAAATATTATATATAAACATTATACAATCGACATAAAAATCATTACCTCTCCGCCAACACCTTTTAGTCCTTGAATAATACCAGTATATGCTTCAAGAATGCTCTCTCTCAGTTCTCCAATGTATTCCACCATATCATAATCATTGGGATTCACTTGGATGTTGCTGGCCTACAATAATCCAAATAAAATCAATACTAATATAAAGAGGAAAGATATGATATGTGTAATGAATAAAGCCAGAACATGTTGCTAGTAAAATATAAAAATAAATATTTTGTATTATATTCAGTGTCTACATTACCTGCAGCAACATTTGCATAACTAAATCAAAATATTTCTTAAAGTCTGGACCAATACTAAGAGCAATATCTCCAAAGACGGATAAAATTTGAGGCTTCACCGCTCGGTGGATGGTTGGATCACTAAGATTCGCCATTAGAAGGTAAATAATTTCATCGCAATATGGCAGCACCTGAAAAATTAACCATATTTTAAAATAAAAAATACCATAAACAAGTGTCTCTCACTGACTCAATTAATAAGTAAATATTCACCTTTATCTTAAGCGCTCGACAGATATCACCAGTAAGACCTACTGCTGCAACGCACACTTGATATTCTTGGTGATTCTTAAGACCTACATACAAATATTGTTTAAATGCATCCATATACTTGAGAAAACCTTCACCCAGCACTTCAACGAGAGTAGAGACTGCCATTAGCGCATCTTCTTGTACTCCGCCAGCTTTTCCTGCATTAGCTGCAAACATAGTCAAGAGGGCTGTCATAATAGCATCCGATATCTGTGGTGCATCCTCAGGTGTCACTTTACGTAAGACAGACTGTAAAGTAGCACAGAGCAGACTCTGCAAATCATTGAATTGGGACCGGTCAGCTTGACTAGATATATGATTCTCCATTTGCAGAACTTGTTGAAGTCTCTCTAGTATAACCATTGTTGTTTTTTGAACAGTCATATAGCAGTCGGAAGGTGAATTCTTCACCATCTCCATGAGAGCCTCATAAGCGGCAGAACGCAAATTATGTTGAGCTGCATCTTGACGATCTGTGGTTTCCAACAGACATTGGATAATAAAATCAAAGTAAGTTGACATGCAATATGTCTTAGGCTGGTTTGATTCGCCACAGTCAGCTGCCTCATAAGCAGCTTCAGCTAAATTGGTAAAGGCCCAGCAGACATTTGCAGCAACCCTAGGCTCCGCCTTTAGGCCATTTACGAAACTCTCCAGCAGCAGCTTTAAGTATTGATCATTAATAGCCGCTTCAGGCACAATCTCACAAATTCTACCAAATGTCCATGCCGCTGTATCTCTGACTGCTACACTTGTGTCATACATAGCTTCAATTAAGGTGGGCATTGCCTTTTCCACGAGAGGTTTTAAAGTATTTGCTTCAAGTCCTCCTAATATAGAACCGAATGCCATAAGAGCTGCTTCTCTGTATCGCCAATTTTCATTTTTGATGTTATTGTTTATGAATGGTAAGACATGAGGTACAATTTCATCTTCACAGCAGTTAGAGAGCAGTATCAAGCAAACTGAGGCAGCCTTTGATGGATTCCATTCATGTTCATCGTCAGCATCATCTTGTTTTGTAAGTTTCTGCATGAGGACAGGAGCAATATATTGTAGAGCTCCTCTAGCGTAAAATCTTGATGTTCTTGCTGGTGGGCGACCTGCACACAATAATAATTAAAATAGGTCAAAATCAAAAATACAGCCTGAACTGTATCTACATACCAATTTCTGTTGCTTCGGCTTCTTCAATGGCAAGATCAATTTCTTCATCACTTACATTTGACCAAAATTCAATACCTTGCAGAGATATTTCATCAATGTCAGATTTCATGGCTTCTAATGTTATTGGGAAAAGAGCTTGACCCATGTAGGGCTCCATATATTGGTAATATAAAGATAAAATTTTAACCTGTAACAGACAATATTTTTAAAATGTTCATTTTCAATTCACCATAATCTTTAAGTTTGTAGGAATATTTTATTTGTAACTTCTTTATGTAGAACCAACTAAACAAATTATATATTATTACTACTACTTAAAAATAAATTATATATTTTTAAATATCTGCAGATGATGAGATTTGGTGTTTTGACAAGGAAAAAATTCATAAAAATAATAATTTCTCTCTATTTGAAACCTATATAAATTAACAATTTATTACATAATATTTGTGTAGTATGTAGTATGCTAAATCTACAACAGATAAACAATCTGTGAACAATTTAATTAGCACATACACATACATAATGAATAAATCATGTATCAATTCATGCTAATATGGATAAATATAAATAGTTATTTATTAAATAAATATAAATAATTATTGTTATGAGCAATCACTATTATTTAGAGTAACTTCAGAATTTATTTAAATAAATTATACTACCTTTATTATTATTATTAATACTTACTAAACACTGTAGGGCAGCAACACTTATTCTCATATCATTGGATTGTGTTGCCTCACATACAACTTCCATTATAAAATTTCTTTCAACATCCTTTTCAAAATTAGCTTTTGTAAATTCTAAAGAATTAAGAAGAGCCTGTGTAGCGGCAAGGCGGACATGATTACTAGGCTCAGCTGATCTCATACCATGGATAATTGCAGTTAATATATGGTTGCTCTGTTCTGTTAAAACTTCAGCCTCAATTTCCTGGCAAATATATCCTAAACACAAAAAAATAATTTTAATTGATTAAAATTTAAAAAAATTATAAGGATAAATAAATAGTGACATTATGAAACACACCCATATAACACCTTATTATTTAAAAACAATAAAGTATATACTTTTTTATCAAACAAGATTGAAAAAAATTGCCCTATTTAAAATATATTGTATTGTAAATAAAAAACTAGCCAAGAACATTGGTCATCACTACTTTCATATTCCAACAAAAAATTTAGATTATTAAGCACCTAGTGTTAAACAACATGTCTACCGGTAGGAGATATTTGCATAACAAACTTGAAAGTAAAACCAGTACCATATACATACCCTACTAGACCACAAGCCCATGAACAAAAATACCTTTGAAAAAACCCACACGAAATTACCCTTAAAGAGGCTGTTATTATACCAAAAAATACCTGGGACCAATTACGCCTTTTTCCGGGGGGGAAAAGGGGGGGGGGGGGGGGGGGGGGTTTTTTCCCCCCAAGGGGGGGGGGGGGTGGTTTTTTATTTTAGGGGGGGTGGTTTATGGGGGGGGAGGAAAAAAAAAAAAAAAAAAAAAAACACCCCCGCCCCCAAAAAGGGGGGGGGGGGGGGGGGGGGAAAATTATCCCCCCCCCGCGGGGGGGGGGGAGGGGGGGGATTTTTTTTTTTGGGGGGGGTGGGGTTTTTTTTTTTTTTCCCCCCCCCCCCCCCCCCCCCCCCCCCCCCCCCCCCCCCCCCCCCCCCCGCCGCGGGGCGCCCCCCCCCCCCCCCACATATGGTCCTGATTAGAATTATAGCAATGATAATTATATGAGTTAACAAGGTTTAGTTGATCTTGGGAGTACTTCAATCAACTAGACATTTTCCAGCATGCCATACATTTTTTTGGGAACCAAAGGGTTTTGGGGGCAAATTTACTTTTCTCAGAAAAGAGTCATTTTCCGGTGACTTTTATCTGTACGGCAATAACACAGGTTATTAATACTTTAGACAATCTTCAATAAAAGATAAATGCCGTACACTTTCGATAGTCCGCTACCACCGCCTACCAATACAGGGCGTCCCAAAGTTATGGGAAATGAAGGGAAGTACCTTAAATATCGTAGATAGGGTATTTTACTAAAAGAAGACTTTATGTTATTTTTAAAAGTTATTAATTCTGCATTCAAAGATTTTTTAAAAATTACTTGCCTCGTCTGGGAATCGAACTGACTTAAATGTAAAAAAACACCCCTACTTTTATGATGCCAATCGAAAGAATGGCCAAAAACTAATAACTCTTCTTAAGTAACATAGTATTTTAAAAGAAAGGAACAGCGTGAATATACCTTTTTAATCAAATTAAAAACATTATCTATCGTATTCGGCCTAAAAAAATCCCCTACGAGTCTGTTACTTTAGAAAAGTTATTAGGTTTTGGCCATTCCTACGATTGGCATCATAAAAGTAGGGTGTTTTTTTTAATTTAAGCCGGTTCGATTTCCAGACGAGGCAAGTAGTTTAAAAAAATCTTTGAATGCAGAATTACTAACTTTTATAAATAACATAAAAGTCTTCTTTTAGTAAAATACCCTATCTGCGATATTTAAGGTACTTTCCCTTCATGTCTCATAACTTTGGGACGCCCTGTATTATATATATTTTTGTTAAAAAATATTTTTTCCTTTACCTCTCTCTGCTGGTACGATAAGGCTGTAAATATACTTTACAGCCTTATGGTAGTATACTCAGATATGTACAGTTATTAATGACCTTAAGGGACACCTCAAACGTCGTCGAAGTTTTTATCAGCTGTAAAGAATAATCTGGAGTAAAATGTACGGCATCTGGTTTTTTTGTTTATTTATATTTGTTACATATAAAATAACAATAATCTTTGAAAATATTACTCCCCATATTACTATAGGAGCATTTGAAAAGTCATCTAAATTTCGGAAATTTCATATATTTTTTATCATAATATTTTTATTTGTTACCATTTATAATGAACGGCTATAATGTACAACGGTAATATTTAGTAACATTATGTAAAAAAACAAGTTGCCGTACATTATTCTCTGATCTTACAGCAGTAAGAACTTGGTTAATCCTGAAATTTCGATAAATATTTAATTACACAAATATTAACTATAATATTTGGACGGCATAATTATAAAACATTATTGTCCGTGTTAAATAATATTTTGAACATGTTGCCGTACATTTTACAATGACCTTAGGGTATATGGGTGTAGGGGTAGGGGTCCCGACCCTTGGCTTTCGACCGCTCCGCTGGAAATATGTACGGCGTTTACGGGTAAAGTATCTGTATATGTGTCCAAAAGGAATGACACAAATGCCGTACAGTAATAAATGACCTATATTGCTCCTGCAACTGTCGTCGAATTAAAAATTTGCACCGACTTCCGGCACCATCACTTTTGTACGGCACTAGGTTTTTCGACATTTATTTTTAATCATCTATACACTTATAACAAAGCCGTACATTAATAATTAGTCGAAATTCCCCCATTGTACATGAGAAAGTCCATTCACTCACGTACTCACATGTACCGCTCAGAAATGACGGCATAGTGCTCAGAGCTATTTTCAGATATAGTAACAGCCTTCTAAGCGTAATTCAGGTTGGGTCATTTCACAGGTATTTTTTTGTTCATGGGCTTGTGGTCTATACATATGGTCCTTTAGAATTATAGCAATGAAATTATAGCAGTTAACAAGGTTTAGTTGTGGGAATCAATCAACTTGTCTGATGATACATACACATTTAAGAGCTTCAGTTACAAGAATTCAGGTTAATTACAAAAGAGTAATAAAATAAAGTTTTAGCTTTGTTTAATTAAATTCTCACATTAGGGAATAAATAGAAAACAAACCAATTGCTTCAAGAGTAGCTTCTTTTTTGAGTTCAGATGATGCAGCGTTAGTCACATTTTCCACAAGAATGGGGATAAGATCATTCCATTGTCCAATTGGAAGTTCAGCAACTGCTACATAAGCCACGCATTGGGCTGCAGAACTTGGCCTGCTGTTTTCTGTACCTATAGAAGCTAAGATCTAAAATGTAAGCAAATATAAATTATTCATATATATTTATATGGCAATTTGATCCACATACAAAAATAATATTAAACAATTACATTTTTCTTTATGTAGAATCTAACATCTTCAGGTAAAGCTATCCATCTTTGTTGGTACTCCTGCTTAAGGGTAAAATCTTTTGATGTAAGGTGATTTTTCAGCTGTAAACCTGCAGCCATTCGCGCCACTTGACTATTTCCTCCTTGTACCAAAACATCTGATAGCATTTTAATAAATGTCGTGAAATTGGTATTGGCAGCATGATGGAGGTACTTTTCAGCAGATTCTAATTCAGTTCGATCTGTAAAATTTTAACCACATTTTCAGAAAAAGGCTTCAAACATGTACTATGATGTACAATCTGACTAACCAAAGAGGTTATTTACTACAATGAATTTCTTTAAATCTAAATAAAAATAAGCATTTTAAATTTGTCTCTTTTGATCCTATACAGCCATATCATTTATTTCAGCTTGTCTTAACTGCTGACTTAGTTTCAGACTAGAAACTTCGCTAAATGACAGTTAATTGTTAGGACATGTCATACATGTCCCATATTATAATCTAACAGTAACTATAAATATACTCTTAAATTTAATTGGGAATGAAAGGAATTACTCTAAGTAATAGCGTTTACAAAGTAAATATTAAGAAGATTAAGCGTTTTACATGCTATTGTTCTACATTACTCTAGATGGTTTGACAATAAGGAAGCGCCATGCTCGTAGGCTTTAACTGAATTACCTGGTGAAATTGTCTTTTCTAATATTTGTATAAGTGATATATTCGTTGCCGTATGCATTTTGCTTTAATGGTTTCTAAATCAGCCTATAACTATATTGCGAATGTAACAAACGTTCGAAAATAAAAAAATCTAATTTGTAACCGGCACGAAAGTACACTTCACAAAATTGAAATTTTAACAAAATTGCCAGCTTTCAACATTTTTCACAGAATAAATATTAATGATGTATACAGAGCAAATATTTTTTTTTAAATACCGTTAAATCCAGTGTGAGTTTGCTTGTGTTTATCCGCTTCTCTTAGTTCGGGCAGAGCCACTGCTGGCGGGGTACTTTTTCGCCACCTGCTGATGCAGGACGGTACTGGGGCCGGCGTATAGCCCTTGGTGTGGCGGAGACGAGGCGCGTCGGGCTCGACACGTCTGGATCGTTTTCATTGTCTTCATCCGTTGTGGGGGGCGTCGGGCAGATTCGTGGCTTTTATGCTGCGTCATCTGTCTTGCCCCGGTGTCTAGTCCGGTGGTAGTACCCGCGCGTAGAAAGATATTAGAGCGATTCATGGCTATGTATAATACCTTTTTAGAATCCCTATTAAATGCGCCAAAACTTATAATACAGGGTCACTTTTCTTTCACAGTGGGTCCGGAGTAACCAAAAAGTTATGATTTGAAAAAAATATATATCGTATAACTTAATATTATCTTCAATACACTCAATAAACAACTATAAATAGTATGTCTAACGCAAGAACTCATCAGTACCAATCTAGTGGATATTATGAAAAAGATACGGGTTGTAGATATTTTTGAATTTTAATAAGAATTAGTAAAAAAAAGTCAATTTTCTTAAATAAATTATAACTATGCAAGGGTTGAGGTTAGAGACCTCCTGTAGAACAATTTTTTGCAGTTGATGACCTCATCAATCCCCTATTTGCGTTTGATCCACGACTTTTTGGCCACCCTGTATATGATATACATTTTAAAAAGTTTATGGTAATGTTCGTTACAAGCCGTCGGAAATATCTGCGAACCTCGCTGGAATGCGCTTCCCCTGGCGCTTCCCCGCACCCCGCCCCGTTTTCGCCTATCCAGTACCGTTGCCAACGCAATCGCCGACGCACGTGTATTATTCTTGCTTTCGTAATCGCATTTTAGTGTTTATTGTTTCTCTGTTTGGTGAAATATTACATAAACTACCTATTTAGTGCTGTATGTAAGATGGGTAGGACTATACATAGTGCAGAGCGGAATTTAGTGCTCAAAGTAATCCAATTCTTTGAAAATGAAAAAAAACACGGCTCTTTCACTGTGCCGGTTGAACAAGCAACAAAAAGGGCTTGTGCTGCAACTGGTTTATCTAAAACGACAATAATGACAATAAAACGTGAAGCAAAAAAAATACAAACAGAAACAGCGCGAGCAGCGAATGTTCAGGAAGACATGACGTCCTTCGAAGATGGTGAGCATCCACAACCTAGTACTTCAGCTTCAGTTGCCACGGACACTATCAAGCTCTCGACACCAGGGAAAAAGCGTAAAAAATACAAAAAGAAAATAGATCTAGATAATTTTGATTTATGCGCGATACGCTCTTTGGTTGAAAGTTTTTATACCACAAGAAAAGAAATACCTACTTTAAAAAAGATTCTTACAATAGCAAAACGGGAGCTCAACTTTCCCGGCCAAAAAGACGCCCTAAGAAACATACTAATAAATGATTTGGGATACAGCTTTAAAAAATGTAAACGAAAACGAGATTTTTTGGTGCAAAGACCTGAAATAGCAGCCTGGAGAGCAAAATATTTAAGGCGACTGAAAGAAAATGACGAACGTGGTGCCGAAAAAAAAACCAGTTACATTTATCGACGAAACCTGGATACATTCACACTATACTGTCTCAAAATGTTGGCAAAATAGTAGTGATTCCAGTGTCCGAATAAATCACTCTCCTGGTCAGCGCTGGATTGTGGTACACGCAGGTAATGAGAACGGTTTCATACAAGGAGCCGAGCTCCTATATAAGTGTAAATCAACAACCGGTGATTACCATGACGAAATGGATGCGTCCAATTTTACCAAATGGATTAAAGAGAAATTGATACCGAACCTTCCACCCAACGGAATAATTGTCATGGACAACGCGCCCTATCACAGTAAGCAGGCAAATAAGCCGCCAAATTTCAGTGCACGTAAAAACGAAATGCAAACATGGCTGCAAGAACACAACATCGAATTTGATGACAAAATGACTAAAAGAGAACTGTATATTATGTTGATTCAAAGAAATAAACCTGAGAAGGTATATTTCATCGATGAAATATTTAGAGCTCATGGACATGAGGTATTACGTCTGCCAACCTACCACTGTGATCTCAACCCTATTGAGTATGTTTGGAATTTGATGAAACAAAGGGTGGCAGACAAAAATATTGACCAATCAGAAAAAGATATAGAAAGGTTAACAAAGGCAGCGATCCAAAGTATAACCCCGGAAGATTGGAAAAAAGAATGCAACCATGTTGATCGCTTAAGAGATAAGTTTTGGCATAATGACAGATTATATGAACATGAAGAACGCGAATTAATAATTTCATTAGGAGGAGAAGACAGTGACAGCGAAACCGAAGACAACATTTTGAGTGATAATATAGAAGATGACGAAAACGACAGCGCTACCATGTCTGGTGTCGAGGCTTTTCTAGAATAGTTTCGCCACTTTCTCTTCCTCTCTACTTTTTCTTTGTATTATTTGTAAATTTGTAAATAATTTGAATTTTAAATAATGTAAATAATAAGTATTTGTAAATTTCAAGTAGGTACAAGTATCAATAAAAATAAGTACACAAATAAAATATTTTTTATTTTTACATCTTCAATTTTTTTGCTATCTCTCCAGTTTGTATGACGTCATTAAGCCAGGTTCGCAGATATTTCCGACGACTTGTACCAGGCCATAAAATTAAAAAAAAACACGGATTCATACACAACAAATGACTTTTTATGCGCGATTTATTATTTGAGTGGTAAAAAATTTAAAAAGCGAATGACCTTCACTGTTTATTAAATAAAATGATGAAAAAAAACCTAAATCTTCTTGACTTGTGTTGTTTTGCAACAAATAGAATGTGGTGTATGTGGTATATAATTTAACCAAAACAATCGTAGTAATCATATTTTTCTTGCTTATTATTTATTAAACATTACACTTAAAAATAACCTTCTAAACATTTTACATGTATTGATTGTAATATTTTATTAGCTTTAAGGTCATATTCTCCATCATTCTCATCTGGATTTTCTCCAAAATTTCAGTTGGCCAGCTAAAAATGTTGTTATAAAATGGCATATGTTATTCAAGAATGCTATCCTTTAGAATAAATCATAAGCTTTTGCTGATGGAAGTGTAACAGAAGTTGTAACTTTTTAAATTAATAAGAATGAATGTTTAATCAATCTATCAATATATTCCTCGCTTATGATAGTATTTTTTCTATCTGAATCATACTGAAAACTCATATATATGTCGAAGGTGTGAATAATTTTTTCTGATCTTTTGTGATTATTTTCCATAAGATTCAGCTGACAAACATATTTTTTTTTTATAAATTTGGCCACTATATCGTATATTATATATATAAATTCCAAAACATCTTCAGTTTTTAGCTTCACAGGAACTGGAGTTCGAACGCAAATCAATGTATTCTCCTGGGACGTACATAAGATCATGTTTACAAAAGGCAGAAACGAATGGCCACGTATGGTAAAATACTGATAAACTTTTTCAAATCTTTTAGAGTCAGTCAAAGCCAACATTAATCTTAACAACTAATAGCATATTATTTTTATTTTGACCGGGGAGTCGTCAGAAAAAATATATAAATACTTAATATGTGGCCCAATATCATGTATATACCTCAAAGTGCATGCGTAACCTTGTAAGTCAGTGATTAAATATGTTGTTTATGCAATGAACGTCTTTCACATGGTATTATTTGGTTTTTGAAATGACCAATTCACACTTTTAAGGGTTGCAAGTTTCAGAATTACACACGATACGGAATAGACTTATATAGCGAAAAGTATTTCACTAACTGAACTAATCTGGAATAATATTGAGAAATTTTCATGAAAAGACAACGAGTTACAAATTTTTAATTACAACGAACACGGGAGCTTGAGTAATTAACCAGAGTACTCGAGAGTTAGGCCAAATTATTGATAACAATTTATTTAATATTATATTCTGCATTTCTGCGTGACACATGATCGGATTTACATAGGCTACACTACGGTATACTGTCAATTGTCAAATTCACATTTTAACTTGAGCCGTTTGTAATCTGTGTTTACTTCTCTCTTTTTATGTTGACAGGTGTTTGAAATCGGTACTCGAGCCGATAAAATTTTTCAAAATGGTATTAAATCTAGATATTTCTTTAAAATCAAAGTTTAAATATTTAAAAATGTGCCTAGATTTTATAAATTGTGCTATGTGGAATAGATCTACGTGGATATTTTTGTTTTTAACCAAATATAATTTATTATATTTTAGTCACTCGTCATCCCCGATAAGTTTCAACATATTCTTCGTATCATGAATACGAACATAGATGGAAAACGTAAAGTTATGTTTGCAATGACTGCGATCAAAGGAGTTGGTCGCAGATACTCCAACATTGTATTGAAAAAGGCAGATATCGACCTCGACAAACGTGCTGGTGAATGCACCGAAGAAGAGGTAAACAAATACTTAACAGCTTATATTTATAATGTTTAATAAATGTTGGTAATATTACCTTACCTACATATAACTAAGAATTAATAATTCATCAATAATCGTAAAGTACTTGCTGTTTAGAGGTTATGTGTTGTTTATATATTGTAATTTTTCTATTGCAGGTTGAAAAAATTATTACTATTATGTCGAACCCCAGGCAATATAAAATTCCAGACTGGTTCTTGAACAGGCAAAAGGATATTGTTGATGGTAAATACAGTCAACTTACTTCCTCCAACTTGGACTCCAAGCTTCGTGATGATTTGGAGAGACTAAAGAAGATCCGTGCTCACAGGGGTATGCGTCACTATTGGGGCCTGCGTGTCCGTGGTCAACACACAAAGACCACTGGCAGACGTGGTAGAACTGTGGGTGTATCTAAGAAGAAGTAAACTAAATAAACATTTCTAAAAACTATTTGCAGTTCCATTTTATTACTGTTTAATGCCTAATACAAGTAAATATTAAATGTATATATCACTTAATTTAACTCATGTACTATTTACACACTTAAAATTAAATGTTTGATTATTGATTTAAAAGTAATAGTTTAATTAACTTATTAAAACTTGTTGACTAATATTGTAATTATAGGTTGTGTTGTAGAATAATAGACTCATAATTATTTCATTAATTTATTGAGCTGATCATGTCTTGTTTAAAAAAAATTATTAAAGAAATATTTTTCCTGTAAATGAGAAAACCCACATGAAAAATAATAAGTATTTTAGGATTAATAAATTTATTCATATTGTGCAATAATGACCATCATGTATACACCAGCCAGTAATGCTAAGATTTCCTTTATTGATTGAGATAGTTTATTTGATCCTTCTAATAATTCCGGTATAACTGATACTGTTGCTATGTAGATAAATCCTCCAGCTGTAAAGGGAAGTATTAGAGATGACACAAGCCCTTCACTTAATCCTTGAAGATATATTGAAAGAAAAGTTCCTGATAATGCACCAAATGCAGTAAGTAATTGCAAAAACATTGCCTTTCTACGAGTGCATCCAGATTGCACAAGGATAGCAAAGTCACCAATTTCATGAGGTATTTCATGTAACAAAATAGTCACAGTAGTAATGAAGCCTATACTCTCTCCAGCTATAAATGAAGCACCAATAGCTAATCCATCAGTAAAGTTATGTATGAAATCTGCAGCAAGGTTGAGATAGCCAGCAATTTTAATGTCATCTTTTTTAGGTTTAGAAGCTTTCTTACTTTTATCATCTTTCTTCTTATCTGTTCCATGTGAATGGCCATGGCTTCCACTAAACAGTCTCATAGTTTTTTCCACAACAAGGAAAGTAATTATACCACCTAGAACACCAAGTCCAACAGTAATATCGTGAGGTCCGTGTTCTTCATCATGTGAATGACTTCCACCATGTGAATGGCTGTGGCTATGTCCTCCATTACTTGTGCTTGAAATAAGAGCATGAGGTATAAGATGGAGGAATGCGTCACCAAGGAGTCCTCCAGATGCAAAGGATAACAGTACCTTGAGTAATGGCTGCTTCTCTACTGTTCCATCAATTGGAATGAAGAACAATATTAAAAATGGTACTATACTGATGAAAACTGTTGAACCGAGTGCCTTCACATATAAATCATAATTATCAGTCTTTTGATTTGCAGTTTTTAAGTTTGCACCTTTACTATATTTCAATGCTGGGGGTTCATTAGAATGAGAATGTCCGAATACTGTGACTATAGAATAAGTTATTAAAACAAATATTACAAGTCCAAGTCTTAGTTGTTTTAACATATTAAACATTATTAATTTTTTCATCAATTATAATTTTTCATATAATTTACACTGATGACTAGCGAATGGTAATGAATGAAGATAACCGATAACGGACACGTAAGTCGTAAAGTGTACACCAATGTAAGCTTTGGTAGAAGAAACTTGCCGTCGTTTTTTTTATCACTATCGGACAGACAGAATCTACACAATTTTAAATGCACAGATGAGTAATGTTTACACTTTAAAAATGTATACTGTGCTTTAATTAATACGTTTTATTGATTCTAATAATTTCAAAGTGAACAGTATTTAGTGGCAGCTAGGTGAGGGGTACCGGGTTCAATTCCCGGTTCGAGGGCAAGTTTTAATTTAATTGAAATTTGTTCTCGGCCTTTGGGAGGGTGTGGTACCGGGCGAGTGCTTAAACCGTACATAGAGGACACTGTCGAATTTCTAAAAGACAATCACGAATTATAAAAAATCCTATACTTGACGCTGGCTAATGCACAAATCGTGCCAGAGCCATAATAAAAAAAAAAAGGGTGCGTGTACTTATGTACGCGCGTAAGAATTAATACTTTTTTGGCATTATTAAAAATAGTTTTTGATTGCATTCAAATAATTAATTACAAATAATAATCAAAGACTGGAAAAGGAGTAATTATAGTCAATAAAGTTCAGTTTACATTTGAATAATTAAATAAATAAATATTTATTATTATTCTCTTACATTAAGTGTAACATAAATTTTAAATTATGTCCAATGCCGTAGCATCTTCCGTGGGCAACTTCATTCTGTTAATTTTGTGTCACGGTGCGCGCGCATCACAAAATTTCACTCTCATCAATTTTTCATAATGCGCCTAAAAAAAAAAAAAATTTTGCTATAATTTAATCCATTAAATATAATTCCAATACGCATTACAAGTTGTGCAAACGTGAGGGCGTGGTTAATTCTCTTGCCTCGCGTCCCAACGGCCAGCAACCGAAGAGCAAAGATATTCAAAGCAGAGCGGCAGTGAGCCGAGGCGAGGGGCACTCTTGCGTCTCTGTGTACTGGGAAATTACTTATGAGTTATCTGTGGTTTGTTCATTGTGTTGTGTTGTGAACACAAATTGTATAGACTATGATTGTGAATCCTCTCGTGACAGAAGGCGGTTATAACTTGAAGTGTCTCATTAGTCATTACTCATTACTGTAAATGGCACACATCAAATTGAAGTGATAGTGACCAACTCATAAATGATACAGACTAGTGCTATGATATACTCTTAAATATCAGCAGTTGGAGAAGAGAAGTTTATTTAAAAATTTGTTATAGTAAAAATGGATAATACTGAAAGCAGCACTGCAGGGACACCAACTTCATGGTGTCATCCTGCACATCGAGTTCACAGATTTTTTGCGTTGTTACTTATGTGTTTCCTTTGTTTTGGTAAGATTTACTATAACTATTATACTAGAGCTGTTACGATATCTAACATCAAATTATGAACATAATCTCTATTCTAAATAATAGCAAAGTAATATTTTTCATTCATTTCAATTGTCATTTCATTTCAATTGTGATTTATGTAAAATAATATACACTAGAACTGCAAATAATAATTTCCAAGTTTTATAAGGTATATACTATACAGGGTTTTTTAAAAGAAAACAAAAGTGTGTGTGTTTTGTGGTAAAACCTTTTTTATATGAGCAAGTGATCAGCATGGATAGCCTTTTTAACTCTAATTTAAGCCTCCAGGACAACCACGAGTTTAACCATTGAGCCACAGAGTTTGTAATAAGTAATTAATTATGAATATTATAAAAATTAATTGATAAATGTTCTTAATGAAATCTTCTTATCTTCTATTGTTTGTATATATATAAATCTTTTTTCAGGATCTTACTTTTGCTATGATACTCCAGGAGCATTAGCTGACAATTTCAAGGGAGATTCACATTTAAATACATCTCAATTTGCATTGCTCTATTCTATCTATTCATGGCCTAATGTGGTGTTATGTTTCATTGGTGGCTATCTTATTGATAGGTATGTATGTTTCAATATAACATCTGTTTATGATTCATAACTTTATCAAACTTGTTGTTGCTAACAGCACTTTGTTTCATTCCTTAAACAAACTTGTGATAACATTAATTTATATTCAAGTAAAATTGTAATAATGTGCCACTCGCTACTCTATATATTTTCATGCCACAGCTATAAGTTTTAGTTTTAAGATTACAATAATTTGCATAGAGATGCAATAGTCACTAGGTGGTCAATGATTTTTATTTCTAACTAAAAGATATGCATAACTGTGTGAATTACTAAACATATGCAGTCTATGATTTCTCCATGTTATGAAGTGAATACACAGTGTTCACTTCAGTTTGGTTAATTGATAATTTTTTAGACATGCATTGCCTACCAAGAGAGAAGTATTTCTCAAATCACAGACACAATTATTTATTTGCTGGGCATTGAATCCAGAAAATTGGTCTACTCTATATGGCATCTGCTTTCCCAAGTATTCTATGCAAATAGCTAAGATGTTTTATGATATTACAAATGTATAATTACAGGTATTTTGGAGTAAGACTCGGAACAGTAATATATATGTCAATATTGTTTACTGGAGCTATGTTGTTTGCACTTGGTGTCTATATTAACAAGTTTTGGCTTATGATTCTTGGCAGATTTGTATTTGGGTAAGTGAGATCTGTAAAATCTTCAGAACATTAGTATTGTATTAAAGTTAGGCCTGATATTGAAAATACAGTTTTCCCAGACAAAAAAGCTGAATATGGTCCAAATTATATGTGCATGTGTTTATAATATGATGTGTAATAATATTTGTAAAGTAAATAGTACTATCACTATGTGTTATCCAACCTGAAGCAATTATTTAGTAGCATGTACGAGTTGAACACCATGTGCATAAACTTCTAGAGTATAAAGATTGAATACTCTGTGTACTTGTACAAAAATATTGTTAGACCTCAATTTGGAGCTCAGTTATTAACAAATGCAAATGATTGCAATTGTATGTATTACTTTTATTTCAGTATAGGAGGAGAATCACTTCAAGTAGCAGTGAATAACTATGTGGTACTTTGGTTCAAAGGAAAAGAATTGAATATGGTGTTTGGACTACAACTGTCATTCTCTAGATTTGGCAGTACAGTTAACTTTTGGGTTATGGAACCAATCTACCATTGGGTTGGAAATTACTATGGGGGTTATGAGCGCTTGGGTGTTACATTATTCATTGGTAAGTTTTAATTTTTATATAAATACAATCTTGTGCTTTTTATATATAACTATGGGTGAAGCTGAAATCTGTACAAAAAATTATTACCCTTTTGTTATTAATTTTGGGCTCATTTGAGTGATGAAGAATAACATGAAGGTATTATCTATCATACATCATTATTTATAAAAATCCATCTTTACAATTAAATGAGTTACTAATTATGTAGCCCAAAGAAAAGGTATTAATTTTATTAGTTTAAATTAGACTTGGGATTTTTTTAGCTTCAATGACATGTTTGGGGTCACTTTTATGTGGTCTAATACTCGGATTTATGGATCACAGAGCAGAAAAGATATTGGAGAGAAGTGAGCAGCATTCCAATGAGCCACCATTCCGAATGCTTGATATTCTTAATTTTAAGACTGTGTATTGGCTACTTACCATAATCTGTGTTGCATATTATGTAGCAATATTTCCATTTATTGCTTTAGGAAAGTAAGTACTACATTTTTATATAATATATTAACTGCTGGTCTTTCAATGACTTCAGTATTAAATTTCGTAATCATAACATTAATTTATTATTGTTTTATATATTTATTGATGCAAATCCATATTTCGATTACTAATCTATAATAAGCTTGATTAAATTAAATAACTAAAAAATAATGGGTGTTTATCTACTATATTTATCGCTATATATAACCTGGGTCCTAGAGTTTCTCTCCGAGAGAAATTCAAAGAGGTAAACATTCTGACTGTAACTTCACAATATATTTTTGAAAATTTACTTTATGTTCACAAAAACGAACCTGATTTTGTCAAATTGTCTGATCTTCACTCCCGAAATACTAGGAACAAAAATAATTTAACAGTTCATGCTACTCGCCTTCATAGAATAAGCAACTCGTTCATGGGTCAATGTATACGCTTTTACAATAAACTTCCTATGGATATTCGTAAACTTCCCCTTAAGAAATTTAAATTTTTTATTAAATCAAAATTATTAACTAAAGGATATTACAGGATATCCGATTATTTAAATGATAGAAACGCCTGGGATTGAGCTGCTCGCTTATACAGCTATCGCTTGTGTTTTTTTTAAGCTGTCTTTCACTTTTTTTTTTTGCATGTTGTACATATTTACAATCTGACATGTCTTGTGCTTTTGCATATGCATTTTATTTTATTCTATTGACATGTTTGTGCTTAGTGCATATTCATTTTTTTACATTTTTTTTTCTCTACATTACTGACATGTTTTGTGCTTAGTGCATATTCATTTTTTCTTTTTCTACAATACTGACATGTTTTGTGCTTTTGCATACAATATTTTACACTTTGACATGCCAAATGAATAATGTTTATATTACGATTATATTTTTCAATTTCATTATTTTTTCCTTGCTTTAAGGTACACCTTAAAAATACATTTTGTATCCATTGTAAGTGTAAACATTATGCGGGTATATCATAAACTCTTTTGCTTGATTTATAATTTGATACATTTTAGTCTATAGTTATTTTGGGCTGGCGATCTGAGTGAGTTGTTGCCCCACATATTTTTATGGTGCCACTGGCGGTATTGCTGTGTACCGGGTTGTGCAGCTCCCTCAAAAATGGTTGAGCTGCATGAGCTATTCGGGGCATGCTTGCCGTCTGCTGGCACAGGCTTGCTCAGATCGATCTGGTTCTTTCTTCCAAAGACCAGTCCAGTAAATACTCTGCATTTGTTTACACCAATTTATTAATTTATTATTGTATTATCTGGACTATAAAAGAGACTAAGACCCCCGAGTTTGTTTCGACATTTCTTCTCAGGGCAGTCAGTTAGGAAATGTCGACTTCATCTAGTTTAGGATGACATTGTAAAAGTGATTTATATAGTCCTACTTGCAAGAATAAACTATTTCATTTCATTTCTATTTCATTTCATTTCATTTCATTTCATTACTCGAATAGATGTTTTTTTTTGTATATAATAATAAATTGACTGACAAGTGTCATTACTTTTTACGTTTAGTTTCGTTTCTCCTTAGGCCGTTCGTCCACCGCCGCCATCACCGGGACGTCACCGAGAACGAGATTATTTCGGACCGAGTTTAAGATGACGTGACGGCGATCGTGTGTCCACCGCGCCGATATATCAGTGGCTCAGTTCTAGAGCTTTGTCGTGCGTGGTGCCATTTTGTTTTAAATGTTAATGATAGACGCCGTCATCTCGTTCTCGGTGACGTCCCTGTGACGGCGACGGTGGACAAACGGCCTTAATGTGATTTTACTTAGTCTACCTTTTAGTACACAACATAGAACATTTGACCCCAGAGACTGTTCGGTTTTCTGGAATGAAAACTTTTAGGTTTTTCTGTGCATTTTTCTCTTTATAAACCTCGGATTTTTCTCTATATAAACCTCGTTCCAGTCATAAGTTTTAATTAACAAATAAAAAATAGGAGTTGATCTTAGAGGGGTGAAAATTAAGGGTTCTATGTATTTTTGTATGCTGTATCATAACAAAATAAAAACAAAAAGAAATCTTAAAAATAACAATTTAGGGGTGGACCACCCATTTAGGGGTTTGTAAGATTAGTAGCCGTTTCTCAGACTTACTGAATATGCATAAAAATTTCATAAAAATCGGTCGAGCGGGAACGGAGGAGTATGGGAACGAACATTGTGACACGAGAATTTTATATATTAGAAGATTACAATTAAATGATTCCATTTCTTCTTTAAATACAGGTTGTTCTTTGAAAGAAAATTCGATTTCAACCCACAAGAAGCGAACACAGTGAACTCTATGGTATATTTGCTGTCCGCAGCATTAAGTCCCTTCTTTGGTATTCTAATAGACAAAACTGGACGTAACGTGATGTGGGTTATTTTGAGTATAATAACCACGATTGGTTCTCATTTCCTGCTAGCTTTCACGTTTGTGAACCCCTATGTTGGAGTGGTAAGTATATTCCATGATCTTTTATAAAAAGAAAACAGTTTGGCTTCATATAATCTTGTATTATTTTTATAAGTTTATCGCAGATTATTTCGTCCGAATTAAAAAAATAGAAGTAAAAATTAGAAGCTAATATACGTATAAACTTCGTTTTACAATAGAAAATAGAAGTTTTACGATACTAAATAACACAATTGTTATTGCGAATAATATCAGTTCTAGCCATAAAACTAGCGCCATCTAGTGACAATAAAAGATATTTAACGTTGTAAAAACGTACTCGTCGTTTTCATATTATAAATTATAGTTTTTATTTTTAGTGTAATTTTGTTTTATAAGTCCGTTGTTACTCTGTGGATCAACATTAGTACCTTATTTGTTAACATGTGTTTTGAAATTCCTATAATTTCACCCCTTACCGATAGTAAATGCTTCACTAGTTTTTGAATCACCTCTCGAGTAAAAAAATTATTTTGATACAATCTAATAAATATTTAAAATATTTTTTACTAATGAAAACGTGTCGTGAGCTTTCCAATTACTTTTAAACAACATTGTTTACATCCTATATTGACATAGGTTAGGACATTAATATTTTGGCACTTGTTTAAAACAATTCCGCACATTCTATGTATTTATGAATAAAAATTAAATATTTTCTCGTAGAACGTGAGTATTGTTCATTGAACTTTGATCACCCAATCTATACAAAGCAAAATTAGAATTACTTTCTGAGTCATCTGTAATATGATTTTTGCGTCTGTTCTCTGGTCATATTTCCTTATGATATATAATATATGCAGGCTGATCTAAATTGATCAGCCTGCATATTATATTCAACACATTTTTTCCAAAAAACCCGCGACATGAATTCCTATAAAAAGTATTTTATATATGATATTTCGAGGGGAATATTGAACATAACTTGGACGAATACTCTAAATATTAAATAATTTAAAAAAATCTTTATTTAAAAAAAATCTGTGTTTGACAGTTTTGATTTCCTAGGTAGTAAGCGTATTTAAAATATTATGTTTTGTTAGTTGGGGTTCAAGACATACTAATATTCTCACGATGCTTTTTTCATCACACGAGTGTTAACTGCGCATATATTAAGGACTATTCCAGTTTCTATAAACGTAAATTAATATAATTTTCAGATGTCACTAGGGGTTTCCTACTCACTTTTAGCGAGTGGACTTTGGCCATTGGTTGCGATGATTGTTCCTGAATCTCAGTTGGGAACGGCGTATGGGATGTGAGTGTGCTATTTTTTGGGGTATGGGGCAGGTTTTCTGATAAGTTTTCTTTAGTAGTACCTTAAAAGATTTACATATGACCTCATGTTAGACCTTTCCCACGTAAGCCTTGTAAAGATACTTGGTTGTGGGAACTCGTCTTTTTGCTCGTATTCTGTGGTTGTCATATTTTTTTCTAGTTCTAACCATAGCTATACAATAACACAATGAATGTCGACCAAAAATAAATACACGTTTAGACACAAAAATTATAATTAAATAGAATACCTTCTTTGCCTTGTATATCCCAACTCGTTCACCGTCCGTAAACTCCGTTCATCCGTCCTACATGGCCAATCCACTTACGCCCGAACCCAATAACCTATCTCAATCTATAATCCACCATCTGAGATAGTAATCTAAATCCAAATGTTGTAACAAGTGTGCCAATAACCAATCGACGGATTGTAACAGCCATCTGTTGATACAAGTTATCCATGGGAGGTAGTATCGGTGTCTGTGGATAGACCTTTGTATGAAAATGACAGTTGACGAAAGCTCGATTTCAACAGTGAATTATTTTGACAGATTTTAACTTACACCAGTTTTTTAAACAATTAAAAAAACTGTTTGTTATGTTTTAAACATACACGTATATTTTAATGTTATTTGTACGGTTTTATTTACTTTATTTGGTTTACATTGATTATCAAATATGAGTGAAAACTCGGTAAATTGGAACGACAAAGAGCATTTTATCCGTCGCCAAAAATGGATTGTCTTCGTAGGGTTTGGTTATTGTGTGGGTTACACAGCTCCAGCTCACGTACCTCTCTATTACTTATGAACTTATCACGCAGTGTTACACCACACATACTTCTTGACACTCTATTATTGTTTAACTTTTTATTTGTCATAAGGGATCAACTATAGCTAAGTTATAAGAATTAGGTCACTTACACAGTACATATTCGACTACACATTTGCTGTAGTAACATATTCATTGTTCACCAGAGCCAAAAACTTTATTAATTTAGGAAAAAATTAATATTCTGACCTATCCATATTTGCTACCATTTTTGAACATATATTTTTTAACTCCATCACCATTGCAATGTAAACTTTTTATCCAAAGTTACTATAAGTACGTGTTTGGCTAGTTACAGCAAACAGTTTTTAATCACAAACCTTTAAAACCTGTAACTAAGGAAGAAAAATGTACGCGCGGAAATATTATCAATTTACAGGCGGTAAATATGCTGTATGCAGGAAATTTATGTATTTGGGTACTTTTAATTGCAATTCAAGATGTAAGATTAGTTTATAATTATGATTAGATCTAGAAATGCAGTGGGTCATTGGTAATGTAATGTTTGGTTGAAATAAAATGTCGTAAATGTAAAAAAACAAAACTGTAGGTTCCCTAAACTTGCTGTAAGTAAACGAATGTAAAAATCACACGCCCCTGAAATGCTGTAAGTAGCGTTAAGTTTTTAAATGGGAAGAAGTAAGTATTTGTAAGAAAAAATGCAGATTTTCTTTTTGCTGTAAGTGCAAAATGTCTGAAATGACTAGATTTTGGTCTACATACAGCATTTAATCTTGCTAAAAATAATATAAGTACGGGCGTTTTCAACGGCGTATGTAATTTTTTTCATCGTAGAGACACAGGACCCAGGTCATTCGATGCGGCTTTTTTTCTGATTCTAATGGCAGGAAAAAGTCACTTTAGGTATTTTGTCTACTTACAGCAAATATGCTTTCCTACGTCGATATGTACATTAGTTTACTTGAACTGATATGTTATCATGCGATTATAATAATTAAAATTTGATTTCCAGATGCCAAGCAGTACAAAACTTGGGACTCGCCACAGTACTTATTTTGGCTGGTGTTGTTGTTGATAAATTTGGATACCTTATGTTGGAGATGTTCTTCCTGGGATGTCTTTTCAGTAAGTTTGACAATGGATTGAATACATTTATAGTTTTTGTGGTTGTGAGGTCAAATTTCTGTGCACCCAATGTATGTTGCTATCAATATTGGCAAACAGCGTCAATATAGAACCGAAAAGCGGCATAAACATATCGTCGCTTCTCGCTTTTCCTGGCCAACCGACTAATGTTTAGAAATAGAGGTCAAGGCAAGATTTCGTAATATTATTTTATTTCTAATATTTTAATATTTGGCTATATTCAATATCGCCAATGTTTTATTGGTTAATCAATAAAATTAAAAGATAAAATTTAATAGTTTTTTGTGGATTTGCCTTGTTAAGAAAATAGTAGGTCTCTGGTCTTGGGTTTTTTTATGTGTCTAGTTAGCTAATTCTATGTATAGAAAGCGCAATTTGTATAAGAAATTAATACTTAAATGTAACAGATAGCGTTAGACCTTTTAATTATGTATGTATATGTCGCAGCCAACTAGCTTAATTAGCCGTTCAATTAACAGCCTAGCCTTTTAACTAGCGTTTTTTCACTTGACAAATGACACAGAATTACTTTTACAAATTTAAATTATGCAACATAATTGTACAAAGAAGGAATATTCTTATTTAACTCACCGATAGACGACATTTGCATCGATTAACAATTAGACGAACTATTTTGCTTATAACTTCTTCGAATTTAAAACAGGATATGTATAAATTTAAAAAGCTAAAATAGATTATTGGTTCATAATTAAAAAATGGCATAAGTAACGCGACATGTGATAGTAGAACAGCTTAATATTTTAAATAGATAAAAATAATGAAGTTAGAAAAATCTCACAAAGAAAATTTCACACTAGACGAACTATTTTGCATCGGGGCTCGTATATCAAAGTATTAATTTCTAACGTGACACTTTGAAATTTTTAAAAAACCTAACAGTAATACATTATATTATTCTCGATAAGAAAAATCAATCAAAATCGAGTACTTTAGTCAGTTTGACGTAAAATTGTGTGACATTAGTGTATCTACGTAGTCGGTCCCAAAGTTCTGTCATAAATGGAAATAATGATAAAAAAAAATACTGATCAGTTTGTATGGTGATATATCAATTCTTAGTACATTAATTAAGGAATAAAAAAGCATAAAAATATTCGAAATAACCTCCCTCATTTTTAATACAGGCCCTTAAGCGTCGCGGCCAGTCTCTATCCACACCACCATATTCGTGTGATTTCAGTCACTGGTTTTTTTAAAGATGACTTCAGATTCTCCAAATTTTCATGAGGTTTATCACAGACCTTCCTCTCTAAGCCCTGTCATAATTTCTGGTCCAAAGGATTAAGGTCCGGACTGGAGGAAGGCCAATCCTCATGTCTAATTAAGACGATGTTTTAACGCTCAAACCAGGCTTTAGTGGTCTTGGCTTTGTATGCAGACGCAGAGTCCTGCTGGAACACGAAGTGATGTCCCGCAAATAGGGTGCTGGACATGTCTTTGACAAGCGATACAAAACCGTCTCTTGGTACACTGTAGCACTGGTTTTGACCCCTTTTCGAAAAAAATTAACCTCAGTTAGCCCGTAATAGGACACTCCCAACCAAACCATTACTGATGATGGATGATGTCCATGTTGCACCCTTGGAACTTTATTTTCAGCTTCTTCAGAACTCCTAGCGTACCTACACTGTATAATTCTGTTTATTGTACTTCTCTTCAATATCGAAAAATTTTTCGTCCGTAAAGAGGATATCACGGTGTCGGTTTTTCGCGTACCGCTTAAACAACACCCGCGATCTCTTAAGCCTTTTGCTTTTAGACGAGCATTAAGTAAGTGCCCACTCTTTTTTTGTATGCTCGTAGACCAAGATCTTCATTTAAAACCTTTTTTACTGTTTTCCTACTGACACCCATCTGCAAGTCCATCAACTTCTGTTTTCGGACAGGATTTCTTACTATCCGCGCCTTGATAGCTTTGATTACTGCTGGTGTTCTTGCGGAGCGTGGCCAGCCAGTTCTTTTCTTGTCCTCAACACTGGAGACTTCAAGGTACCTATCAATAGTACCGTACACAAACCTATGCGTTTTATTCTAATTTTTGAGCAACTTGAAAATGGTACTCGGCGAGTGTCCACGGCGGTGCAACGCAATAACAACTATTCGGTTTACTTTCAATGTCCACTCCATCGTGAAAAATTACGGAAAGTTATTGTTTTTTGTTTTAAAACAATAATCAAACATTCCAAAATAGAATGCAATAATTTTTTTATAAAATCCTGCTCGAAATGTAGAAATAATGTGCTAGTGACAGAACTTTGGGACCAACTACGTACATAACATGTACGAGCCAAGACTGTACATTACACTCAGGCTTTTTTAGTTTTATAAGCGTGGCGATTACCTCAATTGTCGGAGGTACGCTCCGAGAGTATAGCCAGACGTAGGCTCTTCAGCATTATAAGCGTAGCATAAATAATAACAAAAGAATATACAATACTGTATATTCTTTTGTTATTATTTACATGTACGGTTCCTGGATCATTCCTTTAATATATGTTATATTATACTTTTACAGTCGCATTGATCGCAGCCGTACTTATTTACATTGTGGACTCGGCCAATTCTGGTGTACTTAATTTATCGCCGCAGGAAAGGGAGGCGTTGAAAACGTGAGTACTTTTTAACCGACTTTCTAAAGAGGTTATCAGTTTGATCTATATGATGATCGAATTATCTGTATGTATGTTTGTCTAAAAAATTCTCGAAAAATAAAAGTCACAGACAAATTAAAATTAGGTTAATTCCAACTTATGGATTAGGTTTTATCAAAATCGGTTCAGTATTTTTTTCCGGTTTATGGAGAGGTAAATGACATGTGAAGTCGGTTTCATTTTTACATTACTTAACTAAAGTAATGAAAACATAATATTTAACCTAAAAAACCTATATTTTTAATTTAAGATTTTAATAAGTTTTTTGTAATTCTAATACGAGATTTGTTATATTTGCAGATTTTGAGAATTTTTTTATGAAAGCTTTGAAAATACCATCAATAATGTCTTTTTAATTTATCTCTCAAAACATCAATTAATTTAATACAAACACGATGAAATTTTTCATAAATATATTTTAGGTTAATTTTAAATCCATTTGATTTTTATTATCGTTTTCGTGTGCACAAGATATTTTAATAATACTTTTGTAATGAATATAAACGCCGTTTATAGCCCGACAAAAATGTAATAAATTCGTGTATATCGGTTCAGAAGATTTATAAATACACAAATTATACGTATATGATACTTATTTACAAAGAAACGCACGAAAAATATACATATGTAAAGATTTAGAGATTTTGTTAGTAATTTGTTTATAAGCTGTTGGTTACCTAAATAAATAAATATTTTCGTTATTTTAGGGCTACAATACAAACAGACGAAAGAGCGAATCTCTTAGACCACGAGAGTTCAGACCCTGATGAAGAAGCCAGACCTTCAGAAGATGAGAGGGACAGTGTGTTGACACAATCAGACAGGATTCGAAGTCGATACATTTCGCATATATTACCCAATACTAATATTCCAGATAGACCATAGGTCCATCAATAACCATAGGGCGAGTTTCAAGTTAAATGACCAAAAATGTAAAATTTGTGTGACTGCTTAATCCTAAGATGCTATTTGACAGACCCAATCAATACGTTATCTTAAGTAAGGCAGTCCTCATATTATTTAGATCTTTTATTATTAAGGGTACAAAAACGCCACGAAGCGGTCATCGGCGCCTGCAATCAAAAACCTATTTAAAAAATCTGCTAATTGAAAGATAAACTTATGAATTAACTAAATATCACGAGAAAGGTCGTGACTTTGTAGAACACGCACTTAAACTATAGAAATAAATTGTAATTGAACTTGGCTGGAATTAAAAGACAAGTTTATTTGTTTTTGAAAAAAGAATTCTAATGTTTAATTGGCTTTGACTGTTCATAGATATTTTGAATCTATAACAGAACATGACATGAATTGACGGATTGACATTAACGGCTTAGTTATAAAACGTGGGCTAAACTATTTTACGTTTATTCATTTTATAATAAAGCCGTGAATATAGGAAGGAAGATTTTTCGTGTCAAACTTTACTAGTACCATAACGTTTTTACTATACTATTTTTGTGATAATTTTGAACCAGCTTTGTGGTACAATTTTGATTATTTTGTATGAAACGTTTTTTTAAATTTAATAAGGGCAACTGACTGGAATAATTTTGACTTGATAAAGGTATTTTTATTTTTTTATTGACTTAGAATATTCTACATATATTAATGAATTTATAGTAACTAAAACATTATTTTTCTGACTATTATTACAAATCTTTTGTGAAGCTGTAGTTAATCTCGAGACAAATATATGTAATTAATTAGATAATATTGTAAATATGTTAATTTGTATATTAGTTATGATGTATCCTATTTAGAATTAATGTTATACAAAATATATAATTTTTAGTAAATGTGTATGAAATAAATAATATGGTTTTATTTGTCGTCCAAAATGGAACTTTGCAGACTCCAATATTGAAATTATCGAATCTGGTACAATCATACATAAAAACAAATAAAACTTTTGAAGTTATACTTCTTTAGGCGCGTTATGAAAAATTGATGAGAGTGAAATTTTACGATGCGCGCGCACCGTAACACAAAATTAACAGAATGAAGTTGCCCACGGAAGATGCTACGGCATTGGACATAATTTAAAAACAACATTCGAATAATAATAGAATTTATGTTACACTTAATGTAAGAGAATAATAATAAATATTTATTTATTAAATTTTTCCAATGTAAACTGAACTTTATTGACTATAATGACTCCTTTTCCAGTCTTTGATTATTTAATTGTAATTATTTGCATGCAATCAAAATCTATTTTTAATAAGGCCAAAGAAGTATAACTTACGCGCGTACATAAGTACACGCACCCTTTTTTTTAAATTACAAATGGATATTATCTTTTGCGAATATATAAAATAAAAAATTTAATCCTGCTATTAATGAAACACATTTATGTTATAAATATTTTTTAAATTCTGATTTTACATTGAAACTTGTATGTTTTATATAAGCTGTTGGTTACCTAAATAAATAAATAAATTACTAACAAAATTGATGCTGTCTTACCGTATAACATTTTAATATTAATAATAATTATACAATATTTGAAATCGCATCTCTCTTAATAACGGCAAATGTTAGTTTCGTTATAGTTTAATTCATTTCCGTAGCGATGACGCCGCGAATTGCACATTAATAATCATTCATATACATAACTAGAAATCGAAATTGCTATATTGATAGTACGTGATATGTGTCTGCTTGTCATAATTGCCTTCTAAGTGTGAATAATATATCAAAACTCAATTTCTCGTAAATCCTTTGGTATTTTATTAAAAGTTTACAGATTTCTTATATATTTTTACATCGGAATCCGCTAGTTACTAAATTATATGTTTTTATATCTCAATTACATATTTTTATTTATATCATAGGCCTAAGCGAGTATTTGTTTTTATCTATCAAGTGAAATTTACAGACAATTCGTTCAAGGGCGTATTAACATGCTTTAAGGTTAAGTTCATTAGCGATATTGCCGCTCGATATGTAAGAAATTATTCTACATTAACTAGACATTGTTCGTTTAAAGTTCCCAGAAAACTTATTTCACAAGATTTACACGGCAATATTGACTGAAAATGTTTAACTATATATAAACCTAGTTAAAATCTATGTTAATTTTCTATATATCATATCTAATAAACTATGATTTAAAAGCAAAATATTACGCAAGCACAACACATTTAAATAAAAAGTCTTTAACGGAGTTATGAAAATATTGTAATAAATACGTTAAAGAACTTTACTAAAATTCTGAAATAGGAACAAAATAACAACCTATGAAATGGTGCTACTCCAAGTGATGACGCTTAATTGTCTGTTTTATATGGTTATTATAAAAATATATGGTATTTCAAGTAACGTCGAAAATTTCTTCAAAAACAGTATTACAAAAATAAATATTAAGGTATTGTTAATAACAAAATCTATTACAATCTATAAAAACCAAAACACACAATACAACAATTAAATTTTATGAGGCTGGCTTCTTATTCTATCTTGGCTTAATGTTTCGGCGAAGCTATAATTGTTGAAGGTTCGTCACAGGTATGTCACAGAATTATTTTACCTTAAAAAGAAGAGGAAACTGACGCCTCAGATACGAAGGCTCTTTATATATCTCTTATCTCAACTTAATAATATCTCTATGTAATCAAGGACATGCATATATCATTCTATAGACAATTTCTTTAATAACGTAAATCATTCAGACTGGCCTAAATATCTATTGTTGCAATCTAAACAATGAGGTACCATCCAAAATATAAAAAAGTTACGAGAATCATTACGAGGCGCCGAAAACTAAAACCAATAAGTCATCTTGAGGCTGCCGTCGTGGTCTCGCTGTGTTTCAAGTATGCTCGCCTGGCGTACCAACTTTCTCATGGAACTCCGTCTAGCCGGCCGAAGTTCTGATACTTCATCTTCAATTATTGGAGCCTGGGCCAGCTCCAATTGATCCAAGTTCTCATATGAGTCGCCTTCTGATTCCACTTGTCTGCAAAATAAATGTACTAAATGCACCAGTTTTAATAGTTTGTCTGTTTCTGTATTGTTCATAAGGGATAAAGATAGTCGTTTTGTCTTATTTCTTAAAAGAAAATAAAAAGTAAAAGTAGTTAAAAATCATTATGGCACTGACGTACATTCGTAAAGTTTATAGATCACACGATTTAGACAAAACAAATTCCAGTTGCTTACAATGTGGTAAATTGTACGGCAATAAAGGAATCTCTTATAAATATAGACCTGTCAGTGTCAATATCCACCCACTCGTGATTTATGCAGATAGTTGTGTAAGCATTACATATTTGTTTGTACATATTATTACTCACTTCATATAACTTAAATTTATTCTAATAAATTGTTGCATTTTTTCGATTACATTAAAATGGGATGTTGATGTAATTCGTTGCCTCACATTACCTGGGTCCTCCGCAACTCCAGCAATCTTTGTACGTCCAATCTTTGCCAATTTCCTCACCCTCCTCAGCGGTCTGTGGTAGTGACGTGTGTAGAGTTTCTGGTAACCGGAGTGCTGTTAAACCTCCAACAACCGATAATGCCCCCATCAAAACTAACGGCAGTACTAAGTTATTCGTTCCCTGTTTAGAAAAGTTATAATCTCCTTATTTAATAGATGAATATCAAAAGCTGTATTGCGAAGGAATAATTAAAAAAAATATGTACCTAATATGAAAGAACAACACAGGATTTTCACACTACCTATATAAATTTTTCTTTAGTGTATAGGTACAGAACAACTTTACAAAAATCTACCTACATCCTTTAAGGCTTTATGTATAACTATGTCAAAAACACCTATCTTGTGGGAAATGAAATATCAGCGTTCTTACCAAGTAATTTATAAAAGGTATTATTATTAAACCAAGTCCTCCGATGTACGCCGAAGTACCGATGCCAACACCTCTTAACTCTGTCGGGTATAATTCTCCAGCATACGGGTAGATTATCAAGAATGATGCGGATATAAAACATTTCGATATCAAATACAGTATCAGTGTTTCAGTTTCAGCATCTACAAACAGAAGAGAGATAATAGAGAGAGTATTTGGATTTGTATTTGTATAAAATAAGGGCTTATTTGTTTTATTACCATTTGGTAAAAGTACAGTGACCATGCAAAAAATTCCACTGATAACCATTGATAAGCACAAAGGCCAGCGCCGGCCTACCTTGTCCATAAGAATCCAACAAACTATGTAACTAGGAATTTCCACTGCTGACGACAGGAAAAAACTCATATATTGATTGCTACCAATTGCTGGTCCATAATAGCTAAGGCCGACGTACACCATTTCAGATGCGCACCAGTTTAAAGTTATCAAAATCGTCTTAAGTCGCATATTAGGAGTCTTGCATAACGAAAATGCGTTTGCATTTTTAGTTTCTTTCACACCGTGTTCTTTTTGTTCTAGAACTTGTTTTTGGAGCTTAGTTGTGAATTCTTCAGGTAAATGTTTGCCGTTTACTCTAGCTATCGTTTTTAAAATGTTGTTAGCCTCCTCCAGTCTTTCTTTCATTAGTAGCCATCTAGGAGACTCCGGTAGAACAAACCAATATAGATAGTAAAAAAAGAATGGAACGGAAGTGGCTAAAGCCAGAGATCGCCAATCACGAAGTACGTACGTCACTCCGGATAACAATATTAATCCAAGGGTATAAAATATGCAGGTCATTACAGTAACAAATGATCTATAGTTAGGTCCTGCTAGTTCTAGAGCTGAAACAATATAGTATATATGAGAATTAAATACAAACGTTATTATTAAGGAGTATATGAATATGTACTCACAAATTATAAAAGGTATTTGATAAACAGCTGGAATTGTTAATCCGACAATAATCCGTGCTACAACCCAAAACCAATATTCGTGTGCATATGCAGTCATAATACTGCCCAGTAATAGTGTTGATAGGCATGCAAAGAAAGATTTCTTTCTTCCGATACGGTCGTTTAAAATGCCAAACGAATATACTCCTACAGGCCCTCCTACATTTAATGCTACTAATCCAAGGGTTGGGTAAACATCATAGTCACAAACTAAATCGAACTGAAATCATGATATACATTATTAAGCTAAATCTATACAGACTATAGTACCTATAGAATGATATTTTACTATTGTATTTAAGTGGATATCAGAACTAAAAAGTGAAAAAGCGTTAACAAAATAAAATACTTACATCTATTACAACAGAGGATATTACTTCGGACCTATCGTATTCATAGCCATCCAGACAGGGCTCTAACGGCCAACTCTCATTTATATGTATCGACCGATTAAATTCCATAATTTCAGTCCAATTTACGGAATATCGCACACAACTTTCATAAGTAGAATTGTCTTCTGCCTGAAACTTGTTAATTTTAATCATTTAGCAAAATTTCGCGATTTGTATGTTTATTTAAAAAAGGATTTTTTTACCTTTTTTGGGATCGACATCATTTTACGTTCCTCCAACGAAAAATTACTTAACTGTGGCACTCGACACCAGTGATCTGGAGTGTCTGTCATAAACAGTTGATTAAATGCACAAAACCCGCAAGGTAGACATGCAGGCAAACATACGAGCCATAGCAGGCACTTCTGGTATAATCCAAATTCACCAATCTTCGGGAGCAAATCATCTAAATCTATTCCATCATCGTGTGCCGCCTTTGCCTTAAAATAGTCACAATGAAGTAATTTACACAAATTGAACTTAATAAAACACTTTCAAGTTAAAGTTCTGTACCGGTGTACTTTGAGCGTAGCTTTCTTGGTCTAAAATCCGGTCGTTCATTTTTCAGTACGTTTTGCCCGCGTAAAGTCTGATTTGGATAAAAGTGACTGAGGTATATTCATGACTAGCTAAGCTACCTTGGTATTGGCCGAAGCCTTAGAGTATTAATCTAATTGATTAAAGAAAGATGGACACATAGTATATAGAGCTTAGTAAAACGTTTTCCGTGTTCTCAAATATGTGTCAGTGTGTCAATTAAATAGTTATTTCAATTATATATTATACTAGAAAAAAAAAATGGAATTTTTATCTCGTGTATGTAATCGAACGTTAGGGCCCCAGTAGCTTACGCACTATTTGTTTGTCTATATCTATTTGTTTAATCAACTCGGAGAGCCCTGGTTTCAATTTTCAAAGGAAAATAACTTGTAAATTTTAACTTAAACCGCAGAAAGCTGAAATTTATTGTATTTACTGATGTGCTGTTATATCCTGTCTTTAGCTTATCATGTAAAGGCAGGTACTACACATTTAAATGAAACCTTTTTACGACCTGAACGTCAATTTATTACTGTAAAAAATCTCGTCTCTAAATCTGACAGTAACAGTAAGTCTCTTTCGCTATTAATATTATTCTTAATGTAAATCAATCAAACGATATGATTATCGTTTGAGTTATTTGTAAACATGATGTGGCAGTCTCTCGGTCACCACGATGGCATTCGAAACATTAAGTTATGTAAATTAATGTAATAAAATCGCGTCGATATCCCTTACAGAGTTTTTATTTAAATATGTAATAAACTCTACAAGTTAATAAAATTAAAACGAATAATATGATTAAAAATAATAAGCTATATACTTTTGTTAAAATATTTTATTTTTGAAACGTAGATAAAATTGATACAAGTAATTAAATATCTTAACGATAACTTATGTTTTTACATAATGAAACTGTGATAAAATTGTAATGCATTTAAAATTAACAATTTAACAACTGCGCGCATTGTCATGAACCATGTCATTTTAACAATCTTACGCCCACTAAATAATCATATAAATATAGATATATAACATTTTATAAGGACAAATTGACGTAGATCACAATCTAAAGTTTGTATAAAACGGCCCATCGGTTTAAATAAATTACTAAAAGTTGAAATAACAAAAGTGTACCATTTTTTAAATATTCTGACTTGAAGAAGTAACAACAACGCTTCCATAAACAATAGAAACAAAAAACAAAGTGAATTCTAATACAATACGAAGGCTAATGTGATATAATTATTTACAAATATATAAGTATTACTTTCAGTAACTTTACTGTGCGTTAATTCCGTATATCGAGGTTTATATATAAAATGTTTCCCCATGTAAATTGCGAACACCTACAATATGCAGGCTTAAAGCGATGAGTGCAGCTCACACTTTTATCGCCGGGACACAGCGATCATACACACAAGTTGGTCTCTGCGCTAAGGGTGGGGCATTTGCACTTCGATATTCAATTTTGTCTTACATCGCACACGTACACCATTAATTACACTAGCAAACCGAAGTTCCTTAATTACAAAAGGAATAGTATCCTTGGACTCCTTACATTAACAGTTCGTTTTACACAAAAGGATTTTGAATCGTAATAAATTGTTAATCGAGTTATACATGTATTTGCGGCTTTCTCATAGTGGCCGGCGCGTGCGCGCCTCCGGCCGCCGCTACGTGAGTAGCTTGAAGAACATAATTCCTAATGAGATGTTGATGAACAGCACCAAGATTATTAGCTGTTGCCGCGAAAACCAGTCCTGAAAATATAATTAACATTCATTTGTTTCTGTTATAATATAGATAATAAATCTACGTGAGTCTTTAAGAATTAACGACATTTACTTGTTTATGTTAGCGCTAAGACTTATTTGTCTACGAAAGTTTAATATTTGATAGAAGACAAGGAATAATGTTAACCGTTATTGTATTGTCACTCCATTTATGTTTTTATATATTTGAATAAATCTTGTTTTTGTTAAATTACCTTGACTTGCGGACTGACTAAGTAGAGTAGAGGGTTGGCTCTTAATTTCTCTGACTCTTCGTACATTCGTCGCACTTCCTCTCTCCGCGCGGATCCAAGAGCTGACACCTCTTCGCGGGACATACCGCCGCCATCTGGCATTCTTGGCATTCCAGCGACGTCAGGCAACGACTTTTTACGTTGGAGGGCCTGTGGCGTACTCAACATCTGGAAAAGTTATAAAAATGTCTTTTTTTATCTTGAAATAATAATATTATGAAAATTTCCTATATAAAACCACTACGAGGGATTGTTTTAGATTTGGCATATTGCTGATTTGAAGTTAAGCCGAAGAAGTCAACAAGCTACTTAGCTTGTTTTATCAATTTTTCTCATACTACTATCCATCCAAATAGAAGGTTTTCAACGAAACTGGTTTAACAGTGGAATCGTCGAAGTTATATGAATTTACTAATACCCTAATTAATATACCTCAACGGGAGGAACATTAATCCAACTTTCAGAGGCCCGCCGGGCGAGAATCGCCGGCGAGCACATAAGATCTTCATCTTCCTCTTCATCCACTTGGTACCACATTATTTAAATTGTTACTCAAAATATCTACACCTCACACGTTATCAAAACTTTTGTTACTTCATGTCGTAAAATGTTACACAAGTTTTTATGGTGTGAATGCCGCAAATAAATAGTTTTGTTTATTTTATAAAATATTCGGAATTTCCTATTTATATCTAGTAAAGAGGTGAAGCGCGGAAAGCGGCAACGAATGACTGTCTCAAATTAGAAATAGAACGGGCTGGCGAGCTCCCGCCGCCCACCCACCGCATCCCGACTCCCGAGCCAAACGTGTACAACTATAACCATCTGTTTTATCCGTGATTTTTACAATATTATATATTTTTTAATTGATCAAGATGATAGCCAATAGATTTGCTAGTCAACATATCGAAATTCAAATTAAGGTTTAATGAATCACTTCCGGAAGGTAAAAGATTATGTCACGACACGATTACGCTCCTGCTATTTGTATTTTTTAATTGTGTTGTACGAGTGCCAAATGGTTTTAGTTAGTCCGGTAATTACACTAACCGAAAGTAATGTGTCACGATACTTTGCAAGCCAGATTTAGGCTCATTATCATTAGCATTTCATTTTTATTTAATAAAATAAAATAGTATTAGTACCTAGAAGTAAAACATGTTCAATTTTAAAATATTTACGGAAACTTGCTAGGTTATTCACAATGCCTCTTCATGAATTCGAAGGTTAATGTTCGTAAAATATTAAATTTTCTGTTACACGTTCTTTTAAATATTTTAACCCGATAGATAGGTTGAGTTCTATTAAGAAAAAACAGTTAGGTCTGTTAAATAAGAAAATAATCTTACCTTGCGTCCACCACCGCCTCCGCCGCCTCCGCCGCCACCACCGCTTCCCATAGGCGCAGCCGGTGGTGGCGTCGGGTTTTGCGTAACATACAAACTCTCCGTACGCTTTGGCTGATAAGGAGATGGTGATATTTCTTGACCCAAATTACGCTTCCGCAATAACGTATCTTCAAAAGGCTGTTGTTCCCGAGACGACGCGCGGGAAATAGAACCTCGGCCAGACGCTAGGTGTCCATTACTAGCGGGAGTAGCCGCTCGGGATGGTGGACGCGATGACGAAGCTGGTTGTGGGGCTATAGACCCTGACCTTGACCCGCTACTTGGTACTGCAGCTTCAACCGACGGTTGTCTTGATCGCCTTCCGTATCTGTCGACACTCGAATCTCGGCTTGGGGGTCTTTTATAGTGATCGAAGTAATCAATCGATGGCCGACTTGTTGTCTGCCTTAAATCTCTCTCTCCATTAATGACATCCTGATCCGTAGGCTGCCGATACTGTTGTTGGTCCATAGTCGGTTGCCTGTAAAGTTGCTGGTCCGGTGCTTGTCTATAATTTTGGACATCAGGCTGTTGGCTAAACTGCTGATCTGGGCCTGGTCTATATGCCGGTTCTTGTTGTCTATATGTTTGTGTATCTTGTCGATAGCCTTGTTGGTCAACATTAGGCGTCTGCTTATCCAGTGCTCCTTCCGAATGAATCGTTCCCGTACGTAGTCCATTCCGTCCATATACTGCTGTGCCACTATCCACGTACGTGGTGCTTTGCGGGTCGTGACGTGGTTGAGCAAGTATACTTTGTCGTCTTGAAACTCCTGGTCCAGCATTCCACTCTTGTGGTATTCTTTGATTCAGTGACTGCCTCGTTGCTGATGACACTCGACGATCTTGATTGGTGTATTGTTGATTAGTCTGATCGACGCTTTGTTGTTGTTGCAAGCGGTACGCTGTAGCTTGTGGATTTAAGCCAAAACTGGCTCCGGAATCTCCTTGATATTGTTTTTGACTATCGAATGCAGGATTTTGTAAATTACCACTATTAGGCCATGTTTCGTGCGAGGCATTATAGTATGAGTCATAGGTTGTTCCTGTATTTCTATCGTCAGTGTTATAATTAGTATTATTTGCGTATCTAGGGTCAACAGACTGTGCTGGTGGTTTTCCATATTGCGCCGAAGGTCTTCTAGAAGATATTGAATTTGGAATTTTATTCATTTGAGGAAGTTGCGTGTGGGTCGGAGGGATGTGATTTGGAATGCTCTTTCCGTCCAAGATCTTTTCAGATTCTTGCACTGGGGGTGCCATTACCTGTGATTCAAAAGGCTTTTGTCTATATCGTTCTCTTAAACCTATTCTATCAAATCCGGGATGCCTGAAATCGGGAGCGAACTGCTTAGCAGTAGCTTGTGCTATATCACAGTCTTCTTTAGCTTGGTCCGCCGCTTCATCGGCTTGCTCGGCTTTCCCCCGCGCCGTTGCTGTCCTGTAATGCAATGAGCTCATTTATTTCATGAAATGCAATTATATCTATTTTAATAATTTACATGTTTTAAGATTTCTTGGTTAAGGTCTAATATTTTTTAAAATAAGTTTAAAATATAAACCAGGAATAAACAAAATAGTACCACCAAGTACCTGGAAATAGCAATATCAGCTTTTTGTAATGCAATCTTAGAAGCCCGCTGCGCCGCATTAACCGCTGAGTCGATCCGTTCGCGAAATTTAGCCGAACGCATGAGAAACATATGTTTGCGTTTCTGGCTTGTTATTAAAACGTTGTTTTTGTATTTTCCCTCCTCTCTAGTGCCATCTCTAAACGTTGTTACACCGTAGCCATACTTTCTATTTGAAAACCATTCTCCTTCATATCGAAGGCCGTCACTGCGCTCACTAATACCGAAGCCAGTTCGTTTGTCATTTTTCCATTCTCCCATATACGTTTCAGTAACAGAAGCATCTAAGTGTTCGTCCTGTAAAATTATTAGCCATAAATTCCCTGATTTCTATCATAGTGTTTTTTGTAAAGCAAATTAGAATAATCATTCGTGGAAACTATCGAATAAGATGATTCTAAAGTTAATTATTTAATTAATAGAAGGTGTAAATAAGTAACACCAAATTATAGACATCTTATAGCTAGTATATTAATTATTTCCTAAGCAGGCAGGTTTATGCAATTTAGGGCTTATGATCCGAAACATATACCAATAGCTATAATCTGAACAATTTCAGTTCCGTCCAATCTCTATGTATTACTGAGCATCCAGCATATGAAATAAACAAGCGCGAACAACTGAATAAGAGGGTATTTTATTTCCTATATTACCTCAACAATAAAACTAGTGTTGGAGTTAGTATGCAACGAGACCCTCGTCGTGGCGGAATGAGTGCTCTCGACGGACGAGACCCAAGAGGCTGCGGACCCGCCGGAACCTCCAGACCTGACTGAAGCAGTCCCTCGCGGGTCCAAGTCGCCAGCACTGCGCTCACGACGAAACCTCTGAAATTATATATTTAGTTTAACTCAAACTCAAACTCAAACTCAAAATATCTTTATTCAAGTAGGTAACCAAGTACACTTTTGAATCGTCAAGTTAAATTAATCGTAAATTTACATTTACTACCAGTTCGCAAGTCAAGGGCGTAGAGCGGGTAAGAAGAACTGGCAAGAAACTTTCCGCCACTCTTTTTAATCGCCAAGTATTGTCATACAAATTGTTTGAACTGGAGCAATTCAATCCCAAGGATTAGGATCATTTAAGTAGTCCTCAAATTTATAAAAAGCTTTGTTGATTAATTTTCGTTTAACGAGGGCTTTGAATTTATTTAGTGATAATTCTCTAATTTCGCTTGGGAGCTTGTTGTAAAAACGAATACAATTTACATATAAGGAGTGGTTTATCTTTTGGAGCCTGGTTGGTCGTACACTCAAATTAGTTCTATTTCGCGTATTATACTGGTGAAAGTCACCATTTGTTTTAAAATCGTTTATATTTTTTTGGACATACAACAAGGCTTCAAGAATATATTGACCAGATAGTGTCAATTAAATTAAATCATATGCAATTTTGAAAAACAAAGTTTGACTCATCCTACAGATTTTATAAATACGCAAATATAATAAAAATATGTACTATAACTGAGTTGTTTTAAAAATATTTATTGGTAGAGTATTTTCTCACTTGCTAGAATAAAATAATTACACTAAGTGCCTATGGTTTTATTTATTAGAAGTCAATTAAAATAAAAAAATATATCGAGTAATCGTACCCAACACAACTGATAACGTAAAGTTGACACGACAAAGGCTTGGTATTTTTTTATAACGCTCTGTAATCTTCTGTGTACTCGATGCATTTACAAATACAAAAGGAAAAACCATGCAGTATTCAATAAAAATTGAGATGTACTTATTGAAATTAAATGTATATCTTCTCATTTTCTTGCAATTGAATGAATCTAATAGGCAATCGTTGAATCCCTTATCAATATAGGAAAACCAAAGCAGGATAAACTTACATTGAACAACCCCTTTTTCGCCTTTTCTCCCAATGAACCCCGTCTTCTTGGAGGCTCATCAGAGCTGGTTCTAAGCACGAAGCCGCCTCTCGCTTCGTCCATGCGATGGTTGCGTCTATCGGAGGGATCTGGAATACCCGTGTCCGCCAGGGACGACATGGAGCCTCGGTGCTCCCGTGCACCACCACGATAGTGGGATGCGAGACCGAATGGCGCTGACGTCCGCACTCCATAGCCATGACGGAGACCTCGCATCCATTGTCCTTGATACGTTCCTGTAAAGTATTCAGCAAAATAATTTTTATTTATGTTATCGATTTAAATCGATCATTTAAATGATCATATTGATATGGAATTTATATTTTATACCCTGTAGAACAAAACGGCAAGCTAACCCAACCTGGTGTGCAAAAATAATAATATAGAAATATGTAGTTCCGTATTAGTTTAATAAATTTCTGTTATATCTGTGTTATTTTACGTTACGTAGACTAAACTTATTCTAATTATGATTTAAGTTCAGGTCGGCCACGTCGTGGCCCGATCGTAAATTTAGTCATGTGATGTGCACGAGGTTATGAAATGGTAAGTCAAAATTGGTCATAAAAGGATATAGTCCAACTATGGTAATGATTTACCATCATTTGCTGTTAAGCGGTATAATTTTATAATAATTGAAAATAGGTATACGGTAAAATAGGCAGAAAGGTTAGAAGACAAAGGCGGGACCGAATCGGGCTTCCATCATTTAAGGTCAGTCTTTTTATAACAAAAGGAAGCCCAGTTGAAATATTGTGGAAGAATCAACGTGGAATTTTAAACGAGTTTGAGATATTCATCGAGAAGTAATAAATTTATGATCAGTCTATAAGATTTGCGTACACTGAGGCAGTCTGCGTTGGCCTTCCAAATCCTTTACTTTCAATAGAAAAATAGCGACAACGAATAGGTATTATTTTAGTTCCGTACTAGAAGCAATTAATAATTTTACTCAATAGAGAATAGCTTAAACACATTTAAAAACTGTAATGTTTATTGCCCATTTAAGTACTAAATACGTCCTATTTTTTACTTATAAAACATCTGCAATGCAACACGCATTCATTGCATTTATAAATTCAAGCGGAATTACTGAACATATATTCGCATAAAACTTCACATGCTCTAAAAATGCAGAAATATTTATAACAAAATGGTAAAATTATTGACGCTTAAAACCCTATCCTAACAAATGCAATTAGAATATCAGGTACACAATTTGTTTTATTCTCAAGTAAATACCCATGTGGCAGATAATTCCCTGGGATTCGAACCCTCTTATTGTGTAATCGAATATATCGATCGATTATAATCTAAAAACTACTACCTATATCAATGCGTTGTTCGTGTAACATTTAATTTCATTTATACAGCTTTTTTATTGCTTAGTAAATATGTTGTTCGGAGAATTATACTCTCTAAGAAATAAGCAATGTTGTACTAAGTATATTTAGGTGATTATAGTTTCTTCAAATCTTATTCTTTTGTTTTAGCACAAAATAAGCCGTCGATAAATGTCGATGCGGCGCGCAAAGCAGGCGTGTCCATGCTAATTTTAACCGTTGAGGGCCGCAGATGGCGGAGCGTGCAGGGCCAACTCACAAAATCCATTCATATAAAACAAATGAAAATGCCTACCGATATTTCCTATCAGTAGCCGTTCTACAGCTGTTAACCATTGAAACACATAAATCAATCTAAATTTACTGTATCTAAATAGCAAATGGAATTGAAGGATGGCGAAAGTATGTTTAAATTTAAGAGCAATAGTAATTTTTCTTTACGAATTTTCAATATTAAATTTGGAAGAATGTTACATCCGCGATTTTATGAATGACAAATCTTAATGCGGCCGTGACTCAACAAGCCGAATATTATTACGTGACGCGTTGCCATAGCACTCTGTACTTACAAACTATAGCTACGCAACAGTGGGATTTGTTTCTCTATTGACTTTAAGAAAAACAAAGAATCAAGAGATTGCTGTTGTTTTGAAGATAATCCTCGATCAGTTAGACTTTGAATGCGAATTGCTATGCATTCGTGACCGAAGTTAAAATTGTTAATACTTTTTACAGTGTCTTGCGCTTTATTTATATATCTATCCTCAGTGTAGATTGTGGAATGGAATAAAAAGCATTAAATACAATAAAAATATTTTTGAAAACATCCACTTTAAGATAAATCTATCCGATAATACAATGTATTTATTGATAAACGTTAGAATTCATTGGAATCGTATTACTGCTTGCAGCGTGATTCATTTGAACTGAGATTAAATTATTGTGCATAGCATCACGCACCGACTAATGTTTTTGTAGGCATTGCACAACTGTGGTTTTCTTTTTAGTCCACATTCATTATATAGGTTACTGGGTGCTTTCCATCTGCGCTATTATTAAGCCGTGGAAAGAATTGTACCAGGAGGGATTGAGTCTTGTATAGGAAAATTAGTTCGCAGCTATAAAACAGATAACGACCGGTAGACCAAGCTTTTATGAACCGTTTCGAACGATGACTAATTTATGAAAACATGTCCGGTATAAAATGTAGGCTATAATATCAATAACTGCTTACAAAAGCAAAACATGAGTCAATTTTATATTTGTTCTGTGGGATAATGCCATAGTTACACTTTCTTGGAAATTAAATATTCCTCAACGTTGTTAAATATAAACTTGATTGTCAACATTATTTTTGTATAGTAGCTGTACTTATTGTAAAATCTAAGTTTTCTCCCTCATATAACACCGGAATTAAGTGTGGAAGTAGTAGGCAGAGAGGACTGACTTTTATATAAAACGTGACCAGTGAAATAGACACATAAATCTCTAATGTCATGTCGCACTTTTGGGTATAAATGCATTATATATTGTATCCAGATGATAAATTCCAACTATCAAAATGTTAGAGTTTCTCATGATCCTTACGATTTACTCCCTGCGATGACGTCAGGATATATACAGAATATATTAGAATTCCAAGACAAGTGAATGTATGTTTAATTTATATCGTTTAGCCGTTGCCAATGTGGTTTTAATTGTTATGATTTAAAAATCCTAAGATTACACAACACTAGAACGTCACGGTCATGTAAACTGAAGTATTTTAGTCGGTATTCAAATCATTTGGCAATGAGTATGTACTGACCGCCGTCGGCGTATGTTTCAGAGCCGTATCCATCTTGCATTCCGTTTGCCCAGGTGCCTTCATACTTGGCGTTGCTGGTAGTGCTCTGTCTAACTCCATAGCGACCTTTGTAGCCTTGTGTCCATTCTCCACGGTACAGCCATCGGTCTCGAGTTTCCACGCCCAGGCCGTGGCGCTTTCCGTTTTGCCATTGTCCCTCGAATGAGCTCCCACTGGAATTCGGAAAAAGAATTGTTTAATACGATTTTGAATTTTTTTTATATTCTAACCGTACCTATTCTATCCGTTAGAAGAGTAGTCGATGAATAAGTCATAAAAACGACTACTCTTCTAACTTCTTTAGTTAGTAACTCAATTATGTTTACGCTGTGAAAAGAAACAGACTTTAGTAAAACGGTGCAATTAGACTGACTGTTTTATTTGGGTAAGTTTACGGTTACATTCCAAAATATAAGAATCGAATTGATAAGAAACCTTTTGTGTAAGCAAATGACTGAGAAGTATTGCAAATAAATGCTAATTATCACAAATATAAAAAATACAAAAAATTATTATACTTTTAAATGGTAAATAATTAAAATATATATACATATTTCACGTGAAATTTTGGAACATATATTTTATTGTCTTTGGTTCATGCGAGTATGTAAATAATGATGAAATAAATTCACGTTACAATCCGTAACAGTGTTTTTACGTTCGAAAGAGAATTAATATGGTTGTTGTGTTAAATACTTGTACTTTAAATAACCTTCCAATTGCTATAAAACTTTTCCAGTAATATACGAGTTTTTTGGATTATTATTGATGTTAAAAAAGACTCGTGAAGTCGGGTTAGGTAGGCTTGACGTACCTACCTGGACCAAATCCAGAAGGTACTAGAGGGACAAGTTAAAAGTAAGTGAATGTCATGAAAGTGGATGAAGCGAAGGATGTATGTCAGGATCGTAGCAACTGGAGATCCGTAGTATCTGCTTATACCTTCGGGATGATTTAAATAAATAAAGAAAATTCTATAATATCAAAGTGTCTTTGATATCGACTATTGGTATCTAAAACGGACATAAAGCTATTCTAGAAGCCTAATTAAATATAGTGTCGTAAAATTGGAATCGTACTTATTATTAATAACAGTATTGTTTGCAACAGGTACCTACTTGAAATAGTTTTACATGTAAAGCAGATACTAGAGAATGAACGATGTTCTATGGAATTGACGTAAGCTACGAGGTTCATTTATTAATAAAATATAATGCTACGTAACGACGTCATTATTTATTCAAAGGCGACTTGTAGCTTTAACTACGCCCATATTTTATGTAGACTGTAGTTTTTTAGGACAATGAACAAAAATATTTTTCTATATGAATTATTTTTCTAACTTTGTTGCGCGTAATGAGAAATCTTATAGACCATAGAGAATTATAAAGTGGATAAAAAACTTTTTTAATGCTCCCTTTTAAAATGTATACACACGTGCATACGTATAAACGTATTTCGTATCTGCTTAATTCATATAGTGATAGCCTCTTTAACAATAATCGTGACAATATAAACTTTAAGTACGTTATATTTACAAAAAATTAGTTTTAAGGTCTTTTTAAGGTTTTTAATGTACTCTGACCATGGCATGTCTTTAATGATGTGGTAGCTACTTTGTGAAGTCGGAAACACCTCGAATGGCAGTTGTAACTCACAAAATGTGGTTAGCGGCAAATAGTGCCTCAGAAATACTTGGTAGTGGAAAGCGAGAGAAGTCAATACGGATAAAATCTTGGCTTCTGGCTTGACGAACGATGATTAGATTCAGCTGCATGTAACAATCAAAACAGTTATTCGGACCGTTCTTCATAACATATGTTATCTTTATATAGAAGTTAAAGTTTGCTTTACGATTTAAAAAAAAAAATCGTCTTTTATCAGTTGCACTATGATTGGTTATAGAAGAAAAGCGGTGTCAAATCTACTTATTGTCGCACATATTAACATTACTCTAAACTCTAACTAAAGCCTACTAATGGCACCACCATCACCATCGAAAATAAATGTTACAAAAGTCTAGATAGTTGAGAAGAAACAAAATTTATACTTTTTTGTGTGATCTGTTGTTAACACATTTTAAAGACAGTACTTCGTCTACGTATATTATTACCGACAACACTGAAACTAAATAACCTTGAACGAGAACTAGGGCGGCGTCGCTACTCCCCACAGTATTCACCCCTGTTTCCTATGTAAATGTATACCTTCTCATTACTACTGAGTACCAGTGTTTTAGCTGGTCTTATATAGAATTTAGTTTGCAAATACAGAGGTACAAAGGTACATTAACCTCAACACGTTTCTGGATCTTTCACCGACTATTTTTACGTCGAAAGTTAATTTTTGTCTCTTCCATCCCAACAACACGTTTTAGACAAATTCGTTTAGCAATGAATATTGTAAATAAAAATTACAGAGCTAACTGTAGACATACCATGACGTAACATAGAGACAACTTTGCAGTAAACTTAAATTAACAACTGTGTATTGGAGAAATTAAGAACTTTACATGTAGGCTCGGGCGGTGAACGTTTGTTTGATCAGGTTCACTTCAATGTTTACTTTTAAGTATGTAATTCAGATCTTGCGTTAAGGGGATGCGTAAGGTCCGGATATACACACAATGAAATACAGATGTTGCCAATTTTACATACACAAGATTAAATTAATGGAACCCTGGCAAAAGCAAACAAAATCTTTATTGTAAGCGGGTTTATCTAAAAATTTATTTAACAAGAGTAATACTGATTTATTACACCTTAAGTTTGTTTATAGTTAAACCGCGTGCAGTGAGGTGAGAGAGCAGTGTTAGCCCCGTGGTTTAGCCTATGACATTGACCTAAGGCCGTTGGTTCGTTGAATGTCAGTTTCAATAAATGTTTCATTTTGACCGGTGATGTATGTCAGGCACAGAATGCTGATCACCTACAGTCTTGCCTATGAAACGATGAATCAGGAAAAATTGTCATGATATAGATGCGAAAATCTAAGGTATTCCTCAATAGATAGGAATACTTTATATTAAATAGGTAAAGCGAAAAAAGAGATGTTTAGTTTTAAAATTAGGAACTATAAATACTACTACTGCAATACAAGTGTTGCGAAATATTTTATTAATATTAATTCTCAGTATCGTTTAATTCAAACGAAAAGACTTGAAAAACAGGTACATTGTTTTCCTTCGTTGTACGTTACAGGACGGTATTGTCCGCCCACGTATCATGACGCATCATTCCCATGAAATTACGCTCAACTATGACGAGGTGACACCGACATTTTATTTTTACTTAACAGTGCACTTATGCAAACTAATTTCCGATTGAATATAAACTGTATAGCATAATTCAACCAAATCTCTAAAATACTAAAGCAATATCAACAAAGCTACTCTAACCATTTGCCGAGTCTTACTATTTTGATATTATTGTTATGTATAGCAGATATATATTCATGATTTAAAATTGGTCAACCCATAATAAGTTGTCGTACTTATAGTAAATTACTTCTCAGCACTTTCGCTTTGAGCCAAATAAATGACTTTAATTATATTTTAGGTTCTAATTATTTGCTACTCTTTAAATTTTATATTTATAATTTAGCTACATGTTAATAATTTAATATGTGCGCGGAAAGCCTCGTTACTTGTTGATAGGCGTGGAAAAATTGCTGCGTCTGTTTCAGTGAGTGAATTATTAAGTCTGGCGTCAGCATTCTTTTTATTTGAACTTGTAACGATTTTTTGTTTCGCCACCTATTGAACCCAGGATCTCGGATACGCACTGTGTTGCCAATTAAGCCACGGAGGGAGTATAGTTATAATAAGCGTTGGTTTTATTATACCAACTTCGTCTTAATATTATTATAAAAATATAATTTTTTCTGTGTCTAAACCATCGAACTAGTTAGTCCCTCATTTCATTTACGAAGTATAAAAATACACGTGAACTTATTACTGACATATTATTATAAGTCTGACTAATTTTGATAGTAAGTATATCAACATGAGAAGGTTTTAATAACGCCTTGTAATTCCGCCGAAATCACACACAGATTAACAAGAAGTAATTTTTAAGCCGGTATAATCCAGAGGTGATTAGATTCCAGGCGAAACATAATTTTTTTTCAGGTTCTACTAGATACTTCAAGCATAGAAGGCATTTTCATATTCTTATTCATTGATTAATCGTTCGTTGTTCTCAATGATCAATGGAAAATACACTGAAATGTACCTACCCCACACGAGACTTCAAATAGAGTATTTGTTGTAATCAAAATGAAACGATTTTTTTATAACAATTAAATTTCAAAATAAATTTAACAATTTACTTTTCTTTACGATTGCTCTTTGTTAAGCAAGGTTAGCAGAAACAATGGAGCGTTTTTCCGACACGAAGAAGTTGAGCAATGATTATTTGATCTTAAATTGTTGTTTATACGATTTCATACAGCAAAATTAGTTTATAATTAGCTATTTTTTTTTATTTAACTGTAAAATAATGTATATAAACTTTTAAGTTAATACATATGTAAAACTTAACAAAAACGATATATGACAAATGTAAAGCACACTTATTCACCAAAGTTAATTAAGATGTGAAATCTCGAGACGTTGTTAAGTCAAAGCCTACATTGAGTACTGTTGTAACCATCTACATTCTAGGTCAAGACGTCAACTAGAGCAACCCTTGTGGTTAGAGCTAGGTTTTATATATTATTATGGCATGTGAGTGATATTTGACAGGTCAAGGGCGTTCGGAAGTGATATTATTTCTCTAGACACTAGGAGAATAGAGTCTTCTTCAAAGTTCACAAGAATTATCTATATTGTAGATGGTGAGCGGGTTTTATATGTGTTCACCATGTCCACCCCATTGAGTAAGAAAGCTTGATTTGAAATAAATATATAATTATATCATAAATAAATATTATATTCCAATTTTCATGGGACGTATAATGTATTTATATAAGTATTAATCGGCATAATTCACTTCAGTGAGTTTATAGCCCAAATATCATAATGTATTATCTACTATTTATCTAGAAATTAAAAAAGATTAAAGGTTGGTGTTTTTGAAGATGTAATTTTATCATTTCTACGTATTCCGTATAAAATTACTGCTATGTGCATGTCCGAAAAAAAATATATAGGTACACGCCTTAGTTCCCTGTTATGTCCTAATACCTATAAAAACCTAACCATAGGTATCAACGTACTGCTTATTTTGTGAAGTTTCAAGAATTACAGTTTTGGGGTTTACTATTATTAGGTTTCTCTTAGTTTACTGCATTATAAGCACTAATTTATTAGCCTAAAAAAATCAAGGGGTTTTTATTCTACTTTTAAGACTCAACACATGGGATCCCACTAAAACGTCGGGGTAAACGTTTTATTTATTTTGGCTATTCACGTAGAAAACAGGATAATGTATAATATTAAAAAAATGTATAACTCAATTACAATGTCGCGGGTTCACACTATTTTGATGGAGCAACGACCTGGCGAATGTGGGTTACACGGGAGGCGTCCGCCGAGATTAATAGGAAAGCCTGGCACAGCAACGCATTCTGCCCGAGCCACATACTGTTTGATGTCTATATCTCATATAATAATATAAATTTTTAATGACAGGTTTTAAGCTAAGTTTTGTTCTATATAGTTCTATGGTATTGTAGGATAGTTAATATTTGATTTCTATTGATTGTACTGAGTCTAACTGGAAGTTATTTTTTAACAAGACTTAGTGGACTTAGTTTAAGTATAACACATAAGAGATTAAGAAAAATCAGTTCGTAATGTAATGTAGAATGTTATCAGACAATTTTCAGTCACATGTCAGTCCCCGTGACTGAAAGATTGAACATCTGCAACACATTAGCCTCAATTACAATTTATAAAAGCGTTGTGCTTCTGCAAATATATTAGCATGGTGTCTAATAGACTTGTTTACATCTAACAATGGGTCAATTGACGGGGCAATAAGAACGTTTCAGTTATAGTTACACGGCATGCGTTATCAATATCTTATCATTATCATACACTACAGATCGATATGTAGATATAGTTCCTCGACGACTGAAACATTAGGCACTTTCACCGCTGGTACACGCGTTTTCTAGCGAAACACCGAACTCAATTATTAATAGCGGACTATTTTTGGAGTCGCTTCGGACGCGGATTTCGGGCACGTGCGAGGCCCGGGCTGAGACACTATCTCACCTGGGCCAGGTGTAGACGCCGGATACTTCGAATCCATAATGCCAGGAGCCGGCGTACGCTCCTTGGCCTTTGGGCCCCGTGCACACACCATGGCCATGGGCCTTGCCGTCCTCCCAGCCTCCGCAGTAGGTGCCGCCGTCGTCGAAGTCGAAGCGGCCACCGTTGAGGCCGCGCTGGGGGGGGCTTCCGCTAGCGGCGAGCGCGGCGTCGGCTGGCTCGCTCGGCTGCATCACGCGGACCCGTGCTGCCGCGGAGGGGGACGCCTCCCGCGCGCGCCCTCCGCCGAGCTCGCGGTATAAATAAACATCAGCTGGGCATGTCGCGCCGTGGCGCGCGGCCGAGTGAACACCACACCGCTTCTGCGCGAGAACTGCCAGCGACGCCCGCCGCCCGCCCTCGCCCTGCCGCCCGCCCGCCCAGCGCACTGCGCAATCCCAACTCGCTTCACAATACGCGCTTAACCGCTATATTGACTTCATTAGCGAAATGCACTTCTCTTCGTCCCCGTGACACGTTTCATTTTAATAGCCGAGATGATTTTTTCTTAGTTAACTTTAGAACTAGTTGTGGTTAACAAGACATCGTCAAAACAATATAATAATCATTTTTTGTAACCAATTTTAATTTGTTACTAAGTTTTATTAAGTTACTCAAACAGTCAACCACAAAGTTACTAATAAGCTAAATGTTAATAAATAGTGACATATTAAGTTATCTATTATATAGCTTTTAGTCTAGTCTTCTACATTACTGTTAGGAAACATTTAAGGTTAATTTAATTAAAATACACAAAAACAATTAAAATATGATATTTATGCTTTATTAGTTTGGCAGTGACTTATTTATAATTTTAATAAAATATATTGGTTTCAAAATGAAACCATATTAACTTTGTGTGTGTCTTAATGTAATGTGTGACATTTATTATGGACTTAATGATAAGAATTATTTAAGTACAACGCTTTCATGTAAAACCAAATAAACTATAAAATTTTACATTGTATTATTTTAGCTGCACCTGATCAACAATTATTTACACTTATCTTCACCATTCCATTCAATACCGTTACCAGGCAATGGGCTTTTGAAATAAGGCGATAACCATACCAAATACCACCTTGACCCAAATACTTCTATTACATTCTGTTTAAGGCCTCTATGGTAAATTACTTCTTTAGAATTGTGTTTAATTTCGGGTGTAACTTTTCCCTTTAAAAGATTATTCAAATGATAAAAGAAGAGAAAGCCAGTAAACATGGCAACTATAAAATTGATTTCAACAAGGAACACATAAAAAGTCTCGTCACCAAAATCTATTACAAAAAAGGCCAAAGGAAAAAGGAATTTTCCAATAACCATGCCATTATTCCATTTTAAGTATATGGCTAAAAATTTAACATTGTAATAAAATGCATACACCATTGCAACAAATATATAAAATGTAAAACACATAAAATATCTATGATTATAGTAACCTACACAGCAGGCAAAGAAGGTGCAATGGTGGTCTCTTTTCAGTATACATAAATCACAAGTATTGCAATGCCAGGCTCGAGGAGGCCTAAGACACTCACACACAGCACACAGTGTCCAATTATCTTTGTTTTCAGAATCCAGAACTCTCCCTTTTATACTTGTATCAGTAAACATTCCATATATCATATTTCCTAATATATTCATTAGAAGAAATGTTGCACATGCTAAATGTACTAAGAATGGGGCACTCCATTCTTCTACTGTTGCAGGGAGAACTACAACCAATTCAAAATACAGAAAAGCTGGCACTAACACAAATATTATGGTAAGATATGTACCATGTTCCAAAAGTCTTTTTAATAGCTTATTTTGAATGAATTGCAATTTTAGCAACATCTTAATATGTTTTTTATTGCAGGTCCCTTGTACATATCTGAAAAATAAATAATGTCGGTTTATAGTTCAGTTCCAGCTTGAATTTGTTATATTAAGGAAATAGGTAAGATTCTTATCTTTTTCAAGATAAACATACTTTTATGAAATTGACTATACATTTATAAGGCACACTTTTATACGTATGCTTAGTAAGAATATATGTATATTTTTTCATAAAAGAATACTTTTTTTCTTTAATTCTGAATATATCATAGAAATTGCTGGATATAATTGTCTTATTTAGATTTTAGTAATTAAATAATAAAGTATAAAATACTTATGTTTTCGAATCAGCATTCAGCTGGTGGTACAAATAGGGATGAGAAAAAAGTATTGATATCTGGGAATCGATACTTTTGTTCCGAGACTTTCTAAAAATATCGATACTTCTCTTTTCATCATTTCTACGTATTTCATTGAAAAGTTCTAGAAGTTTTATTGCGAGTTACCTTTACGGGTTGAATAGTCTATATGGTGCTTTATTGTCTTTTAAACTATTTCAATTATTCAAATTTAATGCAGCCCTTAATAGTATTGCTGTATTATTTGCCTTTCAGTTCCTTAGATATATAGGAAATTTCTTCTCTGACATAAATAAATTAATATTTGCAACGCTCGTATACTTGGAATTATAATAATAAACTCAAGAAGGTGCCACCGCTCATAGGAACCAGCGAAATGCGGAAGCATTAAAAATGTGACAAAATGGTCATTTAAAATTGGTTTTAACCTCAAAGGTAAGTATTTTTTAAGTTATGTATATATGGATTTTGCGAAACTGAAGAACACAAACAATAACGATGGGCCGTTGGTCTAGTTATTAGTGACCCTGACTGCTAAGTCGTGCCAAGGTCGTGGTTCGATTCCCACCCAGGCCAAATTTATGAGATGAGGACGGTAATTTTTTCCGTGTTTCTGGGTATATGTATATTATTAGTATGTTTATCAGTAGTCTGGTTGATTGTGAAATGTGTAAAGTATATTATGATTATTATTAACACTTCGTTCACTTTTATTACAAATGAATTAAAAAGTAGGCGGTACCTTAAGGTACGCGTACGTATCGATACTTTTGATACGATTAGGTAGGTATTCTGGTATCCAGTAGTCTCCGTACTTTTGAATTTTTTATGACGCAAGTAATGCACTGACAATTGATATATATAACGTCTGCCATAGATAAATCTCAAACAGATATATAATCCTTAAACGCAGATTATAGAGGCTATATTATATTAAAAGGTTAATAGTTATGTTGAATTTTTCTCATTCACAATTTTTTTTTGTAATACAAAAAGACATTAAAATTTATTGATATTCGACTAAGAGTGTTTTATTTGACAGTATTGTTTCCTTTAGAGAAATCAAAATATGTAAGTACAGGAATTTTCGTGCATTCTTGCAAACATTTCTTAGTACTAAAACGGTTAAAGTATAGCAGGCTTACCTTTTATTTGTAAATAAAATATCATTTTAATAAATAGAGTTTATTTTCTTGATCATAAATTAACTTTTACTTAAGCATACTTAAAAAATCTTTCAAAAATACACAATATATAAAACGATAATAACCTTAACAATCATCCAATATCTTAGACAATGTTTTATAAATCTCTTTGAGTCTGGATAATGCAATATTACTAATTTCAACTTGCATTTCACTGGAAGGTATATATGACTATTTTAATTTTTGTAGAACTTCTTACTACTGTCTTTGGCCATATCAACGAGGGTCTGCGCTGGTTTAAAAGGAGCTCCATATAAGCCTTGGTATTCTTCCATCTTCTTCACTAATTTATCAGCTCCAAATTGGTCCACCCATCTATGAAAAAGACCATTCTATTATTCATATTACCTTATAAGTAGCTTTTTAAAAATTTATTAAAGTAGCTGATATATATACATTTAACTAAATTACACTAAATGATTGCTTATAAACTAAAAAATAATTTTCTAATTAGTAAAATATATTACTAGTACTTCCCAACTGATATTGAAATTAATAGACTTACACTTTGCTTATGTGTTTGGTGATTGTTGTGTCTGTGTGATATACTTTATAAACTAGTGAGCCTGAGAGGTTCAAAAATGTTTAGGGTCTGTGCGGCAGGATACCGTTGCTAAAGGTAACAGCAGTGTTAAATTACCTTTTTTGTTATAATGATAAGTTATGACATAGCTCGACAGTAATCATCTTGATACTTAATATGAAAAAATAAAAGTATATAATTTTGATAGATAGCAAAAAAGAAATTTATTAGTCCGTACAACAGCCACGTCGGTTCTCTTTCTCCACATACTATCTATATTGTATTGTAAAATAAAATTACCTGAAAGGTCCACCAGTGAACGGCGGGAAGCCAAGACCGAAAACAGCACCAATATCACCTTCTAATGGACTGTGTAGGATTGTCTCTTCTAGAGAGAGCACCGCTTCGTTGACGAATCTAAAAAAAACAAGTTAAAGAGAAAAACGAAAACAAGGTATTTTGTTAGTTGTTCAAAATAAATTTAAGATTTATCGAATTTTATTCCAAAACATATATTGTATATAGCGCTGTCATAATGTCAAATGACAAAGATAAATAATAGTTGTTTGACAGATCTTGAGACTAGATTTAGTATGTGTTTAGAATATGTCTTAAAATAATAATTATTCTAGATTAAAACTTAAATATTATTATTTATTTATCATATGACCCTATAATGGAACTCTATAAATAATATGTTTTTTTTTCAAAAATATGTATATGACAATAACAGTGAACATAAAAATTACAAAAAATATTGAAAATATATATTACACTACCAAAAAAGAGAAGAAAAGGAAATGTAAATACAATTTTTTTGCAAATAAAAATCTTAATATTGTGCTTATTCGCGTAATTTAGGTACCTAATATAGAATTTTTTAAACATAATCTCTTTTATTAAAATTTATTTGTTAATATTGCATAGGTAATCTTTTGATAAAGAAATTACCATTAATTTGATGACTGCAATGAAATTTGGATTTATAAAACTGTCCTTTCTATACATGACATAAAAAGTTTTGGGGCCCTAGTTTCTAGATTGGAGAAACAAAAGAAGCATTATAAGAATTGGCATTTGATCGTATTAACCACTTAACTTTTTAATTAACTGAGTCTAGAGAGAATTTTAGTCAATAAACCAGAATTCATAACATGAGATTTGACGTCTATTAGCAGGAGGCATGGTGAAATAGGAGCACGCACTTACATTCTCGTGGGAACAATACGCAAATATTGATGTATTTCAAGAGCTGTCAACAAAAAAAATCTGTATGTTTTGTTGACATTTGACAGCGCTCAATACGGGATTGTGACATGAGAGTTGACAAGAATTAAAATTACTTACGTGTACACTTTAAAGATTAAAACAGTGCCCAGGCTAAGCATAAGCAACTAACATTTGAATGCTTACCTAGAAACCATTCTTAACTGATGATCTTCCGGGGTTGAAGCCCCTCTTGGTTCCAAAGAGTACTTGTCTTTAAGCATTTGAATTGCATCCATATTTACATCCTTGTTCTTGGTACCTTTCTCGTATACGTAGAAGCCTTTGCCGGACTTTCTGCCCATAAATCCAGATTTGACGAAGTCCTGCATAATGTTTAGGTCTCCTCCGCTGATTCTATCACCAAAGGCCTGCAATTTTATAAAATATTAAAATTATGTTAATATATGTAGAATGAGCCTTGATTAAAAAAAATATGTGCGTGTACTAGTGTACACATGTAAGAAGTAAAACTTCTTTGACCTTATTTTTCGAAAAATTATCTATTATATGCAACTTTACAGAAATTGGTTAAATAAAGTTAACTTAGATAAAGTTAAAAAAAAGGCTTTTATTATCATAGCCATGAATACAAATAATACAATTATTTCATTTTACCTTATTACTACTAAGACTATTACAGAATTTCATTAATTGTAATATAATTATTACTATCATTGTTATCGTTTTTATATTTTTTTGTTATTAATGGCTTCGAATCAACCGTGGTAGGGACAAGAAAAAGATGGCGCGTAACGGAAAAATGTGACGGTAATTTTTTTTCCAACGCCGATAAAGAAGTTTCACTTCAAAAAAAAAAAAATATATGTTTATTATGGAATAATATTTGTATCGGTAGACATCCCTTCTCATTGGCAAAAAATTGAGCTTTGAGCGTTAAAATCATGGCAGTTCACCAATTAATTCTGTTCTATGTGCAACTCTAAGTTCGGCACGTACGGGAAGGGATCATGAGAAAACCGGCATGCTTTAGACCCAAAATTGTATTGTCAGGCAGAAGGCAGAATCACCCTTATGTCTGTTAAAAAACCCGATACGAATATCTCAGGCCAAGACCAAGGGTTGTAGCGTTGTCTTTTTATAAAAAATAGAAGAGTAGATCTCCATTATTCGAGTCATTCAAAATTTGTCTAATAAGCACAGAATTCGTAATAACACTAGAGAGTTTAGATAGACTTGTTACCGCAATGAATCTCTACATTCTGGCACATTTTTTTAAGTATTGTATTTATTATAATTATCAATGGTGCATTTTAGCAATTGTGAAATATTTAATTACACTGTTATTATTATGTTGCGTTGACAGCTACAAGTGAGGAATGGCTTTAACATTTCTGCTGCCTTATTATTACGATATATATGGGGCTGCTAGAACCAGAGTGGCCTAACTGCATTTTAGCGACTTTTGACTTAATTGCATTTTTGTAATTTAAAAATCTTAATTTACAAAACCAGAGTGGCCTAAACTGGTTTACATGATCGCGACAATAGATGGCGGTACAAATACATTTCGGCTTATAATCAAATCGACTAAAATCAAAGTGCCACAGTGGCCTATGAGGGTTAATCCTCCTTAAAATTGTCTTGAAACCCATGATGCTGCTACTGATAAAGTCACTATGTGTTTATGGGATGAAACAATTGCATCCAGAGGTCCCCAAGAGATAGGATCTTGTTTGCTGAGATATATTAAAGAAAATGTGACTACCAAAAAACTTATTCTTTACTCTGATCAATGTGGTGGGCAAAACCGGAACATAAAAATTGCAGTTTTGTGTCAGTATATTACAGCTCACCCAGATTTTATAGTTGAAAGCATTGACCACAAGTTCTTTCTTAGTGGTCATTCTTACTTAGCTTGCGACCAAGATTTTGGGTTGATTGAGAAGAAAAAGAAACTATTTAAAAATATATGTGTCCCTGATGATTGGGATGAAGTAATTAAAGCTGCAAGGAAAAAAGAGCCTTTTGTTGTTATAAAAATGAAAAAAGAACACTTCTTTTCTACAGACTGGAAATGAATATTACCAACAGAAAGATTACCAGTGAGGACTCCAAAGTAAAGTGGTTAAGCATTCAGTGGCTAAAATACCACCAAATGCACAAGCATAAAATATTTTTCAAGTACTCAAATAATGAAGATGTGCATTTTGAGTATGTTGATTTAAGCAAGAGGAATACCACTGATATAACTGAACTAGAACTTCTATATCCTGATGGAAAAGCAATCAGTAAAGAGAAAAAGAAAGATTTACTGGATTTACTTGATAATATTCCACTAATTCATCATCAGTTTTACAATTCTATTAAAGTCAGCCCTACTATAAGCAATACCATACATCTCACCCAAGAGAATAACTACAGTGATAGTGATTAAATTTAGGATTTACTCTTTATTAATAATAAATAGTTCTGACTTAAGTTTGTGTTCTCATTTATTATTTGATACTTCTTAATGCCATAGTGGCCTATCTGTAAAAAAAAACGTACATCCGGTAGATAATTTAATTTTAAATATGCAATAAATAAATGCGTTATTTTATAATTCATAACACGTAGTAAATAACAATACCTTCATTAGAGTAATTTATTAAAAATGAGTTTGAAAATGACACATTTTGACTTTCCTCTGTATTGTAAAACATGTTTTTTGTAGTTAGGCTACTCTGGTTCTAGCAGCCTCATATGATGTTGTTGTTGATGTTTGTACTAGATACAAACTATGTATATACAATTCAGTGAAAAAATATTACGCAGACCTTCAGTTGTAAATGAAATGATGCCTAGCAAATAAGAATTACATATTGAAATATAGTAATTTGTATAACGGTCTCTTTTCACACAGACTATCTGTAGATATGTTTTTGACAATTGATACACATTTTAAATGATTTGGAAATTTGTGTATGTTGCTAATCTCATAACTGTAATAAAAGACGGCTGCATTAATTCGATTTTTTTTTATTTATTCCTTGAACTCTCGGGAAGGTTTTTATGGAGAGAATAATTGAGAAATATAAAGAAATGAAAATATTTAGTTTTTAATAAAAACCTAAGTACTAAATGTACTTAGGTTTTTATTTCGGTAACGCGAAAAATCACTATGGGGTAGCATAGCAAAATGTTCCATATGTTGGTATGTAGCTACAATAAAATCATATTAAGGCGAAACGATGTTCGCGGGGGCAGCTAGTTATTAATAAATTGATATGAAATGCTTTGTATAATGAAAACGTTGTCTATAGTAATAAAACAACCACCTAGTTTACGGAATAATATTAAACATACTCTATTTTATTTAAGTGTTACTAATAATCCAAAGTATTCGTAATAAATAATATTTTGAATTTTTAAATTAAAAATTCGACGAATATTACGTACTAATACAGATAAAGTACTAATAATTAGCTTATCGTGTGTGGGAATGTGTGAGGGTGTGTGTAAAACCTCATATAAAAATAAAGATTACCTTAGCCAAGTCAGCGGCGATATGCGCGCCTACATCAATACCGACTTCGTCAGCGAGTGTAGCAGCACCCACGGGGAATCCAAACTCCTTAGTTCTCTTGTCTAGATCCTTTGGGTCTACACCCTCTTGCAATAACCTAAAAATAATTAAAATGTGGATGAAAAAGATTTTATCCTATATTGAATTACGCCAATAAATTACGGCCGATTTTGGACCGGCTAAAGGACTTGTATCCATGGTCATGTATGTAATACATTATTTAAAAAAATTAAAGCGGCGTCAGTACTATGTGAATACGTTGGGTTTTCCAAGATGGACTCCTATCTATGTAAGACGTGGCTTCGGCCATTAATATCATCATCATCATGAATACGTTGTTAAAATTTGCCCCAGATTTTGTTTAGAATGCATTCCGTAAATTGTTAGCCCAGACAGATAATGAAGTCAAATAGAATTTCACCTTAAGTTTGCGGTGAGCAAAGTTCGAGGTATATATGTACCCAAAAATGTTGGCCTAACAACATAAATTGCGGTTCCTTTTGATTAAAATTTAACCGAAGCGATGTTAAAATAAAGGAAACGGAAATGATGCAGTCTTATACATATTAGAAATTGATAAATAATAATTTTGCTTTATAAATGCAATTAATAATTGATTAATTTCACTTACAGCACATAGCGAATATAAAATAAATTATTAAATTGAATGTAACCAACTAGTGATAGCATATAACTTCGATTATACAAATAATATGCGAAAGAGTCACTCAATCTATTTAGTTTTTTGTTAATAGCACAGGAGGATCATCTTATCAAAAAAGATACCGCCACCGCCCATGGACACTCTCAATGCCAGAGGGAGCGCTAATACGTTGCCGGATTTTTAAGAATTGGTTGATGTTAACAAAAGACATTTTTTTAGCAAGTAATACAATCAGTTTTAATCACTACATAGTATAAAACTATGTCGCTTTCTCTGTCCCTATGTATGCTTAAATCTTTAAAACTACGCAACGGATTTTGATGCGGTTTTTTTAAATAGATAGAGTGATTGGAGAGGAAAGTTTATATGTATAATAACATCCATTAAATAGTGGAGGTTTCTAATGTGATGTCGTAAATAATTACATTTTTTCCGCTTACATTGCAAACGCAGGCTGAACCCTACGAGATTTATCAAAATAATGTACTAAGAATGGTACACATTGAAAAGGTCTACAGAAAACTCCGCGATGGTATATTATGTCTACCTCTTATGGATATCCCACAATAACATTTTTTCAACATTTTTCTTTGAAAACATTCACAGTTTTTACACGCTTTATATTAGCTTCACCTGTATGTATGTATGTAACCGACTCCTTTGGACTCGATTTTGACCCACTTTTAACGGACAGATTTAATTTAAACTTTGCGCACATGTCAAAGATCCGAAAAAACTTAACTAAATAATAAAAAATAGTTTAAAAAATCTCGATAGAAATATGGCACAGAGCGCCCCACGCTTTTTCACAATAATACCAGTATTTTTTTTCATTACCATTTTCAGCCTAAATTAGGAATTATTTTTCACTTTTTAGTTTGATGTGCTTTTAAAGCGTGTTTTTTAGTTTTTTTAAACTATTATTTATTTTCTGTAGTGTATTTAGTATCAGGATTGCACCCGTGCGAAGCCGGGGCGGGTCGCTAGTATACAATAATACATCGATTAATACTTTGTAATTATTTTCCAAATATTATGAACTCATAATAATTGTACGTCTGGGGAAGAAAGTCCAATTGCCCCATACTAACCTGACAGCCTCACTCAGCATAGTAGACAATATCCGAGTAGTATAGAATCCTGGTCCATCTCCCACAGTAATGACCACTTTGCCCTGTTTCAGACCTATATCGACTGCGGCGGCCGCTGTATCATCACTTGTGCCCGGATGGCGGATAATTTCGAGTAATTGCATACGGTCCACCGGGGAGAAGTAATGCATACCTTTAAACAAATATTTGTATTACACACGCGATAAATATAGTTTCGGATGTAAACGTAAATTAATAATAAAAATAATAAACACTTCATCACGAAACAGGTATAAATAAAAGTAGGCACTGGTCTTACTGCTAAGGTGTTTACAAACCCATTTAATAAAAATACTATACCTCACTCAAACCGAACTGAATATTAATATACAAGCACAGGGCTTGTAATATTTACATCGAGTAAATCTGTATTTAATAAAATAACAATTTAATTACTAACGTTAATGAAAATATTGATATATTCTACAACAATCTTCCTACTTAGGGTAATTTTGTTTATTACGCTATTAATGAGGTTTAAGTTTCTATTAAGTTTTTCCATTACTAGTTTGTGATTTCTGTCCCAATATAAATTATGTGTGTGTTGAATCATATATATTCTTGTTTTTTCAGATAAATAAATAAATACGATAACTATGACATATGACCTCGACTTTTTAAATGTTGCCATATTAACGCCATCTATTGCCGCGAAAAACAAAATGTCTAAAATGTTTGAAAGTTAAACTCGTATTTTTAAGGGATTACTTGCCATCAGTCTTTCGTGCTGGCGAAACTAAGTCAAACAAGACATATGTTGTTAATGAGGGTATACGATTACTTAGATCACATTCTATAACTACCCACAAAATATTAAATATTTCTGTAATATTTCTCAAAATAAATAGGAGTGATACACGATACTTGATTGATGAACATTAATTTGTGTCTGGTATATTTGTATGTAATATACATACCAATAACTTTATCCGGGCGACTGCTACCAGCGGCTATCTTCGTGATCGGGATTGCACTGGTGTTAGTAGCGATTATACAGTGCTTGGGAGCCACCGCTTCAATCTCCTTAATTACTTTATGCTTGATATTAATATCTTCGAACACGGCTTCAATCACACAGTCCGCTGTCTTGAACTTCGCATAATCCAATGTTGGTAATAGATTTGACATGTACTTGTCTTTTTGTAAGCTGTAAATTTATATCAATCATCAATACTAATAATATATATAGAGGTTTTTCATGTTACGTCACACGATTGGACCTCATAGCACTAAAACTTTGTTAAAAATTTCGACTCAATAATGATTTACTATGTACGTACATGATATACATGACGACCATAATAAGTGTTCCTCATAAAGTAAGAAATTTCATTATATTGTAAACTGTTTGTAACGTAACGAAATTAATAATTATACATTATTTTGTTGTTTTATAGTCCGTACTTATTCTTAGGAATACGTATGTATCGAAGATTGTAATTAATTTTGTTTGGTGTGATTACGTTCTACGTGAATTATCTAAACTTTAATATATTCCTTTGATAGGAAAACAATTATTTTGATATAACGACATCTCTTAATAACGTCAAAATATGCGGAATTCATTCAACATAGTTCTATAGTTGCCACTGTTACAAAAAAAAGTACTTTAGTAGGAGAGTTGCAGATTGGAGGAATTCCAATTAAGATGATAAGCGATCAAGAAATAGTGTATATAATATTATTAAAGAAATCATACTTTCGTACTTTAATTTCGTACTTGAGAATTCTACAAGAGTAACAGCATCAAGAAGTAAATAACAACCGTACCTAAGGTTATATTATATAAAAAAAGAAAGAGGGTACAACGTATTTTTTCTTTAAACAATATTTAACTTTAATTGAGTAAAACTATTTTGACTGTAATTACATGTTAAGTAATTTTCTAATAAAAACCTACAACATGATTAAACTATAATTGCTAATATAAAATTTAATTAATCAAGTCATAGACAAGAAATTTAAATCTATGCTCATGAATTTCAGTAATATCAAACTAAAAAAAAACTTACGCGGAAATTCGTTTACGCTTAACAGCATTAGCTAGGCCGGTCTGAATTTGACCCATTCCTCTGTATAGGCCTGCAGTAGTGGCATCTTTCAAAACTACGTTGTAGCCTTTGTCTATGGACACTTGAACGATGCCAGCGCCCATCAATCCAGCTCCAAGAACTCCAATCTATTAATCAGTTATTAATAGTTCAGTCTGTGCGGGAAGGGAATGCTGGTGGGATTTGCAGGAGGTGCAGCAGCTCTAAATTATCGTTACGACAACACTTCGTACATCGACATTTACGTCATTATAGTTTGACAGGACTTCATATGAAAAAAAATATATTTTTTTTTTCAATAAATTAACTGACGTGTACATAAGTAACAGTTGTACAGTATAATTAACAGAAAAATTAAGTGTTATTAAGAGTAATCTCTATGAAACATAGCCTTAAAAAGCTTTATAGAGTAAAATAACTTATAAATTTACTAAAAAATATTTTAATATCGGTTTTCTTTCCGCACAGACTCTAACATAAAAAGAAAATGTTTGTTGCGTTTAATAATTTAAAAATTCCCACGAAATTTCGTTTGATATATTGTATTAAATTAATGTATGTACAATACAAACTGACATTTCACATGTAGTAAGCACAGTCATGGGTTATTAACCTACGTGTAATAACCATTTTTATTGGTGTTAGCGTAAATTATTGTAGCCTATGAGACTGTATTAATTACTATACTGGATAATTATTATTTTTTTGGATTGAAAGTTTGTGATAGAATCACACGAGTGTTATTTAATATATTTATTTACGATTTTTTAATCACATAAATATATGAAGGGTCAAATGCGCAAAGCCATAATTTAAAAAAAAACTTAATAGGTATATCAGACTAGATATTATTATACAATTTTTTAACACCTACTAATAAAATGTATCAAGAAACCAAAATTATGACCATCAAACAACTATATGTTTATAGCATTTGTATCTTAATTAAAAAATATTGAATAACTCGCTCCATAGTAGCTTATCATTTAAAAAAATCAAATACACTTGACACTACTCGCAATATATAGAGTTTGCTTATCTTGCCGAAGCCGCGCACAAATTATTTAAAGAAATCCATTGAGTGTGAGGGTGTGCAATTACTTAATCAATAACCCTCTAAAATTCGAAATATTAGCGTGTTTAATCAATTCAAAAGGGCATTAAATAGACGTATTAGAATGAGCCTAATAGACTAAAATTGGGATAGCTGATGTCGACGCGTATCTTGTTCGTATATTTATATTATATTAAGTTTCTCATGTAAATAAAAACGCATTTTTTGTAATGAGAAATAAAGTTCTTTAAACATTATATTCGGATATAACATTCATATTAAATTAGCTAATAAATCTTCCTACCCCGACCATTACTAATGACGTATTACAATCATTTAATCGAATTATTACTTCTGTTGGTAGATGTTTACATCAGGCATCTGATTTTTTTTTATATCTGATAAAGAAAAGACATGTAATTTTGTAAAAAATATTAAAATTAGAAAAGATTTAGATAATAAGTAAAAGGCATTATTAAAAGAAATATTGTTGATCCACATATTTTGTCTATATGCGGGTTAACCTAGAAAGAAAGTGTAGATATCATTTAAGATAATTGTAGAAATGACTTACGGTTTTAACACTAGTCTTAGGCTTGCCAAATCTATTCTTCTTGCATTCAGTCTGTCCTCTGAAGAGACCGATTAAGCCTTTGCTTTGCGGAGTCATGGCCAATTCACCAAATCCTTGAGCTTCAGCTTCAAATCCCGCTACTGGTCCTTTGTCCACTCCAGTTCTTACTACCTCTAGAATCTAATAATTTCCAAAAAAAAAACATATTGGTCTTTGAATTCACATCTGCTTCTATAATCTATTCCATGCATAGATTGTGAAAAGTGTGAACAAAATAATTAGAAGAAAGATCTTGGTGACCAACTATATACAAGTTACATCAGTGCTTTATAATAAATAATTTGTCCCTTTCTTTAAGATTTTGTTTACAATGTGATGAAAAGAGATAATCAGTGCAAGTTAGTCTTACGTTCTGTATTGATGAAAACTCAATCAGGATTATTAAAGTACTCTTTTGTCGCTTGTAATTTTTGCTATAGTAAAAAGAAACAGATTTGGCTAATACAGTGTAATTGGACTGATTTAGTCATAACTAATAAGTTGTATTACTTTTTTCTTAACATACATATATATAAAAACTTATTTTGTAATTCGAATTTTAAATATGAATAAAAGATTACTTTTAATGGAGCCGGGTAAAGTCCGTTGGATGCTTTCATGACCTGCTCCTTTGCCTTGTTGAAAATCATATTCTTAACAAATTCCCATTGCATTGCTGTAGCCATTACTTTGTCCATCATACCTTTCTTCCTCTCAGTCTTTATTTTGCCAGATGCAATGTCTTTTGCTACCTGAATGGCCACTTGTTCTAAATATTTCATTGTGTTTTCTTGTGGTTCAACAAGACCTGAATACGAAACATTTAATCAGAGGGTATTCTCAGTATTTTAAAATTAGAACCTTTTTTAATTTTTACAACACAACAAGCATAAAAGAATCATATGTTTAAATAAAAAATAAACTTGAATTTTATAATTGTATTACTAATAATGAAAGACACATTGCAACTACAACCCCATTAAAATTGTGACCACTTGAAATTTTATTTTGCTATAAAATCTAAGATTCTATTAAACTATATGGTGGTAAATAAGTTAAGCCTAAGTTTTGTAGTTAATTTAAAAATTGAGTGCTACTCTAACTAAATGTGAGTAATGATTATTACCAGGTCCAAGTGGAGAGACCAATAAGTCCACAATTCCTAACTTCTTAGCTTTGTCAGCTTTCACTGTTTTCCCTGTTAAGGCTAGGTCCAAAGTCGTGGGTACGGAAGTTAATTTTGGCAGCCTTAAAGTTAAAAAATAATAGAATATTATTAATAATAGAAATGTTATACACAATTTTCATGGAAAACAAAGCATAATTATACATATATAATATATATATCACACAACACAAGGTATTGTTTTAAAATTGTGTCAAAATTAGAAAAAATGCACTTAACATCAATATTGATACTCAGGGAATAATTTAAAATAAATGTCTTAATAACTATGTGAAATGTTACAAGTCTTACCTCTGAGTACCGCCACCACCAGGTAGCAGTCCCAACATAACTTCAGGCAATGCAAAACCTGTTTTGCTGTCTTTCACTGCAATACGGTAATGACATGCCAGTGCTGTCTCCAATCCACCACCAAGACAGCTGCCTTGTATAGCCGCAATGTATGGTTTTTTTGATGACTCCATTTGTTTGAAAATGGCATGGCCTTAAAATAGTAGTAGATCAAATTAAACGTCATTTTTCCACCAGATTTAATTTTTTTTAAATGCTAATTGTAATAATAGCTTAAATGCCACATTAACAACTTCAAGTTATCAAGTTAAGCAAAGATATGCACTCTATAAGGTGTACTGGTTTTCAAACAAGAGTGATCTAAATATATGTAATTAAAATGGTTAAATTATAATTTTATACAATGACCCTCATTTGAATAAATAATATTTGGTCCAATAATTTCATTTAGTAGAAGAAACATTTGAATAATTAATTATGTAGTTTAATTAAATTTTAAGAGTTTTAAATGTAAACATGATAATTAGACATTGCATTATTGATGCATACATGTTTAAACATGATGCGAGTGTGTTATTCTTATTATGGTATTTATTTACCACAATAGTTTTTAATCAAATTCTACAGCTATGTGTAAGAAATCACAGGTGTGTTTTCAGGGGAAGGTGCATAAAAAAAGGTGATATAATTAAATATATATATGGTGTTGTAGCATGAGAGACAAAATAACATGTTTGTAGGGATGGACTTTTCTGTGTATAAGAGAAATTTAGGAATTTAATTCTGAACAGTCTCAGTTCAGATATAAGGACAGTGAATAATAACAACCACCAATATATATCAAGGACAAATTTGCATTTTTTACTAAGAACTTTTTATACCTCTAATAAAATTATAGTTACAAGAGGCACCAAAATCAGATATGGTCAAGATAAATGTTTACTCTATATGGACAAGGGAACTTTTCAAAACACTTCTTTTGTGTTACAGTTAGCGCTAGATCATTTCTGGAAAAACTGTTTAGTTAAATTACTTACCATTCTTTGCTAATGCGACAACTTCTTCCTTAGTTTTACAACTTTCTATCATACCAATATCAGCACCAGCAATAAAACATCCAGGCTTTCCAGAAATTAATACGGCTGCCTCAATAGAAGGGTTTGTTTCAATTTCATTGATAATTCCTTTTACCTCATCCATAACAGCGGCATTTAATGAATTAACCTGAAATACTTTCATGAGTTAATATAAAAAATATAATAAATCTTGTCAGACAAGATTCTTCACATAGTTTTTTAACATGCTTATTATCATCATCATTGTTCAAGTATTTAAGCTTTTAGTCTTTTTGCTCTAACAAAAGTTCTTTGTATTTAGGGTAGTGATCACAAAATACAGATATAGAAAACTATATAAAACTTAATGACATACCTTTAATGACAACTAATTAGATATTTTTAATGAAATCCAGGAATTTATATATTCTGGTGGTTTGATTAGCTCATGTAAGGAAAAATACCTATTTATATATTGATTATAGGAATTAGAATACCCATTGCAAGTTTTAAATTGTAAAAACTTTAAAAGATACTTTTATTGGGATTATCCATCCACACATCAAGAATTTTCTTTCTTAATGTATTCATGAATTAAGTATAGTTGATTGAAGTATGGTTCTATATTTACCTTAACATTTGGCGAGTCTAAAGTTATTACATAGACACCATTGACTAACTTGCACTTGGTGTGAACATTGTTGGTTGCCGCAGCCGCAAATGACCGAACATGGATCCCTAAAAATATTTAGCTCTTTTTGCTTTATGCCTTTAAAGTAATAACTAATACTAATTAAGGGTTAAGTGGACATAATAACTTGAAAAAAATATAAAAAACTTTATACTGTACTTACGGTTAAAAAAGTTAACATTACGGTGCTTTAGGATTTTCAGAGCATTAAACATTTTACTATTAGACATTGTTACGAGATAACTTTACAAAAAAAATAATTTAACTCAAAAAATCTGTTCTAAGAAATTTGAACCCAGACTTTGAACCTAAACTTTCTTGAATTACGAAAAGGAGAGCGGGGGTCGAGGGCGGACGAGTTAAACTTCTAATGACTTTGATTTATGGTATACATGACAGCAGTGACACACCACTGCGAGCGTACTTTGGAGTTTAGACATCAAGCGAAAAAGGTGAAATGGCGATTGACAATCGACAGCAGTTCATATTGCATTACTAGTGTATATTTTTTATCTTTGGAGAAGTCGAAGGAAGATCGTGTTGGGTATTGGATTTAGTTGGACTGAGTGGTTTTGATAGTTTTAATTTATTTCATTTTTTTCTTCGGTACTTTATTGTGACTTCTTTATAGGCGTTTCCAGTACTACTTTACGGCGGTTTGTAAACTTGGACAGTTTCAATTTACAGTTGATTGGGAAGTAAAGGGATTCTATACAGTTCGGAAGGATATTCCAACAGTAATGAAACTGTTACAAATTCTTCGACAAGATATTAATTTCAACGGAGGAAGAGAATCTCTGAGGTAAGGAAAATATCAAGTTATATAAATGATTGAAATGATATACAATAAATTAGTACAAAAAAAAATGATTTATTTTTCACGACATATTTTTCTATCTTAAGTACCCAATGTATAACAATATTCTTCATTTAAATTACTAATATGCTTCATGTTCATTAATACTAAAGTTATATATAAAAATTAAACAGTATCAAGATAATTTAATCCAATTTTCCCAGTATTGCCCACAACAAATTTTTATTTCACTATTTGCAATAAAATTCCGATATACCTATAACTGTATTTTACACTGCGTGATATTTTTTACGAGCTTTGGAGCAAGATAATTAAAAGAATTTCAACAATGTTCATACAAAAATAAATATACCGAAGATTCTGGCTATAGTGGGATGGCAACACTGAAAAAAAGTTGTGTAAATAATATTTTATAAATATCAAATTTCAGACGCAAATAATAAAATCGAGGTAAGTATCGGTAGATGTAGCATTAAAACAAATCAGCTTTTGTAGTGTTTAACCATAAACAAAATCACACGCTACTTGCTACTAGATGGTGCTATACATAAATGTATAGCAAAAAGTTCTTCAATTAGGGAGAAGGGGAAAGGCGCAACCATACTTGAGAAGTTTTACACTTCTGTTTTTTGAAGTGAAACTTCTTTAGGCGTATGAGGGTAACATTTTTACGGATGAAACGCAATAATAATAATATTAGCGTCACAAAGATGTGCAGCGTTTTTGTCGAAGAAAAGGGAGAGAGCGATTGAGACCTTTGATTTCGAGAGAGAGAGAGTGAGAAAGGGCGAGCGTAGCATGAAGCAAATAGCCATGGAGCGAGAGTTCCCTAGCAAGCAAGTGAGAAAGAGAGTGAGATAGAGCGAACGTCGCATCACGCACAGTCCCATGGAGCGAGAGGTGGAAGAGAGTTATAGTGAGAAAGATTGAGAGACAGAGTACGGAAGACCGAGAAAAAAAACACGCTATTGGTTGATGTATTCGTTTAGTAGTTAGAACTTTATTTTTTACTTAACAAGGAACCTTAGATGGCAACTCAGTCGAATATCTCGGTGCAAACGGAGCAAACCAAAAAAGGCACCCCTTTCCACACTCGCCGTGGACTTCACAAATGTTAGGGGGCTCAACTCCAACATCATTAGAGACAGCGAAGCCGGCCTTGCTCTTTATTACCGAGACTAAGATATCCTCCCCGGCTGTATCTTCCTATATCCGCGATTCTACGAGTGCCTGTATAGGTCCCATAGTGGAAATGACGAAACTGACCGACTCAACGAGCGCATCCAAACGGCAGTAGATTCTCTGCTCGAAAAGTTTCCGACCGCTGAAATTTATTTATCTTAATTTTAAATAGGCTCACTAACGAAATACATACAAACACTTACAGATAACACACAACGTACAAAAACCTAATATATGCACGTGCATCAATGACAAGTGTGCACAACATTTAAAGGAAAACATTATAAAAGACAATAAACTATACTTATATACAATAAACTAAGAAATGCACATATGCGATTTAAAAATTTAATCGTGATACTTGGTTATTTTAACGCCCACCATGCGATTGGCTCGGCTCTGAAACCCCGGTGGGACATCCTTTTACGACTTTGCTTTAGGATGGTCATACAGCCTCTTTGTTGGACCTATTGCTGACTTCGCATCCGGGGTAGTTAGATGTATCATTAGATCATTGCGTCGTCTGGAGCATTATGCCGTGTATCACGTGCTCTAAACGGCCCCGCTTCGCGGCTGTCGCCGCGTGTTGCTCTATAAGTCAGCAGATTGGGGTGGGATGGGGTTTTTTTTTGCATCCTACCTTTGGGGGCCATTTGCTTTTCGTCGGATACTCCAACTTTTTCGCCGAGGTGGTCCTGCAGGGTATAGAAGTTTTTGGTCGATTCTCTGCGGTGCCAGTCGTGGCAAGTCCCAGCCTTCGTTCTGTCAAGGCGGCTTTGCGCCGTAAGCGAGAATGATTTAAAGCCTGAGCGGAAGCGGCGACATCCTGTGATGCGACTATCGCCGAACGTAAAAACGCATACAACTCAGCCTCCAGGCTTCCTTCAAATGGGAAATGGCTTAGGCAAAGTCAGAGAAAATTGTCAGATTTGGCGAGAAATTGGTCCACCTCCCTTCGGGACTCGAGCCTTCTGGCCTCTTGTCAAAGCTGTCCACGGGAATTTCTGTCAGCCCTCCATTCCACCACTGCACAGGAAGGATGACACGACTCTGGATGACCGAGGGAGGTCACCACCGAATATTTCGCGGTGCTTGTCTTCGATGCCGGAAATCATATTCTGGCAACGTGCTGTCCGCAAAGCACTATCTTCCTCCAGTAGAGCGAGCCTGATGGTATCCCGTGAAACGGACGTCAAGTTTACCAATTACCGCTCTCTTCCAGGTAACCCGAATGAAAGATAACAATGAATAAAAAATGTGACGAAGTCCACAAAGTACAACTTATTTCACTAAGCGTGTAAAAATCTAAATATACGTTCAATAAATATTTTATATTTCAAACATGACTTTTCCATACGATACGCGTCGTTGCCTTTAAATCACATCCACATAAGCCCCACTTCATCAAAAGCTTTAGAAGTGTAATTACCCGGTGACGCAGACCCACTCTGCTCTTGACTTGTCCGAGGTGGGTGAGGGGGCGTATGGGAGGGGGGATCGGCTGGTTACCATAGTTACGGAGCCACCCTCCTCCAGTTGCAACAAGTGGATAGTATATCAACGGGTAATGAAAAACGATAGCGCCTTCAATGAATTATTCATTTCCATTGAGGTTGTTTAGCTTTGGTGTTCGGTATTGTCTTTAGAAATTATACCTCGACTGCTTTTATTGATGCAAAAAGTTTTATTGAATCCACTCTATGTTCTAACTGACCGTCAGGTGCCGGACCTGATTGTTTTGGGGATACATAAATGAAATATCCGTTAGAATCATGCGCCTGCAAAAAAAAACATTATTAATAATAACAACATGGTACTCATTTATAACCTACTCTATTGTAGAATAGGAGTAACGCACGCCAAATAATTTTTTATTTAGTATAATTAAGGAGAGTGGACGTGTGTGTGAGTTATCAACATCTAAAAAGAGGCTTTTTGTATTATTACCTATATCTACTATTAGTATTGAATAACATTTTTAAATAATTACAAAGAAATGTAAACGGAAAATACAGCAAAAAATGAAGCGATGAATATTAATAAATATTACGACCAACCTTTTGTACTACTGTCCCAGATTTTCACAAGTCGCATTTAGATAATTGATTCAATTCTCCTCGGAGCGAGAACGGTTGAGGGGTGGAGTGGAGATTTCTCACTCCACTTTGCATCGCTTTGATTTAGCTAGCGACTGCCTGTGACTACGTCTACGTAGAACTATAATAGAATTTTTTACGTCCCTTCTGATTAACGTTTTGTTATTTAACTTATACATAATAGCTGCAACCCACGATATTGTTTCCGTTGCACAACAATAAAGGTATTCTTAATTATGTATATTATTTTATTTTATTTCAAGGTTTACGAACAATCTTGATTTCGTATTTTTAGATTGCAGCTTGATTTTGGCTAGGATCTGAAATTGAATAACAGCTAGATAAATATACATACACATTAAAGTGAATATAATTTATTTGCCAAAGAAGTTAAATATAAAAAGTATTACATTGAAATTAGCATCATCTAGATGCTAATTACGAAAATCTCCGAAGATTGACTAGCATACTACCTGACTTTTTTAGTCTTGATTACTAAAACGTTAAAACTCACATGTCAATATGATTATGTTATTTCAAATTTGCGCTAGGCGTACGAGGGGTTAGTTACACAGTTAGTTATTTATTTTATCAGATAAAACACAAACTTTATACTCACTTACATTTGATCGTTTCTATACAGAGTATGTGACAACTACATTTTGTTTTATTGATTTAACTCCAATAGATTTACTGTAATAAAAAAAAGGCCTGCTATCCTTCTGAAATCAGCAGTGTTGGCCTAGTGGCTTCAGCGTGCGACTCTCATACCTGAGGTCGTAAGATCGATCCCCGGCTGTGCACCAATGGACTTTCTTTCTATGTGCGCATTTAACATTTGCTCGAACGGTGAAGGAAAGCATCGTGATGAAACCGACATGTCTTAGACCCAAAAAGTCGACGGCGTGTGTCAGGCGCTGGAGGCTGATTACCTCCTTGCCTATTAGATTTAAAAATGATCATGAAACCGATTCAGAAAACTGAGGCCAAGACCTAAAGAGGTTGTAGCGCCATTTATTTATTTTAATTTTATTTTTTATCCTTCTGAAATAATTGATATCAATTGATATAATATAAATATTAAAGTGTTAAATTTTATGAGTTACTGTATCTTTATGGGACTGTACACAGGAAACGTATAAAAGGAGTCCATGTTACAGTTTCAGGATCATTGTGTGACGTGAAATCACGGGATGCGGGTTTAGGTTCTGTATTCGTATTAGATAGATCTTTGGAAGTTTTATATTAAATATGGGTAAGTACCTACTAAATGTGTTACAATCCAAAATCATAGAAACTTTAATGTAAACAATATTTTTGTTTATATTATTTATAAATAATATAATCAAGACTTTATAAATAGTAGGAAAGCATTAATTTAGGAACTCCGTATTTCGGTTCATTTAAAATTATATATATATTTTAAGTAACAATATATATCTGTATATTATACTTTTTTAAATAAAACATTTGTTTTTATTTTATTACAGTTCTAAGTAACTGTTCTAGGTAACTGTAATAAAATTAACCGATTTTTTAAATAAATCACATAATAATATTATTAGGGATTATGGGGATTAACGCGATAATATATACGCCTACTATATCTTATATAGTTTAGGGACACATATTTAATTTATATTGTCATTTTGTCCTTTTATTTTTTCCTTTTACCTTGTAATTTTTACTTTTAGCAAATAAGTTTCTTCCTAATAACTTAAACTAGAAGCTTTTAGTTTAAAGAATATATAATTTATTGATAAGCCGTAACCACTCTATTATCCCTGGGATCCTTTAAATCTCTACGTCATAGCGTAGTTTCCGCTTTACCTATAGCTGAATGGCCAGCGAATATATAAAGTGAGAGATCGTTGCGGCGGGCGTAGTGCGCGAGTGGTTTTTGGTTAAGCGTACCGTGATTTACTCAATATATCCCATAATATTTTATATCGCAGCCCGTGTTAAAACCTTGTGAATAACTCTTTCGGTGAGTACACTGGTGTAAATTTAAGTCTAACAAGAATTTTAGCACATCCAATGTCATTTTGATTATTTTAAAAACTAGATTGTCTATCGCCTAAAAGTGTTGATAATATTTAACAATAGACTGTTTGATATTGTAATTTTATTGATACTATTTGATTGGCGCTTAATTGGGATTTATTCCATGTAAATTTTAAACTTAATCAATTAAATTTTGCATCTGACGCAGGCTCACCTTGGAAATGTTGAGAACAAAAACTTGTCACACATACGTAGGATTCCTAGTAATAACGTAATAACGTAAAATCAACCATAGTTCATGAAGCAATAACTGTTAATCTGTAATCAGAAAACCTTGGCCTTGTCAAGATATTGGAACCACCTATGACACAATTAACAGTTGGCATTGAAACAACATTAGCCTTTTTTATTTTGAGGCATATAGGCTCATTTACTTGCTAATCCTTCACGTTTTGTAGGAAACTAAAGCAATTTCGAAACTAATTTTAGCTCCAAATGAAAGGCCAAAGAGGATATTAATTATTTTGCTATCAATAAGCAGGAAACCTATTTATTTAGATTTAAGCAAAATCAATAAAGTCAGTTTCGTTTTATGAGGAAAATATTGACGCAAGTTGATTTTAAACAAGATTCGTTTCCAAGTGGAATTAAGGGATTACCCGCGCGCCAATTCAGCTTTCGCAGTGGAAAACCCCATACAAGAATTTACGTATATTGTACTGAGAAGACATTTTAATATAACGGCAATTTTAGAATTGTTTACTGCCAAATATAACAGGTATTTTTAATTTATGCTTTAAAATATGTTATTACTTTGGCAACTTTTGAACATTATATAAAATAACGCTGAGATCTAAATAACAGAAGACAGTAGTTTTATTTAAACAATATAAACATAATGTACTAAATTACAGTTCACTTACAAACACATAAGCTAGAAAAACGAGCTTTAAACTCTATTTTGCACTATACTTAGGGCTAGATATTAGGGATCTTAAAATACAGAGTCGACATTTAGTGCGAACTGTGACTTCCGTATTCCGTACCCTTAAAGCTCAAAAGGTTTAATGACGCAATATTAGCATCCTTTGTTTAATACTTGATCTATCCAGCCCTGCGATTCTGTAACTCACTTTTACATAACCTATACATAAACAATAAACTACAAGCTCCCACCTTTTCAGAATGCCAAATCATAAAATGACTGCTTCACGACTGATTTGAGAGCGACCGCCGATGCGAAAACCGCTGTGTGAGTTCGAAACGTGAGTTACAGAATCGCAAGGCTGTACAATACCATTTAACATAAAATTTATGGCTATGATTTTAACGTTCGTCATTAATAAGTAATTTCTCATTAATGACGGTTAAGATCTTAAAAGAGTATTTACCGAATCATTTAAGTCGGTTCCCGCCTAAATGTTAGTAAATTCTATTAGCTTACCGTATTTTTATGAAGTGACCAATCTGGTTTTAGCAGCCAATTTTTTTCACGAAGAAATTAACTTTAGGGTCGAGACATTTTGTCCTAGATTTTTAATAAATGTTTTAAAATTATAATTAGCATTGTCCCAATTAAAATACTTAGTAACAATTTTCCTATTATGAAAGGAAAAAAACAGTGTTTTTATAAACACGTAATCTCTCAGTTCTTGAAAATTTGCGTGCAAGCGGCCTAGTTCTAATTTTTTATGTAAAACAATTAATAATTATTACTAAGTATTTCATTATTTACTCTTAAAAGTGGTGACGTACAAAATTTTATCTGATCGGTATTCTCTTACTACGGTATTTATATTGCTTTTACTGACTTAGACTTTGTTCTTTGTTGGTGTCTAATGGGACGTATAGAAGCCCTTCTCAATTTTCAACACGTTTTCCTGCTAATGTGATATGGGATTTTTTAAATTGCAATAATTATTTTGTCGATAACGACATTCTTGTTTAAACCACCGTTTCCTTGTGTATCAGTATTTGCTTACAAGAACAGATATCCGATTACAATTCTATACAGCATTTTATAGCGTTTTGTTCGCGACGTAGTGTCGAGGTCCGACAATAACCTCGCACCACTTGCTTGCTTGTGCAACCTAACCACCACTCAGTACCATTCTCTCGACATTGAATGAATGCGATAATATTGTTATAAAATCTTAAAGGCCATAGGAAGTAAGCCTAATGGAACAAAATTATAATATTTTAATAATTAATTAATGAGACGCAATAAAATACAATTTTTATGACAGCGAGAGTCTGAGATTTTTATGTAAGTACAACTACAATATAATTATATTGTATGCTCCTCTACAGATTCAATAAGTATAAAATAAAAATTTATAACTTTACATGACATGAGGGTGACCTTAAGTTGAAACTTTATGAAGATGATAATAAAAAGGCCAATGACGCGATTATCTCAAAGATTTATACGAAAAAATCCAGTCCTTTTAGTTAGAGCGTAAAAATAGCATGTCTGGCCTATTTTAAAGTTGTACTCTCGCTGAATAGAGTATGTTAGTAGATAGTTAATCTACTGTTATCATTTCACAGCTCTTGAACATCAGTATTTAATGCCAATTTAAATTTATTGTCTACATTTTTTTTCACAGACAAAATGGAGGCAAAGGAATTCAAGGAGTTTGCGAAAGCGATGACGGACTACATCGCAGAATACCTTGAAAACATACGAGATCGGTAAGATAACTATTAATAATTATTATTTTAACATATTTAAATGATGCATATTAATATTTTTACAAACTAAGCTTTCTAAACATTTCCTTTGGTTAAATTGGTCTTTATTTATATTTCAAAATAGACGTTTGCTACTTGGTATTAAACGTTATGGTGAAATAAGTGGTATAAGTATATAGTATTGTACAAAGGCCAAAATGATTTGTGCTTACTAAAATAATATTTTACGTTTTTCAGGCAAGTGGTGCCATCTGTAAAGCCAGGATATCTGAGACCATTGGTGCCGGAACAAGCTCCAGAGAAACCGGAACCTTGGACCGCAGTAATGGCGGATATTGAACGGGTTGTCATGTCAGGAGTCACACATTGGCATTCGCCTAAATTTCACGCGTACTTCCCCACTGCCAACTCATATCCCGCTATAGTAGCTGATATGCTGAGTGGGGCAATTGCCTGCATTGGATTTTCATGGGTATTTATTACTGAAGTATAAATTAAAACTTGTGACGTGAAGGAGAACCAGTCTATTTATGAATTCAAATCATGAATAATAATATCAAACTAGTCAAGAGACATAATTAATATGACCTAGTTATTTTATAAAACATCTCTTAATAAATATAACGTACGATACGTAAAGAATAAATAAATCGCAGCTTGAAACTGAACACTTTAAACACAACAATCCTTGCAATTTTACTCATCCACAATAATAAATGTGCTTTAACTTAATTTTACAGATTGCAAGTCCTGCTTGCACTGAGCTCGAAGTCGTGATGTTGGATTGGCTGGGTCAGATGCTTGGTCTTCCTGAAGAGTTCTTGGCCCGTTCTGGTGGCGAAGGTGGCGGTGTTATTCAAGGGACTGCCAGTGAAGCCACACTGGTCGCTCTACTTGGAGCGAAGTCGAAGGCTATGCATCGTATCAAAGAGCAACACCCCGAATGGACTGACGTGGAAATCTTATCTAAACTTGTTGGCTATTGCAACAGTGAGTCTCTTGTATAATTCAATATAACATCATTAAAGATAGAGGGAAATCAAGAATATAATTTTGTGAACCCTAAGAACGAATATTCGAACCCCGGCTATGCGCTAATAAATTATTTTATCATCGTGAGAAAAGCACGTCTAAATCAGGTACAGAAGGACTCATCAAATCAAAACAATTTAAAAAAAAATTGTCGATATCACATTTCAAAATGAAGATAAACTTTTCAGAACAGGCACACTCTTCGGTAGAACGAGCAGGTCTCCTAGGAGGCGTAAAGCTGCGGTCACTAAACCCTGACAGCAAGCGGAGTTTAAGAGGTGACACACTCAGGGATGCGATAAAGGAAGATATCAAGAATGGTCTCATTCCATTTTGCGTAAGTTATTTATAAGTATTCTGTTTTTTTTTTAATATTTTACAAACATTAAAATCTCTTTAACTCCGACGATTTTAAGCTTCCTTAATGATAAAATTTAAATTATTTCATTTAATTTTTCAGGCTGTGGCTACTTTAGGTACCACATCAACTTGTGCTTTCGATGCTCTTGATGAAATCGGTGACGTATGTCGCGAAAATGATATCTGGCTGCATGTCGATGCAGCGTACGCTGGTTCATCATTCATATGCCCCGAATACCGATACCTAATGAAAGGTATAGAAAAAGCCGACTCGTTCAACTTTAACCCCCACAAGTGGCTACTAGTTAACTTTGACTGCTCCGCTATGTGGCTGAAACAGCCCCGTTGGATCGTTGATGCATTTAACGTTGACCCTCTGTACTTAAAACACGATCAGCAGGGATCAGCGCCTGATTACAGACATTGGCAAATTCCTCTGGGGCGTCGTTTTAGAGCTCTTAAGCTGTGGTTCGTCCTAAGATTGTATGGAATTGAAAACCTTCAAAACTTCATCCGTAAACACATTGCATTGGCACATTTCTTCGAGAAACTTTGTGGCGAAGATGAGAGATTCGAAGTTGTTGAGGAAGTTCTCATGGGCCTTGTCTGTTTTAGACTAAAAGGCGATAATGATTTAAATGAAGCGTTATTGAGACGTATTAACGGACGAGGAAAAATTCACTTGGTTCCATCAAAAATTGACGATTCATACTTCCTACGATTGGCTATTTGTTCCCGTTTCTCCGAGGAGAGTGATATACAAGAATCTTGGGAGGAAATTAAGGCTTCGGCTAGTGATGTTTTGACAGAAAACAAATGAATACAACATAAATCAACCAAGAAATATTTATCGTAAGTATCTAATATGCTATTGTAGTCAAAGTATTAGGAAAAATTTTGTCTGTGCTTAGCGCGACTTAAAAAAATAAATATTTACCATCAATGAAGTATATTGATAAAATATGTAGTTTTTTATGTTATCTACATGATAGCAGTGCTTATATCGTATTGTGTGTTGATGTGATGAAATTCAATGTGTATGTGTAGAGTAGAGATAAGTTTATCTCCTTAACTTGCCAATGATTTAAATGTTATTTATTAGGTGCTGATTTGCATTTTTAATAGACAAATATAAGATTTTATATACCTACTTAATTTTACAATATGAACAAAGGAGTTTTACATTAGTTTAATAAGGACCAATATTATTAACATTTTTACAACTTGTTTATTTATTATATAATATAAGAGACGATCAAATTTTCATTGCATGTATAATATTCATATTTAATTGTTATTTCAAATATATTTAGCATAGCACAAGCTTGTATGGCACAGTAGCTTGGCATTGGTGGGACAAAGTATTAAGGGCAAACGTTTGCGTATAATATATTTAATATATGTATGTACTTTGTCAAACTTAGTGTGGAGCTTCTGATCTCGGTACTAGAAATTCAAAACTACTTCATGAATCTAATTATCTTAATGTCCTTTATAAATTCAGTATTATCAAATAGAGATATAGCCATAGGCGTCTATATGTTTGAGGTACCTAAAGATGATTGCTAGAGAAGTAGGTATATCTACTTTTAACACTGTAAATATTATTGATCTATCATTATATTAATGTGATACATACTTATAACTTATAAGAGCAATAATAAAGTCATATTCCATGATAATTTCTTCGTTTCATTTATTATTAGTGTTTAGGATGTTTTCAAAGTCGCAACCTTGCAGAATACTCCAATAAAATATGTTTATTATGGAACATAAGATACAGGTATCACTTATTCCACGTCATTAAATTTGATCTGTAGGCATCCCTACTCATCGCCAAAGAAGACAGAGGGTGTAGGCCGAGAGAAAAAGCCGGCGTTAAAAACTCTCGGTACTCTTTTAAAATAGCAAATCATCAAACAACACTTATTTTAAAACAAATATCGCAAATTAATTAGAAGTAGCCTGTCTTGCACTAGTCCCAGGCCCTTTTATCAAACTCAAAACTCAAACTCAAAATATCTTTATTCGTGTAGGTAAACAAGTACACTTACGAATTGTCAAGTTAAATTAATTGTAAATTTACATTAACTACCAGTTCGCAAGTCAAGGGCGTAGAGCGGGTAAGAAGAACTGGCAAGAAACTTTCCGCCACTCTTTTTAATCGCCAAGTATTGTCATACAAATTGTTTGAACTGGAGCAAATCAATCCCAAGGATTAGGATCATTTAAGTATTCCTCAAATTTATAAAAAGCTTTATTGATTAATTTCCGTTTAACGAGGGCTTTGAATTTATTTAGTGATAATAGTCTAATTTTGCTTGGGAGTTTGTTGCAAAAACGAATACAATTTCAAGGAGTGGTTTATCTTTTGGAGCCTGGTTGGTCGTACACTCAAATTAGTTCTATTTCGCGTATAATACTGGTGAAAGTCACCATTTGTTTTAAAATCGTTTATATTTTTTGGGACATACAACAAGGCTTCAACAATATATTGACCAGATAGTATCATAATACTTAATTCCTTAAACCTATTCCGTACCGACTCCCTCGGAGACACACAACAAATACCCCGAACAGCCCGCTTCTGCAGCACAAATATGGATTGAACCTCTGCAGCAGCACCCCACAGTAGATATCAACTAGATAATCGTTAACTTTATAGTAAGCCTTTTTACACAACTTTTCTTTAATACATTTCTTAAATTTATTAAAAGGCAGAGATAAAAGAGCCTCTGGGATTTTCCCAAAAAAGAATTACTAACTTTAGATAGTCTAGTAAGGGGAAATCGCAGCCTGCGTTTGTTTCGAGTATTAACATTGTGCGTATGTTATATTCTAGTAAACTTATCACTATTTTTGTATACATACATAATATTTTCATAAATATATTGCGAGGGAAAGGTAAGTATATTAATTTCCTTGAATTTATCTCTCAGAGATTCCCTACATTTTACAATGATCACGAAGAAAATTTTATTATTATACTTATTGTGTGGACACATCCTTCGAAGATATATTGTTAATGGCTGATTGTAAGGAATAATGTTTTTAGATAACCGAAATCTTCTTTCAGAAATGTCAAATGTTGTCACTTAAACGATATTTTGTAAAATCTAAATTTTAGAGTTATATATTTCCCGATGTCCAAGTACAAATAAAATTCTAAATAACAATATGAAATTATCACGTATATTATCTTCTTGGATCAGTAAATGGGGTGCTTTGTTGGAAGGCTCAGGCTTCGCGAAAATTCAAAAAAATAAATGTGTGACACTAATATCTTATCGTGAAAGTAGCGCTCTAAGTGCAGGCAAGGAACAATGTATTCTGGATTCATGCTGTATAGGTCCTAATTGCAGAGAACCCCGAGTAATTATTGTAGGAGCAGGCATAGCTGGACTTTCTGCAGCCCATCGACTAGTGCAATGCGGAATTCGTAATTTTGTGGTGCTTGAAGCAAAAGAAAGGTATGATTAACAATGTTTTAAATACGTTAACGGCAACGATTTTTCTCCATATTTTCTTAAATTATAGTTTTTATGTACCTACATAGTAATATTTTATAGAAACACAACTCATAGAATTGAGACAGAGTATTAATGAAGCTGTTCAATACATCCTTGTTTTAACGTTTATAATTCTATATTATTTTTGTAGACCAGGTGGCCGAATTCACTCGTGCTGGCTTGGAGACTCTGTAATAGAAATGGGTGCTGAGTGGATATATGGAGCTTGTCTCCCTAACGCTGTATATACTTTAGCTTCTTATGATAGACTCTTACAGTCACCGTTACCTCGACTAGACGCTTCGAGAGGATTATTTTGTACCAGTGAAGGGCGAGCTGTGGATCTACCAGTTACAATTACTGCTTATCACACTTTTCGCCAAATAGAACAGCAGGCAGCCAATTTGTTCCGACTTGGAGGAGAAAGACCGCATGGAACATTATTAAATTTTCTTGGATTGAGAATACAACAGGAGTTACATAATTTCCCCGAAGATCAAAGGTACGACGCGGCAAGAGTGATGTTTGGGTTATCAAATATTCTGAGAAATCGTGTTGGTGACGATCTTACTCTTGCAAGTGCTGATCAATATGGGAGTTATATCGAGCTACCTGGTGGGAGCGTTCGAGTTCCTTTGGGATACGTTGGTATAATGGCCCCATTGATCCGAGATCTGCCAGATAATAGTATTCGTTATAATAAACCAGTTAATGTTATACGATGGGGGACAGGTCAGGCGGGTGCTGGGCGAACTTTAGTTAAATGTTGTGATGGAGAGGAAATAACTGCAGATTACGTAATTGTAACAATGTCCTTGGGATGCCTTAAATGTCAAGCTGATAAACTATTTGCGCCACCTCTTCCAGCATGCAAACTAGATGCTATCTGTTGTCTGGGCTATGGATTAAGCGACAAGATATTTCTAGAGTATGCCGAGCCCTTTTGGGTATGTCACGAAGGCAATTTAAAAATGGCTTGGTCAGCTGAAGAACTTCAATGCAGATGTGATTGGAGTAAAGGTGTTTGTGCGGTGGATGAATTACCAGGAAGTAAACATGTTTTATGTGCTTGTGTTTCTGGCCAAGAAGCTGCTCAAATGGAATCAATGCCTGATAATGATGTAGCTGAAGGTCTAACACAGTTATTGAGAAGGTTTACGGGAAATCCTTGCTTACCATACCCTCAGATGTTGTTAAGATCACGATGGGCATCGGATCCCCATTTCTGCGGATCTTACTCTTACATGGGCTGTTGCTCAACGGTTAGCCATCAATGTGAGCTAGGCACTCCTGTACCAGGTCCTTGCGACTCCCAACCTCCGAAAATATTATTTGCTGGAGAAGCCACTGTGCCTGGATATTTCGCGACAACCCATGGGGCAAGGCTGAGTGGTATTCGAGAAGCAGAAAGAGTTGTTCTGTTGACTAAGAAATTTGAAGGTCCACCACGTTGAATATTTATAAAATTGTTTAGTAAACATGTTTTGTATAGTAAATGTTTTAAATGGGGACTATTTTATTATTTTTGCTTAAACATAGAATTGGCGTGTGTAATCAAAGTGCTACTAGGAATACAAGTATATTTTTTGTTTGGCAGTCCGCATATTGTGTTGTGTGTTAGCCATAAAAGTATGTATTATAATATGGACTAGCTTACCCGGCAAACGACGTTTTGCCATGTATATTATTTCTAGGAAACATTTTTTTACTTCAATAAACATAACTATCTACTATTATAAAAAATAGGGCTTGATCGTAGAGGGGTGGAAATTAAGGTTTATAAGTATTTTTGTACGCCGTATCAAAAAAAATAAAAACAAAAAATAAATTTTGGGGTGGACACCCCTTATAACTTAGGGGTTTGAAATATAGATAGTAGCCGATTCTCAGTCATACTGAATATGCATTAAAAATTTCATAAGAATCGGTCGAGCCGTTTCGGAGGAGTATGGGAACGAACATTGTGACATGAGAATTTGATATATATATAGAGATATTCTTAGGAAATGCAAACTGAATAATACACCAATGTAAATACAGTTAATTTTATTTGTTAGCTTTTCATAGCCACTCTCATAATTTATTAGCCTACTCATGCAATAAAAAATACACAAAAAGAGTCACGCTGTATAAACTAACAATATTCAGATCTTATAAATGTTACAATTATAACAACCATACTAATAAGTAAAATAAGATACCCGTTTGTAATAAATTTTAACCAATATTTGGTAAATTAGTGATAATACTCAAAATAATACGATAAAATGTAACATAAATGTGGTAAATCAGCTGATTAGTTTACATAGTGTAAATATTTACATACAAAATTTAAAACCTTTGAGAAAACTTCCACTTGTATTAGACAATGAGGAAATGTCTTGAAACTCAAACTTAATTTTATTATATAACATTGTATAGCTTAAATCTCTACTTTGTACACTATACATATGAGTGTCATACAAAGTTAGATTTTGCCAAATAAAGCTAATTCTAGTCCATTGGTCTCTCCTTATACATAAGGGCTCCAAAAATTCAATATCAATACAACAATCATATTCAGTATCTTCTTTAAAATCAAACTCTTTAATAATACTGTTATCGTCTTCAGAAAGGACAGAGATTATAAAGTCTTCATTATAAATATTTGAGGAATTGTAAAAATTATTTACAGGTGCCATTCTTGACTGTATTTTAAGAGAATGTATAAAAAATGTCTGATCTGCTTTTATTTTTGAGTGTATACAATAATTGTGAGAATCAATTGTTATAGGAGATTCAGATCTTATTAGAGCACGGTGGCAGAGGTGCGACTGTACTTCTATTGACTTACGAGGAACTGTTATGGTGTTAATCTTATCTTCCAACCTAATTCTTTTATCACTTAGTAGTGTTTTTGTTAGCATGTGCTTGATGGTTAGAATTTCATCTGGTAAGAGCAAATTAAATTCATCATTAACAATGTCATCCAAATCATCAATGCTTAAAGCATTGAATCGTAGTAAAGAGAACAATCCAGTTTTAATTAATATATCCCTTCTATCAGTTGTATCTGTGTTCAATTTATAATTCTTTGTATAATAAGTTGACCATGCAAAAACTATTTTTATTAAATCTTTTTCTTTAATATTTATTTCATTGGTTTCTAGAATTTTTTTCCATGATGAAATTGAAATATCTTCTTTGTGTTCTTGTAATAAATGGTAAGCATGCTGACAGAATAGTTTTAAAGCACATGTTACTAATTCATTATCCTGCATATAATCGGGCTGGTTAAGTATATATATGACATTATCAATTCTTGTATTTGATTGAATATATTCCAAACATATTTCAGTTAATGTATCCAATAAATATTTCTTGGATACATAAAGTAAATCATAAGCTTCTTCAATAGTAAGTATATCCACTTTGTCAGTATAAATAAAGTTAATAAGTAGTTGAAATATATTGGGATCTATATCACTTATAATTATACTGTTATTGGTAGATAAAGGACCATATAACATAGCTTCAAATACTGGACTGCTAATAGCTAAAATTAATTTATGTGCTTTAAATTCTTGGCCACAAACAAGAAAATTGCAATCACTCCAGTCATATGACACAAGTAATTTGTTTACACGATCATAAAGACTGTTATGCTTTAAGTCACTCTTGAAGGAACCCATCTGCAAAAAACAATTATTAATTACAAAATATTGTTTGTAATTTCTTTGTTATAATACTTTATTTTTTAAACACAAAAGAGGGAATTTTCAAATCATTTTGTGGCATTTTTGATTAAGTAAACAAAAATGCAACCAATATTTAAGTCACACTTGGTTTTATATTCTTTGAAAATATTTCTTAAGAACATTCTTCTAATAAGTGGATTCTACCAGCACTCACCTTAGTTGTTTTCGTTCTTTGAGGTTCGACGTTCTACAAATTATGCTCTACTGCCTGGCACTGCTCATAACGGTTGTACCTGTTTGGTATTAACATGAAACCTTGAACTTGATAATGGCTAAGGAACAAGTTATGAGATACCTATACTTATTGTAACTTAAAGCAATGGATTTTGAAATATTAGCACTGAAGCGCAATAGCAACATAAACTATTAACCTTGATTAAAATCTTATGTAACTAAAGGAAAATCAAATAGCTAATACAAACCTTGAATACAACACAAGAAAAATTACGAATTTCAAATCAAAATATTTTGTTGCAGCCGCCAGCCGAGTCCTCTGACAATTAACCGTTTGTTTGTCATCTAAGAGACATAAAGATTAAAAGTTTAACTACATGACACAAGGGAAAGCTCGACTCTAGTTCATTATAGCATTCCTATTTCCTATTCATTAAAAGGCTTCTATTATTTCCTAAGGGTCGATTTACATTATCTTATTGTTTAGCAGAGTGCTTTAGGATAGTTCTTTAGTTGAAACATGTAAACGCTACTTGCTTTAGTACGGTTCTACTTGACTTTCAAGTTGAATCAAAATAGAATCGCTTTCTATTTTTGTTTCAAGTGATACCCCACCCGCGCCCGCGCAACCCCCGAGATCTTCCCTCGTTGTCAGGGTTCACAACCGTACGATAATTATCGTATATGTGCGATAATTTCATAACTACGTACGATGTACGATGGTACATGACTATCGTACGCAGATTGTACGATAATTTCCAGTCTGATAAAAAATTTGATGATTACACAGATAGCCCAATAACAATTACAGTTTTTAGTGTCAGTGCCATCTATTGGCTTATTTTTCTATTCGGAAAATATGCTGTCACAAGGCGACTACAGCGGATGAACAAAGCGTTAATGTACAAACACAAAAATGCATCAGAATGCACAGCTTTTTTACCTGTATGGTGACGCAGCTTCCACGATTTGTATGGTGACGCAGATTTGGAAGTGTTCAGATGTGTAAAAATAATATGCAATGTTTACGGACAATAGGTATATCACTTAGAGCGAATACCATATCGTTCAGGAACAAAAATACGTACGTTTTTTATATTGCGTATTTTTGTTCCTCATTGACGGAAAAGATTAAAAGTTGTATATAAGACGTTAAATTTCATTTATATTTGCGTATTCTGTTCTCGAAAATATATTCAGTTAAACTTTTTAAATATGCTTGTCTCTATCCTATAACATTATTTTGTTCTTTATAAATTCGAAATGTCGCCTTAATCACACTCGAAGTGGACGAGGGCCCAGCCCGGGTCTGTGCCATTCGAACATTTAAATTGAATTATTATTATTTTTTTCAATTCGAAAAACACAAGTTTACAAGATTTAAACTATAAATCGTTTGCAACATTTTATTTTCACGTTTCATATGATTTTTTAAAGTATTTTTAGCCATTTTCCTGACTGTACGATAATTTATCGTATTTGGATCACATATACGATAATTTTACGGCCCTGGTACGATAACTGCCTGGCTTCAGGTTGTGAACACTGCTCGTTGTGTGTAAACACGTAATTTAGTAAAATCTTTAGGAGAGTGCACAAGTGCCGTGAAACGCATGCGTGTTTTTTGATTTTTAAAGGTCGGAAGATACAACTATCAAATTTGTGTCTGAATATGTTGTTCACGAATGTTTGTGGAACGTTAAAAACAATTTATACAAAAACAAACAGGCTAGGCATTCGGCATACACTGCCTTAAAATAAGCTATTTTATTTATTATTTATATTTTGTTTATTTATTTCGAATAAAATCTCGTCTTCTATTTGTTCCATAACTACAGTTACTATTTTGCGTAGAATAGAGCGTATTTGCCGACGTCGTTGCGCGTTCATTGTGGCGCTGTAATGATACTCTACTGGAAGAAATGTAAACGTTCACTCGCAACGCACTAAAGCACTAAAGAACTTGCCTTTCAAGTTGTACTAAAATACTCTCCTAAACACTAAGATAATGTAAATCGGCCCTAAGAACAAGAACTTTAGTGAAGAAACTAAGAGTAGACTTCTAGTTAGGTATATATCTATAAACGTTACATGACTTGTGTATGGGTGAATGAGATATCTAATTCACACTTATGACCTTTTTTATTCGTATTCATTTGTTAAAATTTGTTATGTGACAGTTAAGTTTTATTTGATCACGTTGTAATGAATGATCTATTTTTTTAACTTAATTATTATTTCCACCGATCAATCTCCTTCGTGCCTTCTCCATCTACATGACTCTGGCGAAGTACCTTGTGCCCAGTTGGCACAAATATGTAAAAGCCATAAACAAGAATTGAATTGAATAGTAATGAATGATGTCCTTTACGAAACTTTGTTATTGTTTACATAAAATTAATACTTAAATATGAAGTTGAGACACAACATAGTAAAAAAAAGGGGTGCGTGTACTTATGTACGCGCGTAAGAAGTTATACTTCTTTGGCATTATTAAAAATAGTTTTTGATTGCATGCAAATAATTAATTACAATTAAATAATCAAAGACTGGAAAAGGAGTCATTATAGTCAATAAAGTTCAGTTTACATTTGAAAAATGATTTAAATATTAATTATTATTCTCTTACATTGTATTGTAACATAAATTCTATTATTATTCGAATGTTGTTTTTAAATTATATCCAATGCCGTAGCATCTTCCGTGGGCAACTTAATTCTGTTAATATTGTGTCCCGGTGCGCGCGCATCGTAAAATTTCACTCACATCAATTTTTCATAACGCGCCTAAAGAAGTATAACTTCAAAAATAAAATCCCGACAATCTAATAATTGTAACGAATACATTAATAAAGAATTTAATTTTTGCTTATCTGCAAATGGAATAAAGAGGAGACTCACTGGTACCTATTTATACACCTCACCAAAATGGCAGAAGTGAGAGAGAAAACAGAACCCTATTAGACAAAGCTAGATGCTTGTTAATAGAGGCATATGCCCCACTAAAATTATATGAAGCAATTGCATCTCAAAATTATTTAGGTAATACTTACCCATCCCTCTGGGAAACGTATGAATTTATTTTCCTGAAAAACATTTTTTTCGGAATAGAATAAGGTAACAGAAGGCATGTTTATAGCATTTTTTTTTTTTTTTTTATAGAACGGGGGGCAAACGGGCAGGAGGCTCACCTGATGTTAAGTGACACCGCCGCCCATGGACACTCTCAATGCCAGAGGGCTCGCGAGTGCGTTGCCGGCCTTTTAAGAATTGGTACGCTCTTTTCTTGAAGGACCCTAAGTCAAATTGGTTCGGAAATACTTCAGTGGGCAGCTGATTCCACATAGTGGTGGTGCGCGGCAAAAACTGCCTTGAAAAACGCTCAGTTGTGGAACGGCGGACGTCGAGGTGATACGGGTGGAATTTCGTATTCTGTCTCGACGTCCGATGATGAAACTCAGCTGCAGGTATTAATCCGAACAACTCCTCTGAACACTCTCCATGGTAAATGCGGTAGAAGATGCAGAGTGACCCCACATCTCTACGCAACGCCAAAGGATCAAGCCGCTCGGAGAGGGATTGGTCGTCGACGATTCGAACCGCTCTGCGTTGTATACGGTCAAGTGGAAGGAGCTGGTACTGGGGAGCCCCCGCCCAGAGGTGAGAGCAGTACTCCATGTGGGGCCGAATTTGCGCTTTATAGCGCATATTCTTAAAATTCTAAGGCATACCAGGTTTTAATACCAGAATACAATAAAGTTGTGATTAATAAGCAGAGATGTTAGGATTACTGATATAATGTATTTTGAAAATCAAAATGAATTTTACGAGAAACTTGTTAATGAACGCGTGGAGGAGTTGACATTAGGGATGTGAAAAAATAATCGATTATTTTAAAAATCGATTGTAATCGATTTTTTTACGCGATTTTTATATTTAAAATAATCTATTATTTTTATAATAGAAAATCAATCATAATCGATTTTTTATCTGCCACCTCCCGACATTATGTCTGGTCTTTTACAACCCGGACCTCGAACTATTAGGGATATTCGATACACAACGATGTTTACAATGCGATACATTGAATCCGATTCTTTGAAGATGTATTGATATACTCGATTTACATTGATGTTTTTTTGTAAAACATCAAAAGGATGATAAAAGCAGTTAATTTTACAAAAACTCAAGTTTGAATGGAACACTATAACTTAAAAGTAAAATAAATTTATTCAGCAGCACAAGACTACATACAATTAAAAAGACAACAAAAATACTGCAATGTGCTACTGAAAAGGAATACACTCAGCATTTATCAAATCAAGTTAATTTCGATTTTGATTATTCTTAAACGTTAATTTGTGTTTATAATTTCTATTGTTTATTTTTAATTAAAAAAAAACCATGACAAATAAAATATTTAGGGTGTTTATTTTAAAATAATTCAAAAATTTGGAAAAAATCGATTATTTTTTTAAGAAAAATCGATTATTTATTAATCGATTATTCATGCTAAACAAATAATCGATTTTTTATGCAGAATGTCACATCCCTAGTTGACATCGAAAATACACGATAGTGAAAGAAAATATTTGTTAAAAAGAAAAGTCAAAGGCCACAGACAGAAATCAAAATTCAAGAAAACGACTTACTTCATCAAATACAAACATGCTATGAATCAGGCGATGAATCAAATGAATAAATTCCTGATGTCATAGAGATATCTGTAAATATGAGCAAATAGAAAGACGTCCACCAGCTTGGACTACTATACGTGGTAAATAACATAGATTAAGATATAACATAGTAGCAAATCTATCTGATGAAAATGAAGACCCTGGGGCTTAGTCAAGATGTCTTAACAGTGGTGTATGTAGAAAGTCGAAAACTAAATTTGTATGAAAATTTGACCCCTTGAATATTAGCATGATGTTATTAAGGCTGAAATAAAAGCACATGTTTGTAGGTTGTAGCTTCATGAAGAGGAGTATTGGTAACTGGTAACTGCTGCTACGATGCTTTCGACCTTTTTAGCTATGATTCTATATTTTCTTTCATTATAATATAAAGTTAAATCTTCCCGACATTGTCACATTCGAAGTAAATTTTTAATTTCATTTTTCGATTTTTTTATAATGTTTAACTAAAAAGTAATACATTTATTTTAACACTAAAATTTATGTATCTATTTTATGGATTTTTACCAATTCATTGCTGATTTATTTAATTTAATAATAAATAATTCTTGTATTAAAGAAAACACTACTGTCTACTATTTCTTCTGCTTCTATGTTTATTCCTAACCTATGTCCAACATAAATGACCAAATGTCATATCGACACTAATTATGATTTGACAGTTGTTGAAAATAATGTCGCCGCTGAATGCGAATTGCTAAATATTCCGCGCTCCCGGTGTTTGGTTGTAAAATGCTTATATCATTGAAAAATGTAGAGTTTCATTAATCCTGGTAGTTATAATTTTTTCAGCAAGATAATGGCTAGTTTTTACGACGAGACATTGGTAAATTTTGATTTAGACTTCCTGCAACCGTCTGCAAGTAATGTGGTAAGTAAGGTTAGTTTATGAGGTTCTAAATCAATTAAAAATATAACTACTTCATAAATAAATTAAAGAATTCCGTTTAAAAATTAGTGTACATCTTATTGTATTTGTAACAAATGTGTATGTTTAAACTTTTTTAATGCGAGGAGCATGTAAACAAAATTATTTATATTTATTAAGTTATTCATAACAGGATCAGTTTTAAAGGAAAATAAATTCAAGACTACCATTTGTAACTAACACTTTATAAATAGTTATTTTTCAAATTAATCTACCCTACCCAAATTTTTAAATTTTGTTACTGTTACAGAATGTTTTAAGACATGACAAACAGCGACAATCAATATTGAATGTGAAGAAGAAAATTGTAGCAAGCAGGTATGAATATTTTTTATTTAAGTTAATCAATAACATTTATGTGTTAATAATTTTTATTATTATATATTATTAACTTATATTATATATTAACTATGAAAGCATTCAATCAATAATTTTATTATTAAATTTCATGAAAAAAATTTAACCTACATTTTTTATGTTTCCAGTGCTCTTGTACAGAAATTCTATACACAAAAAGAGAGACTTGAAGAAACTGAATGCTTGCTCTTGGCTGCAAAAGAAGAATGTAAACAAGCTTGTATAGAGAATAAGGGAACTTTGGAAAAATATACTGAATTAGAAAAGGTAGCTTATTAAATATCACTGGAATTGATGAGAGTTTTTAATCTATGCACATTTCAATTACAACAACTTGTAACTTGGATTGGTGCTATTCCTCTGCACACCATAGAATCTTCAAACATTCAATTATGATATGATTAAATTATTATTTTTTTACCCTTTGCTTACAATCAATTTATATTTTAAAACATAAATTGCAGATAAGATTCAGTGGAGACTAAGTGTTAAGTGTGACTGCCGTATATCATATTGATCTAGTGCATTTGGTTTTATTAAAGGAAACTATTTTCATTCCAGAATGCAGTGAACCTCAAAGAAAGTAATCAACAACTGGTAAAAAATGTTGCGGACTTGCAAAACCAGGTGGAAGCAATGAATTCACATGCTTATCAATTACAGGTAATTATACATTATAGTCAATGCTGTGTACAATTTTTAACTAACTCAATTTATGTTATTCAATTAAAATTTATAAAAAATAGTGATGATGAACAGCAAAATCAATAAAATTTCAGTGTTTAGTTTGTTTTATGTATGTATGCTAATTGGACAAGTTTATAGTTTCAATCTGGGTGGGCAAAATTAATAAAAAAAACCTCAAAGCTGCAAATATAGGAAGCCTATTAGAGAAATTATTATTAAAATAGAAATCTATCTATATCATTCTATATAAAGGCCATTTCATATGGGTTATGAAAATTACTCATAAGCAATATTGGTAAATTTTGAGGAATCATTGGATTCAATGAAAAACACAAATATTTCTTAAGAATCTGTTAATTATACATATTACATTTCAAATACAATTTTAAAGTTTCTTAAGGTAATACTGACTGTTCATAATAATAATAAAAAAATATATGAATATTTTTATTTAACAGACACTTGTTAAGGAAAAAGAATCAATGGTGGAAGCTTTAAAAATAGAAAAAGAATTGGAGAAAAACAGTTTAAAGGACTATGAGAAAAAGCTTACATCATATGAAAAAGAACGAGAGGCATTTTTAAATGATATAAGGTGTTTCAAAGATGTAGTTCTTGGTAAAAGTAAGTGAAATATCTGTCAATAAATAAATATATACTTATAATTTGTAAGTGTTGATTTTCTGCAATTTATTTATTCTATTAAGATCATTTAGGTCCTAAATATAGCACAACATTTTTATGAATGGCTTACAAAAGCAATGGCAACTTAAAAATGTAACTAAACTAGTGGGATGAATTTATTTTTAATAATTATACTTGTTGTTACAAAATAAATAATATGCTTTATTTAATTCCAGAAAAAGTTAAAGAAATAAAACATATTCTATCAAAATATAAAGACATGAAAATCTTTGCCGATGGTATAGAGTCAGATAACAGTAGTGATCTAGATGACTTTGATGAGAGTCCTATCAGATCTCCATCACCAATAGACAATATTTTATATGAAGCACAACAAAAGGTATGATTTTATTTCAATAATATATATTACATTATGTTTGTGATAGTTTATTATATTATTTAACTATAAAAATTTATTTTTAGGAAGGTGTGTTAAGTAATAATGTTAATAAGGAATCATGCAATGACTCAAAATTATTAAAGATTGGTGAGTTCAATTTTGTATATGCTATAGAATACAAAGCTTGATGATAAAAAAAAGAATCTTATTCTGTTGCAAATTAAATAAATTTTTATAATTAATAAATTCTGTTGCAGATAAATTTAATGATGACCATGATTCTGATTTTTGTATTGAGGTTATTAGTGAAGACACTGGGAGGGGATCTTCATTGGCATTGTCTGAAATGAACAGCCCAGAAAATGATTTTATGGTGGGTGATTATAATGTAATAATCAAAGAACCAATTATTCAAGTTGATGTTGGTACAAGCCCAATGAGAGTTGAAGATAATCTTGTATCAAGTCCAAATATATTTGATGATGAAGTATTACTGAGTGATAGAAATGCTGATGCACCAAAAACTCCTGAGTACTTTATTTCAGATATTCCTTTAAGTTCAGAAATTGTTACCATTAAAGAGAAACGACAATTAGTTGATGCATGCACAAGTCCCGTGAATATTCCACTTAATATTGTTCATGAAGGTACTAGTCCCATCATCTTTGAGGATAATAATGAGGATATTAATATCATTGCAAGTGCAATACAAGCCTCTAATCCCGAACAAGCAAACTCAGACGCATCCACTGACGACAATAGTAAATGCCAGATGAGACTGAATAGTATATCTAGTGGTTGTGAAATAGAAATATCAAGGAAACCCATAGAAGAAGTTGAAAGTATGGATGTTAATGATGAAATTAATAATGATAGGGAAGTGCAAATGATTTTAAGAGAAATGAAGTTTCATCATAAAATAATCAGTCCTCTTCCAAAAAGACCAAAGATGCAATCCCACACAATTAAGGAAGCTCATGGAGTATGTCCTGAAGCAATAAAAGTCAGAAAAGAAAATAAAACTTTAAAAACAAATGTTGACTTTTTATGCAAAGAAATTTTGCTAATTAAGAGTATGTTAACAAGTAAAAGTCATGAGAATATACAAACTACTGAAAGTGATATAAGCCTATTTGGTGATAGTCAAGATACTATCATAGAAGGTGATAATGATCTAAGTACTGTTAGTGAAGTTAACAACACATGTGAGAACTCAACTGATTTTGATTTGAGGTCTAATGCAACGGAATGTGAAAATGATCCAATAACTTTATTATTTTCAAATGTAAGTCCACAAAAGTCTCAAAACAGAATATTGCTTGAAAATGACAATACCACTGAAACTCCACTTGAAGCCGACATAAACTGCCCGGATACTATTATAGATAATAAAAGAAAACATGAAACATATGATATCCAAGTTTCCAATGACTTTCCTAGAAATGATAAATCACCGAATGTTTCAAGACTTAAACGACGAAAACAAACCAAACTTGATTTATTGAAGAGAAAGATAATGCCGAGGAGTAAAATAATGGCGCAGCTACCTGCAAGAAGATTAAAGAAAATTCCTCTTAAACCAATTGTGAGAAAAGATTTTAAGAACAAACTCTTAAATATTATAAACAACAAAGAGGCATATGATAAAGCACGACAGGTAATGAGTGAACTGAAATCAAATGATAAATCAAAACCCAAAATTATAAAACAAAAAATTGTTAAGAAAAAAGAAAATAGAAGTAATATTAGAAATACATCTGATAGATCTTCTGTTAAAGTTTCAAAAGAAGACTTTGTTAAGAAAACAACTGTAAGTAATCCAATTGCAATTGATAGTACAAAAGAATCTTATAATAATGAACACAAGATTATAAGCCCTAAGAAAAATAGACATGCCGTGCCTTTGGCACCATCTACTGACAGCAGTATAGATACAAGTTCTGTTTCCGTCATTAATGGAAACGAAAAGGTAAAAACTATGGATTTAGAAGAAATTATTCATAAAGAAGACAATACTGGTAATGAAAAGATAGCAGAAGGTAAAGAAACGCCAATAGTCGTAGACAATGAAAAACAAGACAATCACACAAGCAAGGAAACTACTCCCAAAACTAACCGAAGGCGCAAACGGATCGATTCTGGAAGTTCTAACGTTAGCTATAAACGAATGCTGCGAAGTTCAAATTTGGAGAAAATAGAGTCTAAAGAACAAGAAAATAAGGATGATAGACCACTCAATATAGATTATAATGATCTAGATATGTTTGAAACTGACGTTAAAATGGAAAACGTAGATAAATATTTAGGTAAAACTACGAACGAAGAAACAGACACAAACTTACTTAATAAAGTTAAAAGAAAAATGAGGGTTTCTTCACATGATTCGGATAAACCACAACGATCATTACGTAGTTCGAATTCACATGTAAATATTACAGATATAGATACAGACGGAAACGCAAACAGGTTAGAGATAACAGAAGATAATAAAGGAAAGAAAATAAATGAAATTTTCACTCCACCTGATGACAGACTGAACATTTCTGCTGATGCAAATAATCTCAGTAACAGCATACTTTGTAAAATGATTAGAAAACATGGAAAGAATGTTATTAAAACCTCAGCATCGAAAGTATCAGGTGAGATTTCAGTTTATTTGTGTACTTTTTATGGTTCCATGTTTGGTTCCTGGCTAAACAATAATTTCCATATCCCCCCAGTCCTGTCTTTTAAAGGCTTGGCCTGTATTTCAGGGACTTAAAATAATTTTTTATTTAGCAGGCAGTCCATTAATTAATGTGTTAGTAACAATAATTTCTTAAAAGCTAGAATTAGTAGAAAAAGTACAAGAATTTATTAAATCCTCAACCCTGCGGAGATGTCGCGTCAAAGCATATATCTGAATTCATATTAATTTAATTCAAATTTGTTTTTTTAGACAAAATTATAGACGCCATTTTTGAAAAGATAGACACAACATTGTCAGATATTGTAGAGAAACCTCCTGATCAGCTCCAAAAAGCATTGGATGACCTTATTCAATATTTAAAAAGTCTAAATCGGAAAGAATTTATATCTGGTCTCATGAAATTCCTCCAAGACCCAGCTCGGAAGTTGGAATTGTATAACAAAGCTATTACAAAAGTTCCCATGACAAAGAAAGAACAGATGATTGTATATATTATAAAGCAAATGAATGATAATATACTTGGCGAAGTTTTGAGAAATATAGACTTTGCTTTATTCTGTTTGAGTCGAAATCCTGAGTTTGATACAATAGAGAGTTTATCGCATATGTATGCAGTGTTATGTAGAGTGTTTAATTTGAAGAATCGGTTAAAAGTGTTCATGCTGGATGCGATGTACTGTCTTAACTTCAAGGCGGTCGTTGTGGTTAAGCAGTGTCTGACAACTTGGCCTCATGTCTTACCTTTGGCACATTTACCTCATGGTGAGTCTTTAAAGAAATATTTTGTGTGTATATATTATAAAATGTGTGTAAGGGTTGACACAATAATGACTAAAAGAATCGATTGCTCAATCTCAAATAATAGTCTAGAAGTAATAATACAGAACATTAATCTTTTGAGGATTATGTCTTAATAAGTAGGTGAGATACATTATTCCTTCAAATGTAAATTGTGTGCAAGATTTTAGATTTATCATTTCTTGTTTTCTCTTTTTGTGTGTGTGTTTGGTTTATTATACGCAAATAATGAAAACGATTGTTTTACACATTACACACATATTTTTTTATGGATATACATTATGTTGAGATTTGAGTTATTTAGGATTATGTTTATTTAAGTGTAGAAGTCGCGAGCACCTAATGCTATAAAAATAGTAAAATAAAATTTTAGTTTCAAATTCAACCCCCCTCGCTTTTATATATCATAGAATAGTTTTAAAAAAAACTTAATTGAGTATTAATTCTTTCCAGCCAAATCGCCGCTACTATTAAGCATAGTGTACTTATTACACTTTTTAAAGTGTGACAATCGTGGTATGAAGCGAGCGACAGATGTAAGATGGCTGTTAGATAAGAAATACATGTACAACTTCAATGAATGGACACAGAATAGAGTACTTGAGATGTTCAGCCACGCCATCAAAACCATCAGAGGTAAATATGACAGTTTTCTCTATAGACTCCTTGCCCATCTAAATCTTTAAACAGTATCCAAAAATGTATCAATCTATTTTCCCTGGTATTCTATCTTTACAGAATATTACTAATAAGATAGAACTACACAATATACACACCTGGATAAGTATTTAATTAAAACTTAATGGCTGAACCAAATTCTGTATATAAAAAAACCAGTGTAATAAATCACCACAAAATCTTTTCATTACATTTGGTGAAAATGTTCATGTTGTAAAAATTAACGTACGTATTATATGAACTGAAAAATACAGTATATTTTGAGATTTTCCAACATTTCCTATTATTAGAATCTTCTCCTTCTTATAGTGCCATCTCCTTGCGAAGGTTGGCGATCATCATGGTTATTTTAATTTTGGATGCCGCGCTTCTAAACAATGACTTGGTACTTTGACCAAAATTTATTAGATTATTAGAATATTTTATTGCAAATTTGCCCAATTGGTTCCCCCCCTTCCCCCCCCCCGGCGCCCCCGGGGGGCCCCCCCGGGGGGGGGCCCCCCCCCCCCCCCCCCCCCGGGGGGGGCCCCCCCCGGGGGGTTTTCCCCCCCCCCCCCCCTTTCCCCCTTTTTTTTTTTTTTTTAAAATTTTCCCCCCTCTTTGTTGGGGGGGGGGGGGGGGGGGGGGGTTTTCTCGGGGGGGGGGGGGGGGGGGGGGGGGGGGGGGGGGGGGGGGGGGCCCCCCCGGGGGGGGGGGGGGTATTTCCCCCCGGGGGGGGGGGGGGGGGGGGGGGGGCCCCCCCCCCCCCCCCCCCCCCCCCCCCAAAAAGGGGGGGGGTTTTTCCCCCCCCCCCCCCCCCCCCCCCCCCCCCCCCCCCCCCCCCCCCCCCCCCCCCCCCCCCCCCCCCCCCCCGGGGGGGGGGGGGGGGGGGGGGGGGGGGGGGGGCTGCCTCGCCGGCGGGGGGGGGGGGGGGGGGCCCCCCCCCCCCCCCGGGGGGGGGGGGGGGGGGGGGGGGGGGCCCCCCCCCCCCCCCCCCCCCCCCCCCCCCCCCCCCCCCCCCCCCCCCCCCCCCCCCCCCCCCCCCCCCCCCCCCCCCCCCCCCCCCCCCCCCCCCCCCCCCCCCCCCCCCCCCCCCCCCCCCCCCCCCCCCCCCCCCCCCCCCCCCCCCCCCCCCCCCCCCCCCCCCCCCCCCCCGGGGGGGGGGGGGGGGGGGCCCCCCCCCCCCCCCCCCCCCCCCCCCCCCCGGGGGGGGGGGGGGGGGGGGGGGGGGGGGCGGCCCCCCCCCCCCCCCCCCCCCCCCCCCCCCCCCCCCCCCCCCCCCCCCCCCCCCCCCCCCCCCCCCCCCCCCCCCCCCCCCCCCCCCCCCCCCCCCCCCCCCCCCCCCCCCCCCCCCCCCCCCCCCCCCCCCCCCCCCCCCCCCCCCCCCCCCCCCCCCCCCCCCCCCCCCCCCCCCCCCCCCCCACCCCCCCCCCCCCCCCCCCCCCCCCCCCCCCCCCCCCCCCCCCCCCCGGCCGCGCGCGGCGCCGCGGGCGCCCCCCCCCCCCCCCCCCCCCCCCCCCCCCCCCCCCCCCCAAAAAAAAAAAAAAAAAAAAAAAAAAAATACATACCATAAATTACTATCGGAATATGTACCGAATTTTTTTATAAAATTGCGAAAATTTATTTATTACAGATGATCCCGCTGAAAGGAATATGTTGAGAATGGCGATAATTATCTTCGCTAAGCGGCAAGGTGTCAAATGGTGTCAAAGGCATATCATAAATAACCTACTTTTATCAACTGTAGAGAATGAAAATAGTCCAGAGAGAGTCAAAGTGTTTTGTATAAAGGTTTTGGGACCACTTTTCAAGGCTTATCCAATCAATATGAAAGTGCATTGCGAAATTATGACCAATCGATTACTGGATATGTTGGAACAGGAGAATTGTGAGTTTTTAATATTTTTTTATAAAAAACTATATCATGTTTTTATGTGGTTTAAAACTAGTATTCGTAGTGTTTGTTATTAAGTATATTTAAAATATTTTTGTATACACCAAAAACGAAATACTAGTGTAACTAACAAAACTTGATACTTTATACACAATTTTTGGCCTTTGATATTCAGAGGTCATTCAAAAAAGTTCTAAGTTAAAAAGCGTAGAATTAATAAAGTACAAATGACACTCATAAATAACGGGGTAATTTAGAAATTAAATTAATAAAATTTTAGTATCATCATCAATGGCTGTACAACCCCCTATGGGCCTTAGCCTCTGCAAGTATCTTTCGGCATCGCAATCTATGTCGTGGTGTTCAATTGAGAAAAACATCACCAATCTTTTTTTGGGTTTTTTTTGGGGAAAAATTTTTTATCAAGTTGGTTGGGGGGTTAAAAAAAACAAACCCCCCCCCCCCCCCTTCTCTTTATACCATTAGTATTGATATGATCGTAATCATAGTACCAAACTTTTTTATTCCCCCATCTTTTTATTTATTTCTTTTATACTTTATTACCTTATTCAAAAACATACACATAGCAAAAATGTCTTCCAGCAACTGGTAATTGGTACAATGAAAAAGAAACCCTATAGAGTACAAGGTCAAAAATAATTACAAAACTCGTAATAACACTTTACTATAAATAAAATAAAATTAAGTAAAACTAAAAAAACATATAATAAATAAAAATGTATAAACAAAAATTTAAAAGCAACTCAAAAGGTTCCCTGAGAATAATTATATATATTTAACGTAACTAATTGTAAATACCGTTAGATGTAATGATCGGTAAACTGTCGAAAGATTGTGAACTCATAGTACCAATTTAACTATTTTTTCGGTAGATTACAATCTATCAAATTAATCGTCAAATTTGAAACGGTACGCACCTCTCTATTCTATTGGTCGGATTTTATAGACCGTTTATTATGTCCGTTGGTGTGGGGCAAAAAATGGTGGCCTTTCAAAATTTGTTTTTATTATAAAAAACATCAGACATCACATGATGAAAAAAATAAATCAAATAAAAAAATCAGAAACGTAACAATATTTTCTTCAAACACAAATTATAATTGAAAATTAAGAAGTTTTCTTTTAAAAAAAAGGTACAAATAAAATCAAAATTAAAAAAAATCGAAACATTGAAGTTTTTGAAAACAACAAAATTGTCTATTATATAAAAAATAAGAAAGTAAATTGCATCAATAAAATGTTCAATTATTGATGTACACGTCAACGAGTTGTGGCACCTGGAGTTACAAAGAACATTAGCTTTCTTTTTATTTCTTTGGGCAATTAAATTTTTTACTATTTTCATTATGCAACCGCTGTAATAGTTTTGTAACTCTATGGTAAATTCTTCTTATAAACAATACCTAACCTATTACTGAGTTTTGTAGATCGACAGGGCACAATATCGACCTTTTAAATACGAGATCACAAAGGTTCACGCAATAAAAAATATTAAAACAAAAATAATTTAGACTATGTTTGAGCACTACTTAATTATCATTCGAACTGCACCTTTGGTCATCACGTATTTACTTCCCCAACATAGAACTTTTCCCTCACGTTCACTTCAATATCCTAAAGCTGTGAGTATTTAAAGACGACATCAATTTAATAAAAAACCGTTTGTTTACATTCGACAACAATAATAATAAATAACAAATATGTATAAACAAAAATTTAACAATCAGCAAACCGTTCAAAATTGACGTTCACTGATAGATATAATCTACCGAATAATACGTTATATTGTAAGCAATACGTGAGTTCACAATTTTTCGACAGTTTACAACGCGGGGTTTTTACAATTTTACGTTGACATATATAAGCAGAGCTAATTACGAGACACAAAGAAAATGATAAAAAAGAAGCTTTTTAAATAAATTTAAAGACTGAGCTCGTCTAATATCAATAAGTAGGGAATTCCATAGCAGGATACTATACACAGTAAAGGAGGCGTGATAGAATTCAGTTTTATGAATAGGAGTTTCAAGAATTAGATTGTCTAAGGAACGCAAGTCAAAACTACCGCCAGAGAGGAACATAAAATTTTTCTTTAAGTAACTAGGAGTTTTAGGATTAAAAATATCTTTTCTATTTCTTTCAGTATCACACGCAATAAAGGAAGGAATATTCACAAGTCTTATATGTATGAGCAAGCATAATCCCCAGCGCGTTAACAGTGCTATGTTAAAATGGACACCGGAGAGCGTGTCGTCGGAGTTCGAAGCTTTGATTAAGAGTTATGTCAGGGAAAAACCTATTAAGGCGTGGAAGAAGATACTCTCCAAGACACGTTAAGTGCTTATCACTTACTACGTACTTTGATAGAGCGGAAAGAGTACCAGTGGTAGTGTTTGCTATGAGTCATTTCATTTAAAAATTATGTACTTTTTTTTACTGTCCAGCTATGACTTAACAGGGTTGCCAATATAAGGTTATTTAGTTCTGCGACCCTAAATCCTACCACGGTTCGTTTTACGCACTAGTAGAGTGTTGAGAGTTCGAACGCAACGAAACGGTGACACGTTTTTCTTTTGTTTATTTCCAGTGTTAGGTACCTTGTAAAGCTATTTTTTATCTTGTTTTAAAAGCGTCAAATATTCTGTTAATATAAATTGTAGATTTGAAGTAATATAGATTTATAGGACCATTTTTGTTATTACTTAATACTGAAGTAGACTTTCTATTCATGGCTCTTAGTTGAACTTACTGGTAAGAATTTGTAGGAAAATACAAGGATAATTTTAATTGGGGTTTTTGATAAGTAACGTTCAAAATGCACCAGATTAGTTTAAAAGTTTGTTCGGGTAAATTTTTCGGCTTCATTGTTGCTTTAAAAACTATTAGGAATTTGTTTTTAGAACAATTCGATCTTATTGGTATTTTTGGATGAATACTGTTTATTCTTGAGTAGTTTAACCTGTGTTTTAATTATATTTTAATGAGAATGCGCCTTCTATAGAAAATCGTCATAGCACGACTGGTGAAAATTAGTTGAATCCTATTAAATATCATTAATTTAATTCCATAAATAGGAATTACTAAGAAGCTCATAATTTAAGGTATAGTAATAATTTAATACCATGGAACACTAAAAGGCGAAAGATTTATACGTTGAAACAAACCAGAGTTAGATGTTCAATATAACTTAAGGTGAAAATATGTACAATCTGTAAATGATTAAATTATAATTGTGGTCTAAGATCCCGCTATACAACGACCTTCACCGAGATGCTTATTTAATGAAACTTATTTTATATATAATTTAATATGTCAATAAATACAATCCATATGGGTTGCCTAGCAAATTTCAGTCCAGAGTATGTTTAATTAATTTAAAAAAAAATTATTTTTTTAAACATTTCACCGGTATGATTATTAGATAAATTCTATACCAATCGAACGAATGAAGCCCATAGAATATGCAAACGTTAGGTTGTTTTTAATCAATTAATTATTTATGTGTATATTTTTTATGTGACACTAAAGTATATATACATCTTTAGTATAAAAAGAAGGTTATAGTGATACATATATAATACTACCCTGATTAAAAATATTGATTGAAAAAAGTTCAAAAAATTTACTACATGCAAATTATAAAAAAAAAAATTTTTTTTAATATTAATTAAACATACTCTGGACTGAAATTTGCTAGGCAACCCATATGGATTATATTTATTGACATATTAAATTAAATATAAAATAAGTTTCATTAAATAAGCATCTCGGTGAAGGTCGTTGTATAGCGGGATCTTATACTATTGTGTAGTTCCATAATATGTTTGTATTTACTAGTCCGATTAGTATTAAGTCATATAGGGCCAAATAAAAATGCATTTTTAAGATATGTGCGATAACCATACTAAATGTCCGTGTTGAATATTTGTATGAGAATTATAATAATGTTGCGCGAAAGGTTAAAAGTCGGCAACGCTCTTGCAAGCCCTGGTATTGCAGGTGGTTAGCACTGAAGTGCTTGGTTGCCTCATGGCTCAAAAAAAGATGGCGCTGTGAAGTGTTCATACAAATATTCCAGATGTATTGTACGTTATCATTTAATTTGTCATAAGAACTTTCGTTTCGCTCTTAAACTTGTCCAGTAATGATTAATATTAATTTTTGCGTATTGGAATAATGAATGTGATGTGTGGAAGCACCAAATAAGCAACGTGAAATTTAATTGATTTAAACTGTATTTTAAAAGTAGTAAATCAGTCTTGCTTTGACGGTCACGAATATAAATAAACCTTTTTTTTATTTATAACATCTTCCCTTATTTTAAACACATACCACCAGATAATAAACATTTAAATCATAGTCGCAAACTGCTACAAGGCAACTGCTATTAACATTTTTATGCAGGAACAATGGATCCTTCCGTATTCGAATTCGCGTAAGTCATAGAGTTAATTATGACTCCCGTATGTCAAATACGTGTAGGACTTTGATAAACGGAAGTCTTACTTAGCGTTAAGCCTCTGACTGAATCTTATCCTAAGAGTGAATTCAGTCTTATAATGAATGACACATTTTTCGTTGGTCTAAGAATAGCACTTCTATGATTTAAATATTTGCTAATAGGTTAAGTTTTATTAGCATGACTATTGTGTAAGTAAATATTAATTTAAGATTACTGATAAGGACGATATTTGAAATGGCGGTCAAAGCTCAAAGCAATGGTATATGTGTTTCAAATGGTATGCGTACTGTGATTTCTGTAAGCTTCATTTTCGAAGTAATAAATATTCAAATAACATTTACGTTTTTCTTTTCTACCCGCATTGGCTGTGTTTAATTAAATCATTCTATATTCATTTGTATTTTGTTGATCAGTTTAAAGTTTAGCATATCTGTACTATTATTTAGATTGATAGAACAAATTCTATGTATTTTGTGATCTAACGATAATCAACTGATAATTGTTGTGTAATTACAAAACTTGTAAGTGCGTTTCGTATCACTACACGCCAAACATTATTTTTTAGAGTTATATATTTTTTATAGTAAGCGCCAGTGTGAGTGGCAAACAATTTTAAAATCTGTTTATTAAAAGCCAAAATATCATATAATAATTTATTAAAAGTTGGTCTTATATTTCTTAATCTCTACCATAATAACATGAATATTAACAAGTTGCGTCCGCGCATTTGGCGTGAGGAGTTTATTAAATTTCTGATAATATTGCACAAAGTTTGTCAACGCCATTTGCAGTAATCCCGACCCGGTCACCAAATTTGGAAATGACACAAGCACTTCTCGGTGTATCTCTTCAAGACTCTGCTTCCAACTTGACGAAAACGAGGAGACCAGACTTAACGATTTCTTCTCTAAACCAGCTAATTCGTTTTTCTTGTCTTGCTCTAAGAGTTGTTCGCCTTCCTTTACAAACTGCATCAAACCCCCGAAATGAGGACTCAAAATCTCTTCAACATATTCTGAACTTCGAGCTTGCAATTGCTCTCGGAAACTTTCCGCTTCTTTAGTATTATCCCTTGTCCTTTCCATGAGAATGCTTAACACCATATCGTAGTTATTGATCAAGAATATTAATTGCTGAATTCTTTGAGCGAATTCGGCGGCCATTTTTAAAAGGAAGCAATGGACTTCATCTTGGAGCACTAGAAGAAGATTGCTTAGTTCCTGTGACGGGAACTGTTCGCTCAAACTGAGCATTGCTGCTGAAAATTCAGCATATCTGCGTGTGATCTGAAAGTATTAATTTGAAATAAATCAGAGCTGTTTGTTTGAGATTATATTTGATGGGTTTATCGGTCTTACGACTAACCAAAAACACTGTTCCTAGAAATATATGTTCCTAGGAATTAAAGTTTTACAACAAAATGTGGAAATAATCTTTGAATTAATAATTTTGTCTTACTTAAATAAATATAATCAAACTATAATTGTCAAATAGGAGAATATTTTTTAACGCTTTTTGAATTTGATAACGACATATTATCCTATACAATTGGACATTCAATAAATGCATCCAAAAATGTAAATACTGAACCTTTATTTCTCGTGAATCAATCTCATCAAGAGCTATCTTTTCTTAGATAGCTCTAGACCCCAAGGAACAAATAAAAAAATCATAGATATTTCAATACATACATAATGAGGTCCGAGTTCCTTATTCGCCAATTTACCCGGGTCACACTCGCGTACACTTTGGATGTTTAATTTTAATACATATTCGAGACGAGGCCAGAATGTGGATAGTAAGGAATCCCAATAACTAAAATCAATATAGGATATGTATTGTGGCCATACAAATATAAAGAATATAAGATAATTTTTCTATAAATTTTAGAATACGCATCATACAAGTCAATTAACAAGATTATAATACTCGATTAACGACTGAAAAGTTAAAGAATAAGTAAAAATGTGAGCCGTCACGGGACGCCTGGCAGATGTGAAACATCGACATTATTTTGTAAAAGTAATATGCAGAAAAGAACACATTGTGATAGGAACTAAATATGTCATAATGATAAAATAAAATATTACGATTTTTTTTTCAGATAACGATGACTATTTATTGAATAAATATTTATTTTCATTAAATACAAAAATGTACGAATTTATTTCAAATCTTGAAAATGACTTAATTACTTAATTCATTTAATCAGTGACTTCGAAATACATACACCGTACACTACTGCATATAGACTGTATATAATACCATATAGCGTGGCGACGCGTCGGAAATCGGTTTTACGTGCGGCTATAGATGTTTCACATCAAAATTGCATTTTGACCAACTTTAAAATAATGTAGGAGGATACAAAAGAAGGTTTTGTTTGGGTATTGTAAATAGAAGACAGAGCCAAGCTTAAGCTTACCTGTCCAAAGCAGCAACAGCTCGTTTGTGGCACATCCATCTGTATCTATTTATAAGTTGGATGCAAAGGAATAGGGCCAAACAGTCAAAGCATTCCACAACATAGCTTTCAACATTTTTCTGAAATAATTTATACATTTTATCATTTATATTGAAATAGGTAAAATGTCAATAGTGAGAATATTAAACTCAAGTATGTATAAAGAATTTTACATCAATATTTTTTTTAATTTGTTAACTGTTAACCATGCTTCATGTGTTTAAGTGTTACCTATTAGGGTAATGTGTATAGTATAATTGCTATTATTAATAGAACTGCTGTTAGCAGGAATACAAATAATAAATTAATTAATCTTTAGATTTTGTATGAACTATGTTTGCCTGGAAGAGTCTAGTTAGCGATGAGGCCTATTGCTACTTTATAATATGGGGTACAACTGGTGCCCCATATTATAATGTAATCAAAGCCTCCTCAATAAAATGACCTTTTGTCACAAAAAATATCCATACTTAAAAGTCTTTCTTGAGTTAGTGCGTTTAAACAAATGAAGAGAAACTCGCAATAGGAATTGTTTTTTTTCATTGATTCCTGATGTAGGTTTATAATTGTTAAGGATGGTTAAGCAAAATTTTTGCGATCAATAAGTAAGTTATATAAATCCACAGCAGACAGATTAACTATGAAAGATAACTAATTAAACTATGGCTTGAATACTTACCACAAGCAAAGACAAAGTTTTACCAAGAATTCGATCAAACAATTCTTGAGCATGACTACCCTTGACATGAAAGAATTCAGTGGTAAATAAATATTCTCTACAGCTGTTATCTACCAGTGCATATTGAAGGCTTCGAAAAAGTGCTTCATAAGAATACTGAAAAAAAAATTGTTTAATTTTTATGTGCCTTGCAAATTTGTATATCCATTTGTATGAGTTTTAAAATCAATTTTATTCTAAAACTTATGTTCTGATTTAGTAACTAATTATATAAAAGTTACAGTGATACATAAAATTATAGTGTTTATTTGGTTTTAGCAAAATGTTAGGTATAAAGTAATAACTCAATTAATAGACTAGGGAGCGTTCAAGTATTACGTTACGAATTTTGGGGGGTCCTTTTGTAAAACGTTACGATGCGGGGCGGGGATTGAATTACGCGTTATTGTTAATATTATTTTCGACTTTCCAGTACTTTACGCCACATAATGGTAACTTTTAGGTATAAAGAGTCACTTGGTGGTCACGAAACGTTTTACTATACTTGGGTACAGAAAAACGTTACGGCGCGTTACACGGGGGGTCAAGTATCTCCAAAAATTGCGTGACGTAATACTTTAACGCTCTCCTACCTAACATCCAAAATAATTGATCCATTTGAACCAGTAATTCCCAAGCTTAACACATTCAACCAAACACACAAAAAAAAAGAAACTCTTCAGTTTAATAATTTAAGTATAGATGTGGCTGTCTTGTTTTCCACTAATCAGATACACTTACCCTCTTATTGATAAAAAATACATCAGTCTAATTGTACTGTTTTAACTAAAGTAATCTCTTTCTGTCAAATTGTGTTTTAACTTCAATAAAAACGGACAGTTGAGAACTCTAGTTTGAATGGTGTAATTAGTATACCTATATCTATCAATAGTAGTACCTTTGTTTTTTGTTGAACATGAGGCACAATGATAGGGGCCTCCAACTGTTGAGCCAAAACATCTCCACGGTTACCTATTGTGAATATAGTACTTTTGTTCTTAAGATTAGACTTTTGGAAAAATCCTCCTTTAGATCCATCTTCAATTCCCATCAGATCATCTTTAGTTGGTACTTCCTCATATTTCAACTTATCCAACCGTGAAGCATATGATTTGAAATAAGAATAGTATACTTTACTCAAGGTATCAATATATTCATTACATATTTCTTGAGCCACATTTCTCTCATTTGCCAACACAAACTCAAAGAAAAACTTATACTTAAGCATTGCATTTTGAGGTATTTGATAATTTGCCATTGGTTTACGAAATTTATAAATCTGCTCTAAAATATACGTCCTTATCTTAGCTATAGATTTAATTTTAAGTTTTTCCAGGACATCTTTCACATCATGACATGCTTTTGTTTCTTTGAAATCCTGTTCCTTGACAAAATTAAGTTTCTGGTTTAAAATGGCCAGTTGAATCATAAATTCTTTATCAGTTATTGGTAGATTGTTTATTCCACTGAAAAAGAAAGCTTTAAGTACAGAATTGAGGAAAACAAATGTACAGCATTGTAATCTTTGACAGCATCAGCTCTTTTTATTTGACCATCACTACAAAAATAAAAAAAAATCAAAGCAGATGTATGGTATAAACTTACAAAATTAAAGTTTCCGATACAGCTATGTCTTCAATAAATGATGATAAAGGACCCTTCAAACCTTGTCTATTTGTCAGTTGTATAGACATATTTACTGAACGTTTTTGTAAACTAATAATTTCATTACTGATACTTCCTAAATCATTCTGTAACAAAAGATATAGTAAAAATAACTTGTAAACTTAAGGACTATGGTATATTTTTCATCAATCAATTACCTTATATTTAGAATAATAATTTTATATTAGCAAGAATTTACAAAAGTGGTATTTACCTGAAAAACTAACAACATGTTTTCCATTCTTTCAAGAATACCATCACATTCTTCAATCTGGTTATGAAGGGAACCAATATTCTCACTTTCTTTTAAATAATCTGCCACTGATGCTTTCTCAGCTTCCTTAATACTTTTGTCAATTTGTAAAGCATATTCTCTCAGATCAGTTCCATTCTTAAGGACTTCCTGAATTTCAATATCTTCTAAATTTTTATCAAGAATTTCCGACATATCTGAATTTTTCGACATATTTACTGCCGAAGGTGTTTTAAAAATACATAAAGATATTTGATTAAGAAGTCAGAAATTAAGATTTAGGTCAGACGAGTGAAAGAAGAATGAATTTTTATTACAAACTTATTGTATATTGTAGAAGATTTTCACATTATATTCTCTCAGAATCGATTTATTATGATTATGTTCAAAATTATTTATCTGAGTCTCATTGCATATTTCGTTTTAATTATTTATATCAACATATTTTAATAGTAATACAAACTATACATAAACATTAAACAATTTTAGCCAAATTTCGCATTTTCTTTTTTTTTTTAGTATTGACATATGACTGTAATCTAAATGACAATTGACAGCTATAGTGTGAAAATTTAGCGTTGACAGAAAAGCTTCTTTTTTTTTTTTTTTTTTTTTTTATTGTTGAGAAATCAATTTACTGACCCCCGCGCCGGGGCAACGATTTAAAAGTGGCGCAGGGAGTGTGGGAGTCAGTCCGTATGGTGCAATGGACACCTTTCCACTAAAACCCAACAGCCCCATCTGTTCGCTATGGACGGTAGGCGCGGTAACAGTTTCCCTTAATCCGTGCCTCCGTCATGAGCGTCTGCTGTGTGAGCACATATTCTGCGTTGCCCAATCCTGTCCTAAGGTCCCAGTGGAGTACGTGCGTAATCGCGACGTCTCCTTCCAGGCCTTTTTTTGCGTTGAGGGTCGGCGTCTGGGTTACACTCCCGAACCCTCTCCGCATTCTCTTTAAGTGTAATGACGGCTTCACAGAACGCTTTGAAAGTGTTCCATGGGCCGTCACTGTCAGCCTCCATCATAGCTTTAACTATGACTGGAAGCGACAGGTCCAATCCGAAGGTGGCGGTTAATAGGCTACGTTCAGAGCTCCACGCCGGACAAACCTCTAAAGTGTGTTGCGCTGTGTCGTCTGCGAAACCACACTCGTGACAAATGGGGGATGCCTCCCTCCTGGCAACCCTGTGAAGGTATCCACCGAAACATCCATGGCCTGTGAGGACCTGAACGAGTCGGTACGAGAGTGCCCCCATCTTCTATTTACCCACAAGTTGAGCACTGGACGTATAGATGTAATTGTCCAGACTCCTGCCCTGTGATCTTGTAACTCATCCATCCATTTCTGAAGGACGGTCACTTGGGCTTCCCGTCTCCAGCTGTTTATGTGCTCAGGAAGGGGTCGAAACCCCTACTTCTACTATCTGCCCTATGCCAATAGATCTTGGCTAGGGCAGCCGCTTCGAGGTGCCAGGGGCAGTTCCTGCAATAACACACGCTGCCTCGCAAGAGACGGTGCGGTACGCCCTTGCCACCCTTATGGCCATCGCCCGTTGCGACTGTCTTAGAATCGCCCTGTTTTGAGCGAATAGACAATCGGCCCAAATGGGGCATCCGTAGAGGACCTTCGCCCGGACCACACCTGCAAATAACCGGCGACACCCCGCACTCGGCCCACCAAGATTTGGCATTAACCGGCAGAGTGCCATAGCCGTGGTAGCGAGCTTCGGGGCAAGTGCCGAGAAGTGATCCTTAAAAGTCCATCGAGAATCGAGGACAAGCCCGAGATACTTTAAAGTGGGGCTTACTCTTATGGGCACACCACATACGACCAATTGTGTACCGTCAGGAGGAGCTCGTCTTGGACCGTGGAAACAGACCGCCCCAGATTTCTCGAGGGCGACTTGGAGGCCAATGCGCCTTATTTGCGCCACAACCTGTGCCACCCCCGCCGTTGCGAGGATGCAAGCTTCTCTGTATGTACGACCTTTTGCAGTGATAAGTGTGTCGTCGGCATAACATATTAGGCTGACGCCTTGCAGATGTGAGCCACGAAGGACGCAGTTATATCCGATATTCCATAGGAGTGGGCCTAGAACAGACCCTTGTGGAACACCACACTCAACCCTGTGTTCCTTCCAACCTCCCCGACCCGGGTAGATGACGGTACGGGCCGAAAGGTATGATCTTATCATGCGCCGGAGGTATACTGGCACGTCATGGAAGATTAAGCCGTCTATAATGGTATTCCAGGGAATCGTGTTAAAAGCGTTTGCTATGTCTAGTGACACCGCCAGCACCACCCCTCCTTGCGCGAGTGTCTCCTCGCAAACGTCTCTTAGCCTTGCAACGGCGTCGATGGTAGACCGGGCGCGCCGGAAACCGAATTGGGTATCGGCCAAATCCGGCCCGTCCGTTGTAAGGTGTTTTACTATGCGGGATGCTAGCACTCGCTCGAATAACTTGCCTGCTTCATTTAATAAAACAATTGGCCTATAGGCCGACGGGGACTCAGGTGATTTACCCTCTTTCTTTAATAATACAAGTTTTCCCTTGACAGAAAAGCCTGATCTAACCTAACAAAGCAAGTGTTTTTACATATATTAAAGAGTTTTTCTTAGCACTTGAAAACCTTCGCAACCTAAAACCGTTTATTTTTTAATAATTTAGCTAGATATTGTCGCTTGTTCTCATACTTGCTTCATTAGCTTGTCTTTTCTGCGACGGTAAATCGAGTTTATATGACTGCTAAAATGGCCAACAGGAATTTTATCAGGTTTGGTTGTAGGTACAGCGCGTTGCATGGGAACTGAAAATTTTACTGTTATATATCTTAAGGTGCGCTTTCACGAGGGCAATAATTGCTCGGCGACACGAATGGACCGATCTGGAGCAATTTCAATAAATTATTTCGGCGATATTGCTTCTAATTGCTCCAGATATTTCATATCGCTCAATGTCGCAGATACGAAATGACGAATATCCAATGGACTTGGAAATTCCTATAAATTTTTGTATATATCTCATTCGCACTTGTTTGTTTTGCGGCTTGCAGTCTTGCTTCCGCGGGGAGAGCGAAAGGTCTAAATAATAATAATTTCTAATTAGGTACTTTATTCAAAAGTAATTCAAAGTCTGTTCGTGACATTCTAGTAAAGTTTTTGAATAATATATTATCTAATTCTTGAAAAAAAAAAAAAAACAATTTAATTAAAGAAAAATTAAAAAAATAATAAATTAAAACTTTAATTATTATTAATTTAATTATTTTTTCTTTAATTGTTTAATTTTATTTTCACAATGAAAATTGCGGCCTCTTTGCCAAAAACGATCGCACCCAGATTTGACGCACCAGACGCCTATTCCTTTTCTTTCTTTTTTGTTTTTGATTAATAATAAAAAAGCGCTACAAGCAGCAACAACAATGTCGTCCATAGCGAGCGAATACTGAAATGCTCATGTAGGACAGTATTGCCTAGTTGATGAAGTTGCGCCATATCGCTCAATATTGTATTGCGCAGTATTGATGCTTGTTGCCGTTGCCGTAAATTGCTAGATGTAGTCGTGACGTCATAGTTGACGAGTATTGACTGGAATTGAGCAATTTTAGTTGCACGTGTAAGCGCACCTTTATTCTTTTATCTCTGATTGAACATCATGTTGTTTCTGTCATTACGCAGCGAGTCAGGTACCTATTATTGATTTACAAATGTTAATTCTTTGGATGCGAAATAAAAGCCTAGTAATTTATTTAGGAATAATAGTGTAATTTATTTGGGAATAAAAACGAAGGACAGCTAATATCTTTTTTGGACACGAACTTTTGACCTCATCAATTCTTATGATTGAGCTTACATCATTTGGGCAATAAAACCAACATATTATTTCAATTAACGCTGTTCGCGTCATTATATTTGTGACAAAATATTTACAAAGAAAAAGAACAATAATTAATATTATTTAAGTAACAAAAGCACATTATTCTATTTAAAGAAAAACGAAATGCAATAAAATTATCATTCGGACGTATTGATCTGTAAACTGCTAAGATAAAACAATGATTAACAATTACTTACATGTTTTTAAAAAGGGATTCCTTCAGGCAAATGTAACTTTTATTATTAAACTATTTTTCATATAGGAAGCGTTGCGAACATCTCTTATAAAATCTAATTTGTGCTTGACTATTTGAATCTGGGAAATGCAGCATTTTTGATGGAATGTATATTTGACTGATTAAGTGGTATTTTTATTTTAAAAGACAATTTATTCGGTGTAAGCGTTTTGCGTATGTAAATTATTAATCTATTATGGATTTACACTTAACAGTTTATAAACGAATCTGTGATTAAAGTAAATGTGTACGGCAAACTGTACGGAAGAGAAAATAAGTTATAATATAAAGGTTACTTACAAAGCTATGAACTAACTTATAAAGGTTCGAGTATCATAAAAAAGTTCAGCACGTTTTCAATATCAAATTACAATTTTAGTACAAAATGACGATTTCCTCCTGAAAACATACATTCTAGTCTAGAGGTTAAAATTAATAAATTTTCCACAACACTGAAACTCATTTGGTGTTTGCGTTCATTGCTGCGGAAATAGAACATTAAAACGTCATCAGAGTCTCTACTTGAAAAATTACTATGAAAAGAGGCTTTCTCAGGCACTGGCATATACCCATATACAATTATAATTTAATACATATATTTTATCATAAATACGTTTTTTACGCTGTTATAAACTATAGGTATATAAAGATATTATCATTAGATAATATTAATATATATTTTACGAAATATTTAATGATTTATCATATAAGGGAAACATGTATAAGTATTATATATAATTATATAATCAGTCTAAAGGGTAATTGTTTTCTACTATAGACGTAAAATGAAATTTTAAGCTATTTTAATTTTATATAGTTTTAAAACTATTTGGTCCGTTTAGGATCATTGCACCTAATATATTTGTAAGTATTTACTAACTAGTAAATTGTTAATATTTTCAAGCTGTTATATTTCATCAAATTATACGATTGTTTACATTGTCTACGCCCCAATTTAGGTTAATATCATTTATTATAGTAATTTGTATATCAATACACGCTGATATGTTATTATTAAATCGAATAAATTTAAGCTAAATGGTTCTCACAATACAACTATCTACAAAGGTCTATCTACTCTTTTAAGACACGGAGTTGAAAGATTGCAATGCTGAACTTTTTCCTGATTCCATACGAATTGTACGAAATTATTTAATGTAACAAAAATATTCACAACGACTTAATTATAATTATAATCTAAAAGGTAACTCCCGACTGATACTCTTTCGACTCAAAGTCTAGTCTTTCCAGATACGAAGTACCGAAAAACGGTAACTACATCGTAACGACATCGTATCCATGTATCACATCAATAACGATTTCAATATTTGTAAAATACTATAAAAATCGGTGACCCATAAGCCAAATTTTTTTATATTTATAAGTCTTGTGACTAGATTTTTCTTATTTAAATATTAATACACAAGTAAATAACATAGGAATATTTGTACGACGAGATGCCATTGATCACGAGCGGTAACTCAAATGCAGCCTACTAAGTAGATATTTAAAAAGATAACTGAATCACACAATTTACAATAACAATAAATTAATCTTATACTTATGATTATATTTACTTAAATGTAACGAATTAACTTATTTATTATACTGAAATTCATTCAAGAACCGATTTCATGGAGATCGAATGCTAGGTTATTCTAGAAAAATATTTAATTTAAGTAAACAATTATAAAAATAATGGGGCCGGTTTTGAAGGATGAGTTTCTAAGGCGGGACCTGAAACTACTGCTTAGAACGGTAAGCTTGCGCGAAACATGTTTTCGATTAGAGGTGGTGCTGGTACTAAGTCTTCGAGTTTCAGGTAGAATATGCGCTGGAGTCCTTGTACGGAGAGAGATCGTAGTTCAGGTAGAGCTCCAAGAACTCGGCTGAAGTGTGGAGCCCCAGCTCCTCCTACGCCCCCGCCACCAGGCATGTGTGCCCGTAGACACCCAATTATCTTCATTTGCAATTGCTCTACTCTGTGGGGCTCCTTCAAGCCGTGCCGTTCTGGAAGAAAAATTAATAATGATCATTCATAAATATACACTCTTTCGTTTTATATAATTGAAATGGGAAATATTATTTGATATTGTTTTATGTTTACAAAATGTATTTAAATTGATAACTTTAAAAAATGTGGAAAAATTAAAGATTTATTTTTTTTATGAATTAAATGTAAAAAAAATAATATTCGATTTGTAATAATTTATGGACAAAATATATGTGTATACATTGTAGGGTGTTATTTTTCAAAATATCAAAACAAAAATAAAACAATGAAGACGTAAAGGCAGCAAAGATTTTGCGTATTAATTTATATTTCGTAATAAACGTACCTGTTATTAAAGTGAGAGCGCAAAGACAGGCAAATGTTGAAATATCAATATCCATTGAATGCAGAGTATTACTGAAGTCCAGTACTGCATGAAGCCAATCTCCAAATGATCGTTGGCATTGGCGTTTGTCAAGCACAAGTCCATTACAGAATGTTAGCTTGGTGTCTTCAGGCCGCGTGCGGTAAGCAAGTCTAAGTACGAATAATTCCAAGCGAGCGGATGCAAACAATTGTTCTCTGTCTTCAGGACAAAGCTCTCCATAACCAGGTACCTTTTCCGCGAACACCTTTATCATGTCAATGGAAGTCGTTAGTAACGAGTAGAATTGTTGAATAACTTCTAGGTCTGACATCGGTGGCTCCATCGGATTTGGTTCTCTAAATTGTGAGTAATCTAGGTTAGAGAAGTCTGGCGACGTGTCAACGTGTGCTCGAACAAGAGCCGTGATGAGTGAGATTGGTGGACTCGGGGGAGATTCCTGCGGGCATTTTGGTTTGGACGGCAACCGTCCGCGTCTTCCCTTTAACGAGTCTGTTCTGACGACTTCCTTTACCATGCCGACTGCGAGACATTTTTGGAAACGACAAAATTGACACCGATTGCGTCTTCTTTTATCAACTGGGCAAGATTTTTCGGCTAAGCATACATATTTTGATCCTTTTTGTACTGTTCTTTTAAAGAATCCTTTACATCCTTCGCACGTTCTTACACCGTAGTGTTGGCAAGCAGCTGTATCACCACAAACAGCACATAACTGACTGGGTGACTGAGGGGCCGCGCGGGTTACCACGTTATCTTGCGGTACACCTCCTGGCGAACTCGCTGCAGAACTAGGGGCTGATGCTTGCATGCAATGAACTCTTCCACCGTGAATTTTGGGACTCTCATTTGAGCTGCTCGATTCCGATCTTTGTACTGGTAGAGAGGCTCGCCGTTGTCTTGAATTTTGATCTGTTGTTATGTGTAAGTCAACTGAACTAGGGAAAGGTGGTAAAGAGTATGAATCCGGTGTCGGAGTGACGCTCCCTGTATCGAATGTTGGACTGCAGGGTTGAGCCGGTGCATAGTATGGCGAGGGAACGTAGGGTAATGTTGGCTGGTGGTATTGATAAAGTAATTGCGTTGATGCATGACCCTGGTGGGAGTATGGTCCTACGTTGTAACAATCTTCGTCCATTTTAATACCGAATTCTGCCATTTCTAGTTTAGGATATCTAACCGAGTAGGTCTCCTCAAAACTCGGTAACGCCGGTCCGGGCGTCGGCGATGGAGTTTCGCTTACAGGCGTAGTTCGTTGTGACTTTATTTCCGGTTGAATAGGTGCATGGAATTCTACGTCCGGAAATGGATCTAAGTTCTCGTCTAAGATTTCAGAGTCTTCTTGATACTGCGATGACAGAAGATCAGCGAAGGATGAACTGTAGTTGCTCTGTAATGAAAAGGGATCGATAAATAGAGGCGTAACATTACAGTAGGCGGACGTCAATGGGCGGTCACGCTAAGCCAATGCCGTTGTTTTCTAAACATTGTGACCATTTCGAGTTTGTCGTGCAGGTGCGTTAATGAGACCGCAATTTAAACATAAAAAATGCATATAACTAGGAGGGTGGCTAAATGCATCTGCACGCTTATTAAAATTAATATATCCATAGATGCGAATATCATAATTACTTACTTGTGTTTGCAGCAGTAGCATGCTGGATGAGTTGGACGAAAAAGCACTTGGCGAGCGCGACTCTGTAGCGCTCGGCCCTGTAACAAATTAAACATATTTTTACAAACTACTACTTTAATACACAGTGCATATTACATATTTTTTCATTTCATTGAGTTTCTTTTAAACAACTTAAATTACGTAAGATTGGGGTTTAAAGTGCCCCAGCCGTTTGGACAGGCAATTGACGGAACCATTCGTTGAACTATCACGCTATCGCGCTTGCATTATTTATATTTACCCCCAACGAACATACTTTGATTCTTACTTCACAATAGCCAAACGTAATTGATAAATCAATAGTAGATATTCACTTGATGTCCAAACACAACCCCGCCATAAACAGTTCTGAGGGTTTAGAAGAAAGGTCTATTAATTTATACTGCTGTTTTGGCAGCTAAATATTGCCTCTTTGAATACTTCGTGTCACGGTACTTGATTCGCCACGCCCCGAAAATTGAATCTACTGTATACACCTCATCTATGTCTATTAAAAAATTTGCTAACTGCAGGGCTTTCTCGGAAATATCAACCTTATTAAACAACGGCTTAGGAATAGTTTGGGACAATGGGAAACGACGAAGTTTTTGGGGCGCGAAGGCGATACATCCCCGGGGAGGTTATGAAATCAGTGGCATTTGCAGTTTCTATTATGTTAAGAACCATTAATTTCGAGCTTATTAAGGCACAAACAACGTTAATATTCTTTGTTTGTACATATACGTAATACATATTGTAGGGGACGAACTGAACCGGTACAAAATAAAATTTACAGGTCCTTTCTATTTAATCATTTTTAATTTCTTTATACACGAGTTAACTGTGGATGCAATAGAAATAATAAATAAACGAATACATAAATTTTGACAAATGTCCGGTGACAAGGAAACGAATCGCCATATAATAATAATTAAACTTTAATATGAAGATCCTGCCTTGCAGACCAGGAAGTTGTCAGTCGTGGAAGTGAGAACTAGTTTGAGCCCATTAAGATTCAAATTCGATTTCATTTAATATTATGCGCAGCTTAGAATTAATATGTGAGCTATATTAGAATACTAGTGTCCACAGCTAGAATGTCTTATCAATACAAGCATTCTTCTTTTAACTAACTGTTTTGCTATTCTCATATTTTGTCGAATGATTTATGAATTATATAGCATAAATATACACTGCGGTGCTAAGTAATTACTTAATTAGTTAACAATTTGTTTATGTAAATTGGTGAGTTATTTTATTCGCATTACTTTACTTATTGTGTGATTTTTAGTAGTACTTTACCGTGTATATCACGGTAAAGCAACGCTTGTGCATACATTTTCTTATCGATCAAAATGTCTTATGATTTTGAAAGATATAGGTGAAATATGTATAAGGTAATCTTATTTTAATATGAGGGATTCCTCGATATTCAAAAATAATTTCTTGATATAAACCCGCTGTTCCTGACGGTGACCATACAAAATGTAGGGTGTAATGTCCAAAGGGCGTTATTTACCTATTTCGTTGAGAAATATATCTTTTGAGAATTCGCCAAGATATCGAGCATTAGTTTTTGTTCTTGTATATCTATTTGGAAACGAAAGTGAGTATTATTTTATGTGTTTGAAGAAAGCAATTAATATGCCAATTTATTGCAATACGAACAAATAAACTTGCATAAAATTTCACCAACTACAAGTATTTCGTTTTAAAATTACATAAGTGCATTTATCCGTGGCACAACATATTTTTATGAAAGTATATTTAAAAGGTTTTATATTGCTTTGAAAAACATTTATTTTCAGATTAAAAATATTAAATAATATACTCTATTCTCTATGATTACAATTGTTATTTAAAGTAGACATAGGATTAGTTATATTATATACATAGATAGATAATGTAAACATTCCCATTTTATTTTAGCCATAAATTTAATTGTATAAATCTCAGCATATAAATCTTTAGGTAATATATTTTTTATTTTATTTACAAAAGCTTGCCAACGTTCGGCACATATGTACATTGGTACATAAAAAAATTTTCAAGATTCAATGTCACAAGCACTTATAGATAAGCATAACAAACACGAAAGGAAAAAAACATTGATTCGTAAACTATAAAAACTTAAGGAAAATTGATTTCAAAGTGAGGGGAGCAACTATGGATATCCAGACCTAACTCGTTTGTATAAATGGCATGTAATTATTGGCTAAGTATCCAAATGACACATGTAAAAATATTACACGTTAATTCTCCTAGAAACAGAAAATTAAAATATTATATTTTTAATAATAAATGGAAATGGCCACACAAAACTTGTTTTATATATTCGCACTCCAATAAAACTTCTTTGATCAAGTTCTTGTCGCTATAAAAGAATAAAATAACGAATTGCAAGTCTTTCCTGTTTTATTGGTGAGTTGTTGATTCAATATTAAAAACATATCGGCCATATCACTTCCTTATTACTTTGATCACCGGGGCTCAGTAGTTCTATCATGAGTTTGTTGATATGATGAAGCTGTAGGTCTTTAGCAAGTGCAGTACCTGTTATATATAAATAAAGAAACCGAAAATGTAGTGGTTCTGCGACTTCTGTTTCTGTCTTCCTAAACAATTTCTGAATCGATTGTAGTATTAACGGAGTTTCAATTGCATAAAATTAACATTAGCTGCATTAAGCTGGTATAAATATATAAAGTACCTTTATCTTACAAAGAGGTTTATGATTTTCTATATAAATTACGTGAATATAGGAACTGTAAGTAGAAAGTTTTTATATGCAACACTAAACCTTATCTCATATATAAATTAGATGTATTATTGTCTTTGCTAGTCGGTACAGGTTAAAGTGCATTTGCAAACCATAAAAAGGGTATTTCACTATGATTGGAAATATTTCGTAATATATTACTAAGAAATTTTGTCTAGTCAGTAAAGTTTTTATTGTTTCATATCTTGAACTGGATGTAGAAATACGACATCTATCGGGCAATGTAAAAATTAATAGGGGTTGTTTTTCACTGAGGGATGACTACACTCTATTGTGTCAAACCACATCCATAAATGTATTAAACTAACTAGTAAATCTATACTTCGACAAAAGAGGGCGCTACAGCTACAAGGCCTTAACAAACGCTTACATAAAATTAAAGAGGCCGACTCTTCTATGTATTTAAGTTTCAATAATTTGTGTGTCATTGTTAATGAAAAATTATTTGTTATTGTATTAACCTAGTGTGTATTTTTTAAGCGTGCTTTGTACAATTGTGTCCTTGGTTTTATTTTCCAGCGTTTCGCATATTATACTTTCGGTACGTTTTACTCAGTTTTTTATGATATGTTATATATACCTAAAAAACGAATAATGAAACAGACATGTCTCCATTATAGGGGCCTAAAGCAGGTATGTATTCTTAAATAAGATTATTGTGCTCTTAGGTTCTTAAATAAAATATAAATAGTCAGCTGTGATAGCGTCAGCCGACTAGGGTTAAGGGGGCGGTGGTGGGTAGCTGTGTAGTGACGTCATTCCAGTTGACGTAGATATCCCCCCAAGACTAAATACTGTGGTGACGAATATTGCCGTATGCAGTACTTAAATTTTATTGTCATATGTTGTACTAAAAATAATAAATGTCTTTTAGAATAGGCTTATGTTCATATTTGTATGGCCTTTGTTTGAGATTTTGGCGCAAATATCAGTTCAGTTGCGAAAAAGACATGATACATTTTATTTATATCTTTGGCTTTTATTTCTTTATAAGTTTAGTATGGTATTGTAACCCAAACACATATATAGTGATAGTCACACACTTGATACACTAAATGACATATTCATGTTTTGGAACGAGAGTTATACACATTTTATTTAATTAAAGACTAATGTTTATATTGCTTAATTGTTGCATGAGGAATACTCGTATTTATATAAAAACGTTGCATACGATTCGATTTTATTTTATTTTTATGTTTTATGGTCGAATGTTTTTTAACCTCTTTTATCTTAAATTTATTTTTGATTCTTTGGGATCTGTCCTTTTAATATGTATTAAGTTTTGTTGAAATAAATTTTTAATTATTTATACCACAGCCACTTAGGCAAAATAAATAAATTTTCTTCACGTTCACTGTGTCACAAAGCCCGAATAACTAATTCCTATGATAAAAATATTGTACAACAAAATGTGACAATGGCGCCAAAACCCAGCACATAAAAATCGCACATGCGCTCAAGAGAGTGCTTTCACAGATAAGTTAAAAATTTAAAATTGGAACATATCGCATCGTGTAAATATTATGCATATAATGCAAGGACACATTTCTTTTATAAAAGAAAACATCGTAATCGATGGAACGTCTATAGACTTTGGCCTTTGTCGGAAAAAAAATAAAAATAAAAACGTTATTCTCTATGATTCATGATCCGTTTTTAAATTCAGTATTTAGTTTACAGTACGGCTATAAGGAACCTTTTTAAAGTTTGTAATTCAATTTCTACTGAGAGTGGACAAAACCGAACACTTGACAAGTTCATGATTTATTATGTTAGTGACACTTTGTAACTGCATTCGGTGTGATTGTGTAAAACATGACTTCTCTAATTATATGATGAAAGAGTTGTGATAAAATTTCCTTATTCATTCGTCTAATATAAATAAATATTGAATGTTGAAATAGCTATTGAATGTTTTCTTATCATCAAAGTGATATGTGGCAGTGGCACAACCTCTTTACGTCTGGGCCTCAGATTTCTGAATCTGTTTCATGATAAATTTTTTTAACTAATAGGCAAATAGGTGATCAGCCTCCTGTACTTGACAAACGCCGTGGATTTTTTTTTGGGTCTAAGACATGTCTCACGATGTTCTCTTTCACCGTTCGAGCAAATGTTAAATGCGCACATACATAGGTGCACATCTGGGGATCGAACCTACAACCTCAGGTATGAGAGTCGCACGCTGAAGCCACTAGACCAACACTGCTCTCTGATGATAAATTAATGTGAACAAATATTTAATAAGTAATTTAGGGTTATAATACCTTTATAAATAAGACGAACTCCTGACTATGTTTTACTATAGCGAGATCATGTCTTCGCTATGTCACTCTCTTTTATGTAATTAGCAGTTATCACTATCTACTTTTAAGTTAACTTAGACGATAAAAGTAAGGAAGTCAATAAATATATATTTTATAATTTGAACTTTAGCCATTTCGAAAGCTACATTATAAACAGTGAAGTATTTAGTTACTAGTAATGTTACCAGTAGAAAATATGTTTAAAAAGTCTGATAAGTATATTAAAATTAGAATTAATTTTGATGTAGATCTACATTCTCAATAAAATCAAACACCTTTTTAAGCATAACAGGTTTTTGTGCGACGGAGGTTATTAATATTCAACACAAAGGCGCCACTTCGGTTTCGTTTTTATCCTCTAAATAATTTGTAAAACATAGTTACATATTCTCATATGTTATATTATTAGACCAATGCATAAACTTATTAACTTACGCATTATAAAACGAGACTAGGTTTTTTACTGTGAATTTTTGTGGTACTTGGCCATAAAATGTATAAATAAAATTCAACGCAACCCTTAAGAGATAGCAAAGAAACTTTCTCTCAACGTTTACTGTGGTTTACGTTTCACAGTCATACATAATATGCTTTTAATAAGTTAAATTGAGTAGTATAAGAGAATACGGAATAAAACATACATTTGAACATGGTCATTTTAAAAGTATTTAAATCACAGCGCATATGACGGAACTATTAAAACGGGCATTTTTTAAATTAAAGTAAAAAATATATGGTCACTAAAACAATAAAACATTAAGCTCTGTATATCTAACATTTTTTTTCAATTGAGCGACCTTGAAGTCTGGCGGTGGCTTGGTTGTCGCCGGCTATTTTTGTGAATTAAGTAACTATATTGAATAAATTTGAATAAAGATTTGATCATGCGTTGATATATTTTCCTCTGTGTTAATAATCTAATTTCTTAGTTTTTATTCACGTGTTTGGGGGAATATGTAGCGACAAATTTGATTTATTTGAGAGATAACACATAATAGGCTATTTAGGTTTTACAGCGAAATTACAACGACTCGATTTTTATCCAAAAATTTTAAGTCTACGCTTTTTTATGCAAAGTCATTAGGTTAAAAAGGCATTTTCGTTTCATATTTTTTCACAAAAATTTGACAAGAACGGCTAGTTTTTACGTAAATGTAACTCCTTTTTTACCTTAAACTACCGTTGAGATATATAATGACACTATTTCGTTCCATTATTGATTAGATATGTTATTACACGTAGCATCTGTATTTACCAAATATAAATAAATACGTATCGTTAAAGAAGTGATTTATCATTTTCCCTCTAAATAAAAATCAATTTAAGGAAGTCGATAGCCGAGGGTAAGCAAGTGCGACCTTGAGAGTGGCGGGTCGATGCGTGGCGTAATACGTGACGTCACGGGCGGCGGCCGAGGCCAACCCACCCCATTACTACCACCCACGTATTTTTAGTCGCTGTGACGTAAATTTCAGCAGTTCAAATGAATGGCTAAAGTATGCAGTAAAAGGCAACTGGGTCCTCTTTGCTTTGGCACCTATGTGTTAAGTATTCGAAGAAATTATTTTTAGAATAAGATTGAAAGTAAGATTTACAATTGCGTGTTAATAAAATTGTTATGTTTTTACTGTATTATAGCTAGTGTTTATGTAAATAAATTTCTAATAGCCTTCTAGATGAAACATAAGATACCTATACTATGGCTGCCGACGGCGGCTGTTATTAATTTCAATTGATAATTTTAAACATCCTATTGAGAATTCTTGTATGTATATGCTATAAGTCTATTTAAATAATTTTTCCTATTGATATTATTAAGTTTATCAAAGCGGTTTATCATTTATTTTTATACTTTTAAGGTTATCTGGTGCCCGTTAATTTGTTTCGAATAAAGTTTCAAGGTAATACAAACTTTGGTTTATATACATAAGCGAACCCTCCCTTATTACATCACGTGCCTATATCGTTATACCCGTAGCGTCAGCCAAGTTTATAGAGGTGTATATCGTGACGTCAGAGGGAATGAATGTATACCGGATCTACGTCACATCAGCTGGCCGATATCGTGCCCTATCAACCGTTGGATCAACCAATTTATAAGATTCTTGTCGAAAACCTTCATCCCTTAGCGAGTGCTTAAACTAAGCATTCATCAGATGTTATCTATGATTATGAATAAACTTTCGCTTAGTAGGATTCGCTACGTAAATAAAAATTTATGAATCCACTTTTGATTTTAACGTCCGATCGGAAAAATATTCGTGCAAATAAAAAGTGAAAGTTGAAGCATTTGATGCTTAGACTTTGTATGTTACAATACTACAGTATTATGCGATCGGTGATCATTTGCGGACATCTCGGCAGGTGCAACGTCTGCCGGTTGCGACAGACGATTGGGCAAGGAAGGTAGTTTATTAGAGGCCATCGGCTTCGGGCCGTTCGCGACATCCCATTTAGTTACCTAACAGACAAAAACTATATTAATTTTATCACACTAGCACGTCTATAATTACATCATGTCATATTAGTCATTAATTTAATAATGTTAAGTGATAATGCGTGTAATTTTGTATCATCACATAATTGAAAATCTAAGTCAAATTTAAATAAAATTCAGGTTAAATAAAGTTGTAAGATGTTGATGTTGACGTTATCTGAAATAAACTTTGTATTTTCAAACGGAATGCACATTTTTCTTAGCTTTCGAGCTTTTAATAAAAAGGTGTTTTTGTAATTAATACTTCGTTATGGAGTATATAATTTAAACTGTTTCATACGTAGCTGAAGCTTTTAATTTGTTATCTACTATTTCAAGCGCAAACTATTTTATCAACATTTTCAACGCGAAAAGCTACGACGGTCTTTAAAGTAAAAAAAAGATCATTTTAATTACAATGCTGTAGCGTACACGCCTGCAAATTTGATAATCACTTTGTTATATTAAGTGAAACAAACCTAGTTATTATTTTCATATACTTCTTATTTGAAGTATGTTAGAAATGTACTATAAATTCCGCATTATTGTAACAATTTCAAGTTATTTTTAACTTATCGAGCTTTCCTCTTATGTTCATAGCATTTAATAATAGGTCACTGGGCAACTGTTGCATTAAGAATTTTTCTTCCCACGTTGATATTTACCTTTTAATATTAAAAAATATTTTTTATTTTGTGTAAATTAAGGGAGATGGAATAAATGTTACGTCCAGTGAACTTTTAACTAACTTAAATTAAACAAATAAATTAATACGTATAAAAATGATAAAGATGGGATTTAAATAAATCAAAAAGCCGTAAATAAAAATAAATAAAACAAAAAGGTACATACGTGTAATAAGGAATTTTCTAAGGCCGCAATGTTGGCTGGAGGGCGTCAGCAACGCACCTCGCATTCTAGCCGATAGCCATCGTCACAACAGTTCCACACAGAGTCTAAGGTTTACACCAAGAGGTTCTACACAACGAAAGCGAAAATAAACACAGAAGTAGAGGGAGGCGAATCGTCGTGCGGGCGCTGACCTGGCGCTGGCTTCTCCGAGTCCTCGGCGGCGGCGCGCGGCTCCAGGGTCACTCCGAGGCACGCGCCAGACAGTCCCAGCTCGCTTAGCAGGATCCTCATGCGGCCGAGCACATAGCACTCACTGCACGCGCACTCACTCACGGTTTGTCGGCAAAGTGTCGCGAGGGGCGCACGGAAGTACGCTCAGGCTGACGGTCGGTGCGATACTGAGGCCGCCGCCGCAGAGGCTGGTGGCTATATCGCGGGCTCTGACGTCACGGTCGCTACGTCACGGTTGCGACGTCACTAACGGTACCTCCCACGGCCCGCCCGCCGCCTGCCGCCCGCCCGAGCCTGCGCTAACGGCATCGCTAGTACGGAGCAGAGCTTTCGTAACTCCGCGCCGAACACCATAGCGACGCCCTTGCCTCACGATTATACTTCTCTCGTGCAATATTTAGGAAACACGTGTTTTTTAAAGAAACGTAACTTTTGCATAATGTCTTGTTATTATAAAACATTGAGAGTAAAAATAAGTTTTGAAAGCAGTAACTCGTGACATAAAAGGTTTTCGTAATAAAACTTCCTTGAACATATTTTATAACAAATACGTTGTACTTTTCTCTGCAATCTTTAACTTTCAACTAAAAATGTTGATTTTATAAATGCTGTTGTCTCCAATATTCTCTATAAAAGTAAGTTAGCAAATACAGAATTTCGTGGACCACTAGTTAGCTACTTAAAAAAAATATGTTCGAACTCGAAAGCATTTTTAGATATACATACTTTTTAACTTCATAGTTACTTAATTAAGCTTGTAATTTTCTATACACGGTGTATATTAGAGTTTAGCTGCTAGTATTACACCAGGACTTTATAAATAGTAAAAAAGTCTAGACGATTCTGTATGCACTAATTTCGTTGCAATTACGCGTATATCGAGAGACAAATGCAGCGGCGGCGTGCGTCTACGCATCCCGCTCTCATTCGAGATCCCTTCCGCATTGATTGTGTCGCCGTCACGCGGATATCTATAGAGTGAATTTACACGCCTATATACAGGTGTGGCCTACATATTGTTGCTTCTCTCTAAGGTACTTGTAAAAAGTATATAACAGGTCAAGCGAAAGTCCTCGCTAAAGTGTTGTCCAAAGCAAGTACCAGCCGATTATGAAAAATACGCTATTTTTCAAGGTAGTGTTTCACTTTAATATAATGGTTCAGACACAGGCTAAAGTAAAATTTAATCAAAAATAATATTGTTTTGAATTTAGAACATTTAACAAAAAAGTAAAACATACGTTCATTAAAAATTTCTTTATGTAATTTAAAGGAACTGTTTCGCCAATTCCAACTAAAATATACCTAAACTCTATTTACAAGAATTATGAAGTAAAACATAAATTTAATACGTAAAACCTCTAGGTCGAGCTAAAGCCTTCGAGAGGGTTGACTTATGTTTATTATTTACGTGCAGTATTGTAGTATTACAAACAAATTAATTAAAACGATATATTCTAAAAGAAGTGATTGTATTCTTTGTCGGTACAAAATAAGTATTTTAATAAATCAATCTGTTCCAATTACTTAAATTAAACCATTTTATATTATGTTATGTATGTATTTGGCTATAATTTTAATAAATTACATATCTTTATGTATATAATTCTACTGTACGTGTATGTCTGAACTCCTCTTAAACGGCTGGACCGATTTGATTGAATTTTTCTGTATGCGTTTGGGTGGCGCCCTGGACGGTTTAGATTCACAAATCAGCTCAGCAGATGTCGCTGTAGTCGGTACTTTCATACTTGTTTTAAATATCCTAATCGCTTGAAATATCATGCAGGACAACGTCTGTCGGGTCCGCTAGGACTCTATATATCCCGTTGGCAAGCGGCCGGATGGGTACAAATTCGGCAAAGTCCCATAACCTGAATTACAATTTTTTTTGTAATTCATCCGAGCATCACCTAGAACATTTTGGTACTATGTAATCTTTGGAAGGTAATGCCCACCTACTGACTTTTTTGTTTGACCCCCTTTATACTTACTATAAGTTTGTTGACACATTTCAATAAAATCAAAATTCGTCTGTATCAGTCTCGCTAGAGGGTACAGGACTCGTATTTAATTGTAGCGGTTTCTATAAATATAAATAAACTATACATGTATGTAGTACATTTCCTTGCACTTTAATATTTTATTCGTATAAACGTAACAGAAAATTAACGGCTGACGCAAGTCGTATTTATTTCCGGACTTAATGAATTGTTTTCATCTTATTAATAGTTAATTATTATCATTATGTTAAATTACAAAGACAGCTAAAATACATGTAAAAGTACTTAAAACTGAAATAATAACATGTTCACCGTGAATTATGCTTTTTTAATATTCGTAGTATACACAAGTGAAGAGTGATTAAAATGTGCTGGAGCTTTGATTATGCTCTTTTAAAAATAAAAAAGGGTGCGTGTACTTATGTACGCGCGTAAGAAGTTATACTTCTTTGGCAATATTAAAAATAGTTTTTGATTGCATGCAAATAATTAATTACAATTAAATAATCAAAGACTGGAAAAGGAGTCATTATAGTCAATAAAGTTCAGTTTACATTTGAAAAATTAAATAAATAAATATTTATTATTATTCTCTTACATTAAGTGTAACATAAATTCTATTATTATTCGAATTTTGTTTTTAAATTATGTCCAATGCCGTAGCATCTTCTGTGGGCAACTTCATTCTGTTAATTTTGTGTCACGGTGCGCGCGCATCGTAAAATTTCACTCTCATCAATTTTTCATAACGCGCCTAAAGAAGTATAACTTCAAAAACTGCAATGCAATTTAAAAAAAATAACTAACTCTGTAATACTCTATAGTATATAATAATATTTATTATTGTAATAGCACTTCCGCGAACTTCATTTCGCCTGAATATGATTTTTTACTTATCCTACGAAATAGAACACAGTTTTGAAGGTTTAATTAAAAAACAACTCGAATTGGTCCAGCCGTCTACGAGTTTTGCGCTGAGTAACATATTTATAGTAAAACATAATAAGTAACATATTGACCGTGTCATAGACATTCATGGTGTAGGCTACCTAAGTTAAAAACATAATATTATGTGAATCTTTTTATATTTTTTAGGAATTCTATACTTTCAATGGTTTATAACCAACTTGAATTTTATTTACTTTAACATTGTTTTATCGGTTTATATTTTAGTCGTTTTGGCTTATTGTAAACTTGTTTACACACACTCAAACCACGGCCTAATTAAAAAAAACATTTAAGTAACTAATAACCATATCAAAATTTCGACCCACAGATTCAATAAAACAAGAGTATTTAAATAAAAAATAAATCCATTTACAAATTCCCTTTATGTCAACGCTGTCAAAATGTTTAATGACAATTGACCATTAACAGAACCGCTTTCGTTTTTTGAAGCACTTAAATGCATGTTATATCGGTATTTCTCGTCCGCATTCGCGATGCATATATTTGCAGTGGATTGGTCGCATGCCCTAGTGGCTAGTACTATTTGTTGCCGGCACGTCGGGCACACGTCCAGTTATCTAATTTTACTTATAATCGATGTCGTCGTATTGACTCACTGACAAAAGACTTCTTTCGAGGCTTTAACTTAAATTTTGCAGCTGATTTTGCAGTGTTGCAAAGATCCAATGCATTTATTAAGCGGTTTTCATTCTTAAATATGTATATACGTATTCATAAAACCTAAAATAGTATTATTATACGATACAGATCAGTTAGTTAAAACAGTTTTATATGACTGATTTAATTTTTATCAATAAGGGTCAAGTTATCTTTCGATTCGCAATCCTTTTATTACTAGGTACTGCAGTAAAGAAATAAATTTATAAAATAAAGTTTTATCTTAAAGAAAATGCTCTTTTTTTATAAGGGGTGTTATAATGACAACTTTACGATTATGTCTTTGAATCCCCGGTCTTTTTCGGTATACAATCTAATTGGCTATAATTGACCCAGGACATGTATCAGAACCTAGTGCCAGCCATACTTATAAGTAGTTACACGATAGATGCTATTTATTTGTATTATGTTTATAAAAAAACATAGATCTAATTTTAAAATTACCAATGGCCATTACAATTAAATGTTACCTATATTTCGAATTAAACAAATAACAATAAACACTACATGTAGGGAAAGTAAACATTCGGGTTACCAATACATTTATGTAAGCTTTTTAACACCTCCGACGACTATATAGTCGGGGAATAATCTGGAAACATTATAAAAAAAAAAAAAAAAAAAAACACTACATGTATCTCCTTTAAGAGGCAAACACAGCATGTTTAGTAACTGTATAATAACTAACAGAATACTTAAAAATATAAAAATATGATTTGTGAACGAACGAGACCGATAAATTATAGCATATTGAAACATTCTGGATAGGTCTGCGAAACTCTAAGTAAATTAAGTGAAAGGGGACAATTTGTGTGGAAAATTCATTAGCTAACTTCACATCTTACGTTCTACGAAAGGGAATGGCAGAAGATTTAACAGAAGAACGAGGGATTCATAAGTTTATTTTTGAGAGCAAAAATCAATCTAACTAAAGATCCAGCTGTGAGAAGGGGAGGCTCGCCGCTAGTAATTATGTGATTATAAGTTTTTCATATATCTGGCACGAACAGCAAATACATAGCAACACATAGTGGAAACTGATTGTATTTTATTAGGTATGAAACAAGTATAGTTATATCGGTCACAGAGATTCGTTTTTATTTAAATGTATGAGTTTTTCCTATAAGGAAAAGTAACAGTTTCAGATACATTACCACAGACTAATAAGTCCAATAAAAAGTCTTTTTTAAAATGCTGTTCATGTTTTACTCCTAAATTATTATGCAATATTGTGTATTTAAAAAACACTGGCAGAAACAACGCAAAGCCTAAAATAATATGAGCTTTCATGAATCAACATATTATATTTGACATACTTATATAAAATAGCACAGGAACCTATTTTTCTTATTAATTCTTCTCAAATAAACGAATGGGCTATTTGTTAAGAATCTTTATATAAAAAATAGGGAAAACCAGTTGCAGGTTCTTTTTTGACCGAGACGGTTATTCCAAAATGACTTGGAAAGTACTATTTGTTAATTTTTTAACCTTGTCTGTAAGGATTATTAAAAAGGAAATAAGTATTCTGTACTTGGTGGGTAACGTTGTACCTTCTTATGTAATTTATCATAATGCGAAGTTTCTACTTAAGAAATTAATTTAAAAAAAAGGGTCCGTGTACTTATGTACGCGCGTAAGAAGTTATACTTCTTTGGCAATATTAAAAATAGTTTGGCTTTGTTCCACCTCCAGTTTTTGATGTTTCACAGCGATAAGATGAAAACTCTTTTTTTGTATTCAATTTAGTGCAGTTACACTGATTCATTAATTGTTTTTTGTCTCTTTTCCTTATATTTCCTAGATAAAATCAGAAAAATTACATGTTTTGATTAAACAATGTGGTTAATTTTTTAATCAAAACATTACTCGATAATAATAATAATACATACGGATAGTTAACCTCAATTGTATTGAAGCTCTTAGGAAGGTTGATGAGCACAGTTTTTTCACAAATATTAATTAGTATTGGTTTAAATATTCAATTTAAATCACTTCTGATTATAATTCAAAAAGCATCGCTAAATTTCTTTGAAAAAATAATTAAAACTCCTTTATTTGTTTAAAAGGTAAATGACAAATGTCATTATGGTCATTCAAAATTGTTGGCATACGAACTTCACGCATATTCTATTTCTTTTTACTTGTAGATTGTCTTATTCCTATCGCTCGCGCACGCTATAATCACACTCCTAATTTTGTGTCACGGGTGCGCGCGCATTGTAAAATTTCACTCTCATAAATTTTTCATAACGCGCCTAAAGAAGTATAACTTCAAAAAAAATCTTTCAAATTTTGAACACTTATCGGTTTATTCTCTAACGGAAGCGAGATTATAGCTAGACGGGATAAGTAAATGGAATTATTATTATAAAAACAACACAGACCCAAGGTCACAGTTTATTGCATGAGATAAATCATATTATTAAAAAGGTACTTAAGTACTCAGGAAATAAATGTGTGATGTAAACATCGTACGAATCAATACGTTTAACAAAAAGATTAACAAAAAAGAGGTTGAAGTACTTACTAAGAAATATAAACTTTTTCAGTTTCCAAATGTTTTGTAGGAAAATATTGTTTTTAATTAATCATTTTTACATTTTATATGTTTCTTTCATAGAATTGTAACATGGCATTTAAAAAAAAACCATCAGAATATGTATGTAACGCTATAATGTGTTTAACGTATGTAACGTTATATTTTATTAAATAGAACTGCAATAACTATGATCAATAGAAAGTTAATATTGCAGTAGTTGCAATTGCAGTGATAAACACTATCAGCATAATATTTTGTTAAAGAACGAAACTCGCGCGCCGATGCCTGGTTCACCGAGGCGTCATGACGTGAGACACAGAGGCACATATTCAGAGTATGTGTATGGAGCCCGCATGCTAGTGTGAGTAAAGTGTTACCATTGGATTGCGAACGCAGCGGAGTCAGCGCCCCGCGCGGACATAACGTGAAACATCAGCTGAATGCCGTCTGTATAGTGTATTGTCAGAATATTGTGCGTGATTGTAAATTATACTAATTGAGCATGGCCGCCCTCATTTACGCTGGATTCTATTTATTTTTTAGTGTTGATGATATTTTTTAACCTTGCATGCGCCCTGTGTAACAAGATAGTGAATCAATTAGTTAGAAACAACGCACGCTGCTCTAAACACTAGGACGGGTGCATAATGCACATTGCAAGTGTGTGTGTGAAGTGTTCACAAATAGTTCGTGCGGAAGGAGATCAACGAAATGATCGCTATCGTAAGTATATTTTGATGTTTGTGATTATTTGTCGTAATTTGAGGTTATGTTACAAACTTTCTCGTGATGTACACTTGGCAATTCATTGCTTTTCTATCTATGTTGTGCAGATGTGGAGTAACATTATATTTTTATAAAATTTAGGTCAGTATAAAAATACACTTTCTTTTAAAGAGAGATTTTCTAAATATGTGTATATTTTGTGTTTTTTTATTATTACTGTGAATGTAACCGTAAAAATAATTTTAATAAGATGGTCTAATAATACGAAGTATTTGTCTTTTTAAATACTGTTAGAGTGCCTTGGAAAACGCTAGTTTTTATTTGCCTTATTTATGTATGTTAAGGGCATGAACTAAAAGCTTAAATACCTATCTACATCTTACACTTTATAAATTTGTTTACTTTCCCGTATTTTAGGTAATAAGCAGTTCTAACAATAACTAACATCCATGTAATAGGATACTGAGAGCTGGTTATTGTTACTCATTATATATTATTATTATTGCAAATTTAAGACCTTGTCTTGATCCCCTAAAAATATTATATTAAATGTTCATGTCTATCCTCATATATTTTCTGTTTTTGTATAATAGGTACATACATACATCTAAGTTTTTTAATCTTATAATTCGCTTAAAATACTTATGAATATTCCCTATCTACCAAATATAATCATTCTATGAAATTGTGTTACTACACTGAAATTATCAAAAATTATTACTTTTATCTTATCTATACAAGTGCTCCTTCACATAAGCGGTGAGGATTAAATTGACGCTATGATTTAAAAATGAGTAATAATTGTGTACAAAGGTATTTGGGAGATGAATAAGATGCTCTTGTAATAACGAAAACATTTTTAAAGATTGAAAATATAATAATTCAAACAGATTTTGTTTTTATGAAATAATATTCAGAGTTGACACGCGCGGACTGTAACTCCCGTATCCATAACGTTTTTAACATAGGCACGGATGACGGAAGTCATAGTTCAGGCTGAGCCAGTACTTTAACACTTATACCTAAGGGTAATATAGAAACGAGATTGAATGCTAAGTCGGACTAACGTACGTCTAAAATGTATAAGATTTTGACATACGGAAGTCATAGATTGTTGAAAGCCTCGTTACAGAATCTCACCCTGTGACAGACAAAAAATTATAAGAGGTTTTTTCCTTTTATGTAGTTTCCAATCGGTCCATACCTTACAACCCCTTATAACAAGCCGGCCCTTTAATACAAGAACAATTATGACTACAGAAAACACTACTTCTATTCTTATCCTTAATGTAACTCTAATTCTGCGTTATAATTTATGCTGGCAAAACAGACTGCAACGTTCCGTAGGACACGTACTAAAATAGATAAAAACGTATCTATTATAATTCGTACCTACTAATGAACGTGAATTTACTCTGTTTTATTTCGTCATACATATTTCATCAAAATTCAAATCCTAATCTGAGTTACCTTATTATAATGATATAATAATGTATTTATTTAAGCCATCATAAATCCATATGGTTATTATTGTGTTAGTTACAATATTGAACAATTAATGGTGAGAAGTCCCTGATATCATTTTGCTGGCAATTGGCAACTAATAATTCATCAACTGCTTCTGCCAAACCATTACTCTTAAACTTTCTATAAAGGTAGAAGTATATAGTCTTCACTCAGTTTCGCTTAGTTACACAAGTCTCACAGTTTCAAATAAAGTTTCCTCGCCCTTGATACGGGACAAGGTCTATATTTTTATGGAGCCGTGGTATTGGACTTGAAAATCAAGCGAAGCTCACTATGGGTCAACTAATCGCTACTCTCATATCATAATGTCACAACTTAATGAACCCCTGACCTATCTATATGGAATAGTGCACGTGAGTTAACGACCCGTGTTATATGGAAACATATTATACTCTAATCAAGCGTTACAAGTTACTAGCCAGTATATTTTTAAACTTAGAATATATCGATCTGACCGCTCTTCCCCGCTACTTAATACGTCATCCTTTCTCCTGTTGGGGTAATAATGACGTCATAGATCTATGACGAAATGTGACGCGATTGAAACGGGCGCATGCGTATTGAATGTAAAATCAACCGTGTATCGAGAGAAAGAACTAGAGAATTTCTATGAAAGCTATATGATTATTTTAATAATATAATATAAACAAATACATTTACCTAAACGATATGTTATACAACCCTTAAACTAATAGTTGAACAGTTTCGCAAATTTCTATGATTTTTTCACGTTTTGTTATAATTAATTCAAATCATATCGCTGTACGCGTTGGTTTTATTCAAAATACTATAACTCTAACAGCTCTTAGAATAAATAAAATAATAAATAGAAACGCTATAGTTTATCACACTATTATTAGGCTTATAATTTAAAAAGAACCAGTAAATCCGAGTGGACATCTTTAATGTCAATGACATCTTTCGTTCTATAAGAACATTGAATGTTCGTGAACTTCCCTTGTTTTTTCCGATTTTCTTCACCCACCGGTAGATGTCACTTCGCCCCCCGCCTAACAACAACATGGCGGTTCATTCACGAATCCGGCATCACATCACGCGATGCTCGGCAAAATTATTTTTGCATAAGTTTCTGTTACAATAAATTGTGGCCGGCTGCCTAGTTTTCTCAATAATATAGTTAAAATTGTTATGAAGATGAAACTGCAACAAAAAACAGGTAGGTAACGTGTTTACGTAACTATATTTAAACGTCACCTTTCTATGCTGTATTGATTATTTACTATTCAACTATTCATAACCGCATGCCGTGGTAATTTTTTGTGAAGTATTCTATACGTTGGGCTTATTATTTTTATGTTAGTTGGCAAATAACTTTGAGGCGTACAATGTAAAATAATGTACAGTTTAATTATCTAATTGCATTTTAACAGGTACGTATCGCGCTGGTGCATTAAATTGGTGCATTACTTCAACGTGTTGCTTAGTAACGATATTCATATTATATTTGATGGCAATTTCATAAGTACTTGGCATTGGAGATTCTTTTTAGCGGGTTTTGCTATCTAAATGTTGCACCATATTTGTCAATAAAATTTTATAGTAGTAACTAAAAAAATCTAAACAATTTATATAGGATTATTGCCACAACTACTTTATAACTTATACACATATATCCTTTAGTTTAGCTTTAGATTGGAATTTAAGCTAAGTTTGCATGTAATTTTAGTAATTTATAGGATGACTGTTTATGTAAATTATTGATAAATAGGCGAAGAAACGCATCTAACTAAAATTAGTATTCAGTGTCATGTTTCTAAACATTGGACTTTTGTTACAGGTATTACTTATTCATCTTCAGTATTATGGTGCTTAGAAAACTAAAGAAAATTTAATGTAAATATTATATAACATGGATCCTATATTAGAAAACGAATCAGCCACCGCAGAATCTCCTGGTAGACAAGGGAAATCAAAACAAAAGCACAAGAAAAGAAAAGGACCCTTAGACTCACAAAAAGAAAGTCAGACGGTTGTTGGAGATAGAAGAAAATTTGTTGTGACAAAACTTTCAGCATCAGACGAGCAAGAAGCAAGTGGCAGTCGTTTACCTGAAAGCAATGTACATACTGTTCATTTTGGTACTCGCGGAGCAGAGTCACAGCGACCCCACGTAAGGTCCATTTTTAAAGATAAACCAGCTGAAACATCCAGGTCCGCAAGTGCTGAAAGAGATTCTGGGTCTAAAAAAGAGTATGAAACTTTTCATGGGACATCGACTAGTCCACGGAGTTCAATATTCGATATTTTTCGCATAAGGAGGAAGAGCGATGCCAAAAAACATCAATCTGTTATGCAAAATGTTAAAGAACCACAAGTATCTAAAGCAGCTGAATCCCCAGACACTACTAAAGCTGACAATGCTGATTCTAAAGAGTCTCACAAAAAGTACTATTATACGGTTACGGGAGTATCGTCTCGAAAATATAGTCCTATTACACGAGTCATGGATATATTTAGAAGTAAACCGTCAGCAACAGAGCCTCCAGCAGCTGATTCACATAAAAAGAAAACTAAAAACCAAATACGACGATCGTCTTTAGACACGACATCCCCTACCTATCATAAAAATTCATATGCAGCATTAGATCCCCTTCAAGCAAAACAATTATTTAGGGAAATTCGTGGATTGCCCAAATATGATCCTTACTTGTCTATCGTTCAAATATCTCTTGGAGGACGAGATAAAACTAGATTATTATTAAACTTTTTTAAATACCACCGATGTTATGAAATTTTACCGAAATCAGCTAAAGTTATAATTTTTGATACCCAATTCCTAGTTAAGAAGACATTTCCAACACTTGTATCTCACGGAATACGATCAGCGCCATTGTGGGATTCCAATAAAAAGTTACTTGTTGGTATGATAACCGTATCTGATTTTATAAGAATCTTGTTACATTTCGAAAAGGAAAATTTGTCGATGGATGATTTAGAAAGTCACACTTTACACACATGGCGAAAATTACTACGTGATACACGAAAACCTCTTTGTAGTATTGGTCCAGATCATTCACTACATGAAGCCATAAATCTCCTAATAAAATACAGAGTGCATCGTCTACTGATGATTGATCCAAAATCGGGAGACGTGCTTTATATATTGTCACATAAGAGAATATTAAGATTCCTATTCGTGTATTTAAATGAGTTCCCCGAGTTAACATTTTTCCATAAGAAATTAACAGATTTGAAAATAGGTACGTTTGAAGAAATTATATCAGTAACCGATGAAACGACTGTTAAAGATGCTTTCCAGCTTCTTTTAGAAAATAATGTTTCTGCCTTGCCGATATTAGATGAAAATGGTACTCTTTTAGACGTTTATGCTAAGTATGAAGTTTTGAATTTAGTTAGTGAGAAATTATACTTGAACTTGTCACTGACCGTGGGTGAAGTTAGGACGAGAAAGAAAGACTGGGAAGAAAAACTACAGAAATGTCATTCAAGTATAACTTTGTATGAGGCCTTAGAAGTTATTGTAAGAACAGAAAGTCATCGATTACTATTAGTCAATAAGGATACCAAACTTATGGGCATCGTCTCTCTGTCTGATATTTTAGTATATTTAAATAGGATAATACCTTCAGAGAAAAAGGTTTCATCCCTACAAGAAATTTTTAAGCCTTTAGAAGAGAATAAACTTCCGGAGGCTGCTAAAGAAACAGATAGTGATGTTATAACCATCGAAGTACCTAAATTAGATACCCCCAATGTACCTGAGGCGACGGACGCCGAACAAAATGACCCTAACGTTGAAAACGTTGGTTCTATTGATGTAGCGATAAACGAAAACGAGAAAGAGACTGACGCAGATGATGCTAGTCCCAAAAATGACTCAAATGTTGTCCCACACTTAAATAATGTAGATGAAACTCACGAATCGCAAGTTAATATTGTAGATGAAAATAACTAGTAATTTTTTAAACCCAAAGATATTTAATGTTACTTATAAAACAATTTAATTTATAACATATAATTAAATACCGTGTCATGCTTTTTGCTTGTATCTTTAATAGTTCGACATTAATAAAGGTATATAACATTGTCTTCTCATAATACTTTGCATTATTCACCGTGCGAGGGCCTTATTTGTATAATAACATTATTTCTAAATTTCAATAAAATATTTTGGCAGATATCTTACTTTCGTCATTTTCCCTTGTTTGGGGTTAAAAAGTAGACATTTTAAGCACAATTATTTGTTTTATTACAGCTTATTTTAAATGTAAAAAAGCAGAAAAAGGCAGGTAGGTAGGTACCATTGACAGTTTAAAAGCTGTCTTCATCTGTTTTCTACAAAAATTTAAAACAATATCTTTTATTTTATTATCCAAAAACACATCTACATAGTTTGAATATAATATTGATTTTGATTAATCTATTTTACCACAATCTTCGAATATTGTAATAATATAACATACATAAACATAGCATACTCAAACAATATATTATACAAGTGCCTATAAAATCAAAAAATAATTTATTCCTAGGTGCGCTATTTTACTGAGCTTTTATTGATTTTCGGACTCGCTTGAAATGCAACCTGTTAAAATAGCACGCAACCAAGGACATTGGAGTTGATTTGCAAGAAAATAAAATTAGTTTTGTTTTTCACTTTTCTTGTATACCTATCGAGCCAAACACGTTTTTGAAATGATTGGTTTTGTGCTTATAGTCTTTTTATCAATTATTTAATAGCGGTAACGTTTTAAATATTTTTATTATTAATAAAAAAAAATGTTAATAGTTAACAATAATTTTAAACTACTTTTATTTGAACTTATTAGGCCAGACACATTTCGGTCTGTTTCACTAAATTATTTTAGTTATAGGTCATCCATAAAGGAAAATTTTCTCTGGAATCGAACCTATAGATATAAACACAAGAACGAAAAACCTGACCGACTGAGCAGATAGAATGTTGATTGTAAAGTAAATGCAGCAGACGACCGGTTGGAAGAAGTAAGTAGTACCCGGAACAACATTGCCTCAAGGTTGCTCCGTATCTCTTACTTCAAGAGATTATTATTTTATCTTTTACTACCTAGCTGTCAGCTACAAAAATAAATGGGCTATATTTAGTCTTCAGGGTTCGGTTGCTAATTAATTTACGCCTTGAAAACTTGCAACTTTTATTCTTAGACACACTATTTTGGATGAGGTTATTTTTAATAATCCCGTGTAGAAATACTATAAGCATTTTTATTTTCAGAAATAATATAAATAGAAATTTATTATTTTAAATTTAGCTTTGGCGTAATACTGCCAAAAAGGGAAAGACAGACAATAATTCACGTAACAGTAGTTATTGAATTTGTAATTCTGCAGTTCTTGCGCTTACCTACTTTTACAGCTTTTCTTACAGTAGTTGCCTGGAAGAGATAATTTAAAAGAGATAAGGCCTCCTAATTATTTAAGTTCATTAGTTCTTAATTGGTATTGTAATGCGATGTGTGAAATAAATATAACTAAAATCTTAAATTCTTAAAAATTTAAGAATAATAATTGTAATAATCCGGTAATTATTGTAAATTTTTAGGTATTTATTTAAGTATTATTCGAACACAACAGTTTAATTTAAACTTAATTTATACATATAACTGTAGATTTAAAGACAACTATGCCTGGATACAAATAAAACAGGTTGAATTGTAGACTTCCCCATTCGTTTAAAAAAAAGGTGAAATTTGCACAATAAGACCAACCTACAAGAGATTCGATACAAACAGGTTCATCTATATATAAATACTTAAAAGAGTATTCCGTAACAGATTCTATTGATAATCATGAGGCAGAGACGGCTGCAAAACCGGTAAGTTACCTGACACTGGCTAAATAAATATGGAAGCTTGTCGCGTGATTGTGAGACAAATCTGCCTACACGATGCCGCTAAACAAGCCTTGGTTGCTGGTAATTTAACGGGAAAATTGTATTTATATGATTTTTGCTTAACTATTTAGTTAATATTTAGCAGTTTATATTAGACAAGGGTTGGCACAGTAGACTTATCGCATTAAAATGTTGTATTCCAAAAATAGTATGACTTCGGAAATTTACACGTAACAATTTAATATTTTCTTAATGTGTGAGCGAATCTGCAAGCATATGCCACATTTCAATATATTGTTTACGATATTCGGGTACGATACCTATATTTAAAAATAATTTCGTTTGTAAGGTATAGAAGTTTATGGGAGATGCGACTGTAAAATACATTTTAACGTTTAAAAAACCTTTCAACGTGATTTATAATTGTTGTTATATTTTTATAAGTAGCAATAAGTCGAACACTAAGTTAAAGAGATAACTTGCTATCATAAATAAAAAGTAAGTGCACGTACTGCGTGAGTACATTGTGGAGTCATTCGATAATACCGGTAAGCAAAACTGTTCGGAATAATATGAAGGTCACAAAATAACGTCATTCCTTGTTAACAACATTCAATCCTGAGTTCCAAACAATTACAGCAAGTACAAAACATTCACAGCACCTCCACAGTATAATCTGAATTAAAACTAAATTTTGATTGGTTAAGAGAGAGCCCTGGCTGTGCATCATGGAATTTTTATTAGGTAAGTACCCGAAAATGAAGGCTGCATGTAAAATGAAAAGGATCAAAGAAACTTGCAATCTGAGGTCAAGACACTTAAAGGGTTTGATCACTATCCTAATTTATAGGAAATTTGATACGAATGGCTAAAGCTCTCAGCCGGTTTGTATCGGACTATTCATATACTTCACAGCAGAGGGCGTGCTGGTCCCATAAAAAATCAAGGTTAAATGAAAGTAGATTTTAAGACTGCAATATTTCGGTAATAAGTTATTTTTATCTTACAGACGTTTTTGATGCTTTATGCCGACAAGTATTTGCCTAACATAACGAATTAACATATTAATCGCATATGTGGAGGTCATATAGTGGACATTTTTAAAGTCTAGATTTGGAACCAGTCGTTATATATTACAAAATATATAACCAAGGACTATGTGTAGATCTTAATTTTTACCTGAAACATCGATGAAGGTAGGTTAAATTTTTGTTTACAAATATACAATAATAACATTTTAAACTTTGACGTATTAAGAAGTAGCAAATTTTATATGTACCTGTACCTACCTACAATGTTACAAGTATTTCATTCTTAGAGAAGGTAAATAGATCTAGCCTAATATAGCCATTATTTCAAGAAAATAGGTAGTAACAATTGTATAATATTTGATATAAATTTACAGCGGCATTGAAGATTTCATAATATACTAGTTATAACCGGTGGTTTTACGAGTATTAAAATAAACTTTCTTGGCGTTATCTGAGATTGATAGCTTTTTAAGCTTATAATTATACGCCTAGTATATCTAATTTAATAAATTGTAAGATTAAGAATATTTATTTTCGGTTTTTGTTTCAACAGCACTTTATTCTAGCGTTTCTTCTATGCCTTGAGTTGATGAAATATACTGTATACCCAAAAATCGAACCCAAGACACAATATTGCTTACTAAACAACGGAGGTAGATGAGTTTGTATATTGACTAGAAAACTCAAGTCATTTAAAATACCTTTTTTTATAAATGGGCAAACGAGCAGGAGGCGCGCCTGTTAAGTGATACTTGGATACTCAATGCCAGAGGGTTTTGACTACGATGCCGGCTGAATGAATTGGTACGGATACGTTTAATTTTTATTAACCTTTTCTATTTACTAGTTTTAATAATATGTATTAAAAGATTTAAAAAATATTTATACGTCATTGTAATTTTTTTGTTTATTAAAGTGGTAAAAACATTTTAGTTTTACACGAGGAAAATATTTTTAAATCCGTAACCATACGTTGTGTGACGGTACACAAGTTACGTGAACATGTATCATCGTTTTGTAATCATTGAGGTTGATGTCATACATATTGGGAACCAGTCAATGACCCTTTGACACTTATAAGCATGTCTAGATGGACGTCAGTGTCTACGTATTAGTAATCTTACAGACTACCTCATTACATAAGCAAGTTACACAAGAAAGCAGTAATTTAGGCTTAACCTTACTTAGCATCCTAATATTTGTTGACAATATTACTGTACAATGTAGTAATACAAATAGAAAAATATAGATACCCCCTCATATGTATACTCTCTATTTTCACCACAGCGTAAATACGTTTTGACAGATAGAGACGAAACAGATTAGTTTAGTTAGTAGTACAATACTTACTTACAAGTTACTTAGTTGTACAATAATTATGTTTAGCCAAAGCATAACGTTAGATATATTTTTCTAAGTTAAGTAAGTATGTCCCCTACATACTTACTTAAGTGTAGTTGTAACAAGTGGATAAAAAAGCGAATTGAATACCAAAGGACTTAATTTAACCTAAAACAAATTAAAATTGAGTTCTTTGAGAAGCGCACAGATCAATACAATTTTAAATAAGCTTTATTATTATACTAGCTGTCGCGCCGTCAGCTGACGCAGCCCTCGAGATTATGGAGTTAGGGGATATATTACCTATGAAATACTAAGGCCACATCCTCTAAAGCAAGGAATATACTTGTTTGTTATTGAAATGCTTTCAGAGTTCAAAATTATGAATATAGATTATAATAGGTAATACCCGTAATAGTTCAGGCGGAAATTTCTCAATCTGTATTTAATAAATGTTATTTATTCTTTTTCTGTGTAGGTATTTAGGTGATTCTGAAGGACGGGTCGAGCGCTCGCACCAGGACCTGTACCTAAAACCATATTATTTACCATGTCCAAGCCTTCTTTTTAGTGGTTCAAGGATCATGGAAGTTCCTGGACTTTCTTTCTATACCTTCTACGAATCGAATATATTTGTTAAAATCAAAATATCATTTATTAATGTAGGTAACTCAATGTATAGTTATGACGTCAGTAAACTGTTTCTTATAT